AGGCCGAGGAACTAAAGAAGGGGATGATACCATCAAATCGGGAGGAGGCGTTGAACGCCCTTCAGCTGTCTACAGCCCAACAAGGCAAAAGCCTGACCGGGACCAGGTGTAACTCCCGCGAGTCGCGGGTATCAAGATTGATGTTCTTTCCTAGTCGACCTTAGGTGAAGGTTATAGGTCATTTTTACAGACGATAGATAGGTACTAATGCAAGTTCATGAAAATATAAATAAAAGAGGCGACTACCCTGCCTGATGGCTACCAACTTGCCCGTAGACTCCCAACTTGCCCGTAAACTCCCACCCTGCGGAAGGTATTAAGCAGTGTTCAGTTTGTGAGATTTGAACACCCGTCCTTGTTTACTGCTTTACGGCGCTTAACCACTCGGTCAAACCACCAAAAAAATGTCGCGAATCCGAAAAAGGTTACTGAAGGTGGAGGCCATTGCGAGTCTGAAATGTTTCGCCGTTGTTGGCTTTCTCAGATCGCATGGTATCAAGAGCGAAAGCTTTACAAATACTTGAGATCCTCTAAGGCGTATGTAAGGTTACCAATGCAAGTTTGTGGGAAGAAAAAAACTTTTGAGTTAGATATCAGTGAAAAACTAAAGATAATATCACCGGACGAAGGGCCCATGATAGAACCAAGCACACGCTTACCAAGACCAAGAGACTGTGCTGGACTTAGAGGAGGCGAAGCGTTGTTGCCAGAACTAACTAATGGTTGATGTGGGGGGATTGGTCACAGCCCACCAACTGCCACCAATGCAACGTATACTGCTACTAATTGGTTCTAGCGGGTTTCTCAGGATTCTTCAGGGTTTTCCAGGGTTTCTCAGGGTTTCTCAGGGTTTTTCAGGGTTTTTCCAAGACTAAGAGACTGTGCTAGTCCCAGAGGAGGCGGAATACTAATGCAAGTTCATAAAAAAAAAAAGCTTTGTTGCCAGAACCAACTAATGGTTCATGTTTGGTTCTAGCAGCAACGCTTAATGCAACGTATACTGCTACAAAATGGTTCTAGCAACACCGGTACTAGCACCAAACATACGCTAAACCCTTTTATCTCTAGGCTCTCCGCCTTGGACGCGGTGTTGTTATCGAGTGACAAGTCGTTCGCCAAGAGAACCTAATGGTATCGGGAGTAATTGTTGTAGTTGATCGGCTCCGTGGCCCTTAATCGGCTCAACCTATTTGGCGGCCCAAGGTGTGTGCATGTTGGGGCTATTAAAGACGCTTTTGAAGGGCAAATATTACGGGATTACCGTGAATAGCGGTTTCTTCCCGGCCAGCTCTTTGTACCCTCGCCACTGGGTGGCTCTTTAGCTTGCAAATTGGGCCTTACCTGAAGCCGCAAATAGCTCGACTAAACGGGTCGTGGCCAATGCCCACCACCTTGTCGACAATCGACTCTAACTCCACCACGGGGTAACCGATGCCATCCCTATTTCTTCTGTCTCTGACCTAATAGTGATTGGTAGCTTGTACTACATCTCACTCAAGCTCGGGATGGGACTATAGAATATATCGTAGACCGAGTCCGTATGAATTGTGGTCTACACTAAACCCTTGGTGTCATTACATTCATATAAAGCCTACAATTTCGTCCCTGGTTCCAGGTTGCGATTGATGATCTGGACGGGGTAGGTGTTGCCCATCGAGGTGCCCATGTGCCAGGCGGCGCCGTCGACCACCTGCACCGTGCCGGTGACGTAGGAGGCGGCGTCGGAGAACAAGTACACCGTGGCCTCGGCGATGTCCTGGGTCAGCCCCAACCGCTGCAACGGGATTCGGGCGATGTAGGCGTCCAAGTCAGGCACGAGCCGCAGCAACCCCTCGGTCTCAGCGATGCCACCGGGGGCAATACAATTAGACCGGATCCCCAACGGGCCCAATTCCACGGCTAACGCTTGCGAAAGAGCATCGACCCCGGCCTTAGCCGCTCCCACGTGGATCTGAAACGGGACCCCGTAGTAGTGGAGGGTGGCCGACACGAAAATGATCGCGCCTTTGTTCTTCCGCAACTGGTCGAAGCACGCCTTGACGGTGTTATACGACCCCAACAAGTCGATGTCGACCACCAGCTTAAAAGCGTTGGATGACAAGTGGTTGAAATCGGATAAGAAGTTACCCGCAGCGCCGGCAATGACGAAATCGATGCGCCCCAACTGCGCCACCGTTTTGTCGACGGCGGCTTTGATCAGCTCCACTTTGCGGACATCGGTATTAGCACACGAGATCACCCGTGCCCCGGGGCGCAATTGAGCTAATTCAGCAGCAGCAGCATCGGTTTTCTCCTGGTTACGCCCGACAATGGCGGCGTCGGCCCCTAACAACACAAGCGCCTCCGTTTGCACTTTACAGATGGTGCCGGCGCCGCCAGTGACGAACACCACCTTCCCTTTGAAAAGATCGGGCTTCCACACCAGCTGCTCCACCCACAGTTGTCCCAAGCGTGCCATTTTGATAGGAATAAGACGGTTACTCTATGGAGAGGGTGCGCGCGCTCTTATATAGTGGAAGTGGGGGGGGAGGGTCGACGGACCGAGGCCTAAGCGGGGCGCGCAAACGACCACAGTCCACAAAGGGACCAGAGGAGAGCTAGTATATGATCAGTATGTTTTGGATTTTAAAACGTTTTGGATTTTCAAATGTTAATGTCTACTCGAGTGTAATTATTATTTATTTTGATGGATTGCTAGTCGCTATATTCTATGCTTTCATTGTGGGCTGATTATTAGCTGTTTAATCGTGGGGAGCTCTACCCCAGATTTTTGGTGACCGCGGCTTCTGGTGAAAAACCGTCGGCGAAGCTAATTGCGGAGATGAAGTCGCGCGCGCGGGGGAGGGGGGGGCCACCACCGTCGGCACGGCAAATAATTTATTGAAATTTCCGTACGGTCTAGACTGTACGTTCTAGACTGGAATGGGCTTGAATTGCAATAGTTTTTGTCACATGGTTTCAGACCGACAGACGCTTGGGCGTTGATGCTAGAACCAAACAGAAGCGTCTGTTTGGTAATGAAGAGTAGCTCATCTGTCGTAGACTCAGTCTGATACCTGTTGATCTCATTTCAAATTGGAAACCACTAGTCTTAATATGCCGATCCTAATTGAAATTAAGATTGACTTCATTGCAATTTGTCAATTAATCCACATTGTTAGGGTCTGGTTCGGGCGATAGGAGCTTCAATGGCTGGAGATGGTCCACCACATGGATAAAACCATCCACCCCTTTAAAATGAAACCACACTTCAGCCATGGTCATCGTTGGTGGTAGAGATATCCCCTGCACTATGGCCCCCTCATCAAGGACATTCCCCACTAAATTCCCACCATTAACCACTTTGAGACTCACCTGAGTGCCTCGATACACCTTTACCGGAACTTTGGTGGTGGTTGGCACCAACACCTGATTGATCACCAGCCAATAATCGTTCCAATCGGTGGCTAATATAGCACGCCAGATTTGGTCCAGATTGTGCGTAGATAGCTGCATCACCGCCTTTGTCGACCCGTTAACCACCATACACGCCTGTTTAAGCTGAGCAAATAGGTATTCTCGGAGGTTTTTATGGTAATCTGGCCCATACATTAGTGGTAATAGAGTCAGGGGTAACTCGCCCGTTTGGAGTCGTAGCCGCCACTGGTGGTCGGCCAGAAGCTCGCCGTAGCTGTCATATAACGTTCCGATCGGAATATGCCACGCCAACGGCCACAGGTCGCCGTAATCGGTCTCAAGCCAAACACTCGTGGTTTCGTCGAGGCCAAAATAGTGCTGCAATTGGGGTAAATAGCTACCTAAATAGCCCTGACGCTTGCCACAGATCAACGCCACTTGGTCGTGATACCACACTTCGAGATTGATGCTGCCGTGCCATACTTTAAGGCGTATCTCCATCAACACTGGTAGTGGTCGATTTTTGCAGCACTGATGTTTGTGCGACTCGCTAGATAAACATCAGTGCTGCGAAAATCCACCACCCCCCCACCCGTTGCCCCCTTTTCCTGGGAACTAAATAAGCCACCATATCGTCCTGGTTACCGACAATTATCAGGTGCCAAGGAGTTCCAATTCAAATGCCATTGTTTCGTTATATATAATTTTTCATAGTAATTATTGTCGCTGGTTACGGTGCCCGGGTACTACTCACAATGTGTAGAGCCAGCCATCTTTGCACTGAACGTGAAGTGTGACCCGAAATCAAATTTAATTAAAACAACACCTCATCGCAGAAGTTTTTCAAACGTATTGTGAAACAACCTCTAAAACGCGATGGACTGTCCCAGTCCCCTCCCAGTGTTCCGCTGCGACCTGGCGTTGGACCGGGCCGCCGAGCAGTTCCGCCCCGGCCATTTACAGCCAGCCGATCTCGCGAGAATGACCCCCGTGATGGAGAAGATCCAGACTCAACACTATGGTAACCTGAAACCACGAGTGGTGTCGATGCCGGAATCAGTACCATTGAACAAATTGAAACATGGGGACCAGGGGTATCGAGTTTCACCGGAACCACTGACGACACCCCCGGCGCCGGAAGTGACGGAAAAAGTGAAACCAGCCAAACCGGCCGAAAAAGCTTTGCCCCAACTACCAAAACTGCCGGTGAATCGACCGACGCTGGCGGCCGTCGACTTGGCCACATTTATCGATAAGCGCCACTTCACCCAGACGCCAGCGCCCGTCGCCCCCCTCGGGCTCCCGCCGCAGTGTCGGTGCAGGTGTCAGCAAGGGGCGCCGCACGCAATCGCGCTGGCATCGCCGCCAGTGCGCACGGCGGCTCCTGCACCTAGTCGGTTGCCGACGACGACGGCTCAACCAGCCACCGGTCGTATAAGTGAAACACCAGGTGAAACCAGCGGTGAAACGTGTGCTGAAACCTATGCTGATACCGCCATGCCGTTGTTATGGAAAAAACACCGCCATGGCCCCATTGACAACAACACCACCCATCCACACAAACCCCACCATTTCTTCCCCCTGAAGCCGTTTCTGAACGACGACCGTGACTCCGTTGACGATAACCCCAGCTGGAGTCCTCCGAGGCAATCCCCCATTGAGGCACCAGTGATTGCCATTGATCCACCATACCACGAGAAATTGCCGCCAAATGAGCTCCTGGCGGTCCCCGAATTAAACCGGCTGCCTGCCTACGACTCTCAAATGCCTCAGGATTATTATTATCCCGATAATTATCTCTATCCGGCCCTGATACTGGACCTGTATGATGCTTCTTTAAGGGGCCATTTTAATGGTCTGTCCCTCGGTCCGTGGATTGGCGGTGGCGGTGACCAGTACCTGCTTCGAGGCCTGTCCTCAATTAATGGCTACCAGCCGCTGTTGACGCTGTATATCAACTACTACCAGTATTATCAGGGGTATGCTGATCTGTGTCAAGAACTGGCCTATCTGCCATCAGTGGATACTCACGGCAGGAGACGATTACAAGTACCCCTGGCATTACGTCATATTCATGAAGAGGACACTGCTGAAGAGGAAACTGTCGATAACGAAACCGTTGAGGAGGAAGCCATTGAAGAGGAAGTACGGGAAGACGTTAAAGAGGTAGGGGTGGCTCGCCTGCATCTGGTAGCCACCTCCACTATACTGTTCCAACCCCCACAAGGCCCCCCACCGGAACTACGCGATGACGATAGCTATAAACGTGGTTTCGGTAACCTGCCTTCGCGTACCCCTTATCGCGTCCGCCTGATGGTCCTGCCCCCTCCAGCAACACAACGGTCAATGGTCAATGTGCCGAAACCGTCATCGCCTCAACAACGGCTGGTGCTGCTGCCCGAATACTACCAAGATCACGTGGTTAATGAACAGTATCCCCAGTCTCCTGAAGCATTTGACTATCATGGGGCTCGGTTATATTACCAGGTCCAACTTGAACGTCAGGCCCAGCAGGCTATGCCTCAGGGTATGCCCCAGTCACGCTCGATGCCTCAGTTCCCGTCAACTCAGTCCATGCCCCAGCCAATGCTTCAACCAAGTCATCTTACTTATATCCCTAATCCCGCTGAACCGCCTCAACCGCCTCACGTTTACCAACCGCTACCGCCTACGGCTCACGACCTCGCTGCTGCTTCTGGTCAGTACCCTACTTTGGAGACTCCTCAAATCTCAGGTGAGCCAACACCTCCTGCTCCACCCCAGCACCCCCACGTGCCTGAACCTCGTGAACTTGCGGAGATGCTCACTTGTCCCCCGCTGCCGGATGTGAATCTCCCTCATCAACCTCACGAATATAAACGTATGGCCATTCCTAAAGAGGCACCAATACCAGAGGAAGGAGAACCAAACCCGAGAGATGAAGTACCGTTTGATCAATTGCCGGCTCCGCTTGAGTATATTCAAGAGTATCAACAGCAAACGGCACCGGTTAGAGAGCCAGCAGTGTACTCGTTCAAACCTCCACTGGGTGATGACGATGGTAGTACCGAACAGAGACGTCACCTTCTGGACCTGATGCTTGGGCCAGCAAGTCGTCAACCTCAAACTCAACAGTACCGTCAGCCCTACGAGCCTGATTACGATTACACCTACAACTCTGACGAGGAAGATGAACCGTTGAAACCTAAACTGCGGTTAGACCCCAAGCGTGAACTGGTGGAACAATTCCTTAAACGAAACGGTATGGATACGTTAGAGAATATTTTGGACAAATACGTCAACCTGTCGGATAATCTGATCCGGTCAGTGAGTGCTCCCGTGACCGTGGATAGAGACTTACCTCCAATTCCTGAACCACCACAACAGCCATCGATCCAAGTGAGGGTACTGAAACATGCACCAACTTCCCAGTTACTGGAATCACCCGTGGTCGCATTAAAGCAACGCCAACAAGTACGGTTTGACCCTAATCCTCCACCAGTACATTATGCTCGCCGTCATAGCGAACTGGGACTGGAAGTCTCGCTGATGCAACTGCCTCAGGTGGTACAAAAGGCACAAATGGCGCAAAGGAAAAGTCAACCTGAGGAGATTACCGATGAATCACCTCCCCCAGCGGTTATCACCACTGACGCCACTGCTCCTGAAGCCGCTACTGCTCCTCCCAAGTCGTCGTATAATGACTTCTATAAAGGCGGCAAACAACAGCAACAACAACAGCAACAACAGCCTCCAGCCCAACGGAAGAGTATTTTCGCTAAGCTCGTCCCTGCTCCGAAACGTACGCTGATGATTGAAGAAGAAGAGGAGTTCCCCCTACTGCCAGTTGATGGAGACCTTCGAGCGGCTCAGGCTCAGGTGGAGGCAATTGCCCGTGCTCAAGCTCAGGCCCAGGCTCAAGCGAGAGGACAAGCCCAAGCCCACGCTGCCGCCCAAACTCAAACTAAAGCTCAGCAGTTCCAAGCACAAGCACAGGCGAAAGCTCACGGCCAGGCGTTAGCTCACGCTCAAGAACAACGAATGGAAGCGCAACAACAACCAGTGAAGCCACCAGTTCAATCAAAACAGGCTCAACCAGCTCCACGTCAACCTCAATCTCCAGCTCCAATGAAGAGTCAGGCAGAAGCGGAAGCGGAGGCGCGAGCTCAGAGAGAGGCTAACGGGGGGTTCAAGCTGGCAGGAGGGTTTAAGCTGATGGGTACCGCGTTTAAAAAGCTGTCTCTGGGAGGTGGACTTGTCAATATAATTCGCAACCGCTTCTCAGGACAATTCAGTTCTGAAAGGCAGACGACTGCTCCTGCTCCTATTGCTGCTCCTGCTGCTCCAGTTTCCGCTGTTGCTGCTGTATTTGCTCCTGGTCCTTCTGCTACTTCTACGGCTCCTCTTACAAATGCCCCTGCTCCTGCTCCCTCTGCTGCACCGGGACCGGTGAAGATCAAGGGTATTCACCATGGGCCAGCACCAAAGAATCGTTACTATCCTAATCGAGCTGATACCACTACAAACGGAGTACCGCCACCAGTACCACCGAAAACGCTCGACCCGTTGCTGGATAAAAAGATTCCACCACCACAAATGATTGCTGAGGCCTTCGCCCACGATGACGACGATGTCAGCCTCTTAATGTGCCGCACCCAAGCGTTGCGTCTTAATAACTAGATTATTTAATGATAATGACCAACATCACGAATTGAATTTAGTAATCATTTGATAAAATTAGTCTACAAGTTGCTTCTCATGTTAATTGAGATAGTAAGTATACAAGCTTCAATAGAAGTACTCTCAGAACACGATGATAGATACTTGATACTGTTGGAACGTATTGATTTCAGTGATTTAGTGATTTGTCATTGCCTATCTTTCATTATCGTACACCCTTATTCCGTTCAATCCTAATAGTTCGTGATTTTATTGTCTATAAGTTTCATAATCATACAAGGTTTAGTTCAAGTTGGTCTTGGGACGGCGCCACCAGATGACGTAGCCCACCACGGCCAACATCACAAAGCAAAGGGCAAAACTGACGCCGAATACTGGTTGGTAGCAGGCGTTACCTAAACGACAAATGCCATCGACAGCATGGGCATCGTAGATCCACCCAAAGTACTTATTCAAGATGACAAGGGTAATAAACGGACCAACACAGGTGAGACCCCAGGTGATGGAGAATGTGCGAGTACCAAATTGGTCAGCAATCACTGCTGGATAAGTCCCGAAAGCAAGGCCATAACTTACCCCAGTTAACGCCAGTCCCACGCTAAGCCAGTACTCGTCAGCGACATTGGTATATGTCACTAACTGGCCCAGGGCTAAAGTACCGCACATAAGCACCGACATCCATAGTCTCAGGTAGTGGCGTTTATGGAGCTGATCACTGGCAAATCCAGCGATAACCCGACCCAAAAACGATGAGATTGAAATGATCAGCACTTGTAATGCCTGGATCTTGTGGACATCGGTGGCGTCGTCATCGTACCACGCCTGGGCCTGGACGATATAACCGACGGAATAAATGTACATCTGGCCAATCCCCGCGGCGAGAGACACCGTTAAGAAATGGGTCAAATAGAGTTTATTCGTTAACCGTCTCTTAACCACCTCAATCGGGTTATGCGAGTGTTTCTTAGGAGCTTGTTGTTCCTGGTCAGCCAACGTACTCGTCTCCAGCACGGGGGCACTATCGAGAGCCCAATAGGTACCAGCCTCATTGGGGTGCGATGTAGTGGTAGCAGCGGAGGGCTGACCAAGGGTATCCTCGTCTTCTTGGTCGAGGTAGACGTGGACAAACGCCAGACCAATTAAGGTGATGGCGCCACAGAAACAGGCAAAGAACTTAAGGAGACCGCCGGTATCATTATCAAACCATAACGTCGCAATAGCGGAAAATACCGTGGCAGAAAGACCATAGGCAGATACTGGTAGAGCACCAGCAGCACCGCGATGACGAGGGAAATTGGCCTGGGCGGCTTTCAAACACGAGAAATAGGAGGTAATGGAACCAAAACCAACGGCAGCCATCGCCACACATATCCCTAACACGGTAGCAATGACGTGGCTATAGAAATAGTACACCAAAAGGTAACCACCAAAGATACCGCCCGCCGCCAATATTATCGCTTTTTGCGGGCCAAAATGATCAATGACAAATCCACCGGGGAGACCACCACACCCCAGCCCTAGATTAGTCGCGAGACCAATGGTAGCCAGGTCCAGAGCCGTTAAACCAAGATGCGCCATCAACTGGGGCAGGTACACCCCGTAGCAATAGACGGTGCCCGCCGCCAACAGCACGAGCACCCCGACGACGAGCGCCGTCACTCTCTCCCGTGTGTGCATGGTCAAAAGGCTGAAACACACAGTAGGTACACTCCTCAGTGGTGGGGAGTTTTGTAAGCCTTTGGAAGGTCGCTAAAGGGAAAAATTGAACCAACCCCGTATTAGTGGATATAGTGAGACACTCGGTATTTTCCGGAAAAAAAGCCTCAGCGACAATATGAAACTGAATGGGGATATCCTTTCAAATTAAAGGAGCGGTTATTGGTGAGTGCCAGACAGAATATTGTTGTTTTGAAGAGGGAGCTGGCTATCTCTAGGAATAAAGGGGTGCGGCACGTGCTTATCGGGTTTTTTTTTTGGCTTGCCATGCTGAGAGCTGGGGGAAGGTCATAGCGCGTTTAGGTCGCGTTCAAAATGCGATTGATATTGTCCCGGGCTCACAATCATCCTAAACATCAATACTCGCGGTGAAACAGGTACCAAACAGTCGAAGGAGGTGTCTCAGGTGGCGGCTGGCTGGCTATAAAATGGCCATCAAAACAATCAATTCACCACTACCACAATTATGGCGGCAGCTCGGTGTGACGCGTGCAAAAGGCTGAAAAGACGGTGTACGGCAGTGGAAAAGCCCTGGGCCCCCTGTCAACGGTGTGTGGAAAGAAAGGTAGCCTGTTTATTTAACGGACAGGCTCGTCACTACCAGGATCAAACGCGTCTGTCTCACGCTGATGGACGCGTGCCTACCGACCCCAGATTGCATTCTATGAGACAACCAGTACCACCAGTACAACCGGTACAACCAGTACAGCCACTGATGGCTCAGTCTCCACAACCAACGATGTTGGAACAGATTCAAACGCCGTTGACTCCAAAGTCAAGCTATACTAATTACCAAGAACCCCCTCAGGAAAAGGTAAATGTTAACAACCACCGTCATGGTGGAATTACGGTGGAGCTTCTTCCGGAGACGCCGCCGCCGCCACCGCCTCCGTCTACGTCGCAACTGCTTGTGACTACTTACCCTACACCTCCCAAGACGCCGATGGAGATGTACCGCCACATTAATGAATACTACCAGATGGCAGGGATCAGTGATGCTGAAATTTATCGGTTCAAGCGCCAATTGATGGAGATGTTGAAGCAAGACTGTACTACTGCCGAACACCATCTTGTCGAACTAATCAAAGATGAAACTACTCCCATCCACGCCATTGAAGCCGCGTGTGATCAAATCACCACCACCCCACTGGCGGAATGGGAACGTGTGTTTTATAAGGAATTGGTGGCGGTGGTGGCCCGCCGCAACGACGATCGGCTCACCCGAGTGTACATGCAATTTTTGCGCCGATGGCCCCAACCGTACTACGCTCACCGAGATATGGTCCACCTCCGCGTCCACGCCGCCGTGCCTGAGTCTATAGTATTTTGTGAGTAGATACCAATTTTGGTCAGTCACGTGACTTACATCAGAAAAAGACATGGTGCGATTGAGGTAGAGACCACCATAGTGAAAGAGAGCCACCGGGATCCCAACGTTTATGACCCGATTAGCTAACCACGAGTTCCTCGCCGAGGTCGGCAAGTTGCTTGCGGCCAACGACGGCAAGAACTCGGTGTACGTCACGCAGAAACGGCTCGTGCTGGACGTCGAGACTCCGGGCCACCTCGCCGACCTCCCGTCAAACGTGGTGACGCTGGAGATGGAACCCCTCGCCCCCGTCAACGTCACCACCTACCCCATTCTCGTACGGGTACAGATGAATGGCAAGGAGCGCAAGGACAAGCTGACGAAATTGCTGACGGTGGTGGAGACGAGCCAGTTGGAACAGTTCTGGGGCGACTACGTGCAAGTGTTGAAAAACGGCATGGTGGGGCTTAGAAAACGTGAGAAGAAGAAGAAGAACAAGAACAAGAACAAGGTGACCAAGTAGACGCTTTTTCCAACTATTTTATCATGTATATTAATCACGACATCATCTAGAGCGCGCGAGTCCACAACTGAGTCTCAACCGTAACTCAATTTGCGGAGGTCTATCATAAGCCGTTATGTCATTGTTGACTATCGATAGGTTCACCTAGCTGTATCCTTTTCGATATCATCGACTGTTTCCATAAGATTCTATTGAGATTCCACCAGCTTCTTCGATGGAAACCTTCCATGGGGTTCCATTTCCCTAGCCTTCGATAACCTTCCATGACTTCAACTATATAACCACCACTGCCCTCCCCTCAGCAACCATTAACTCAACAAATAATCATGAGCAAAGCTGTTGGTATTGACTTGGGAACGACCTACTCGTGTGTGGCTCGCTTCGCCAACGACAGATGTGACATTATTGCCAATGACCAAGGGAACAGAACCACCCCTTCGTTTGTGGCGTTCACCGATACTGAGAGATTGATTGGTGATGCTGCTAAGAACCAGGCGGCGATGAACCCGGCTAATACCGTATTTGATGCTAAACGGTTAATTGGTCGCAAGTTTAATGACCCTGAGGTTCAGAATGATATGAAGCACTTCCCGTTTAAGGTGGTCGACAAGCTGGGTAAACCCGCTATCCAAGTTGAATATAAGGGTGAAACCAAAGTGTTTTCTCCTGAAGAAATCTCCTCAATGGTATTGGGGAAGATGAAGGAGACTGCTGAAGCGTTTATCGGTTCTAAAGTGACTGACGCTGTGGTCACTGTGCCTGCCTACTTCAATGACTCTCAAAGACAAGCTACTAAAGACGCTGGTCTCATTGCTGGTCTCAATGTCTTAAGAATCATTAATGAACCTACGGCTGCTGCCATTGCCTACGGTTTGGACAAGAAGGGCAACACCAAGGGTGAACAGAACGTGTTGATCTTTGACCTTGGTGGTGGTACTTTTGATGTATCGCTTTTGGCTATTGAAGACGGTATCTTTGAAGTTAAAGCCACCGCTGGTGACACTCACTTGGGTGGTGAAGACTTTGACAACCGCTTGGTCAACCACTTCATCCAAGAATTCAAGCGCAAGACTGGTAAGGACATCACCGGCAACCAGAGAGCCTTGAGAAGATTGAGAACCGCCTGTGAACGCGCCAAGAGAACCTTGTCGTCGTCGGCACAAACCTCGATTGAAATTGACTCGTTATATGAAGGTATCGACTTCTACACCTCGATCACCAGAGCCAGATTCGAAGAATTGTGTGGTGACTTGTTCAGAGCCACTATGGACCCCGTGGAAAAGGTGTTGAAGGATGCTAAGATCGACAAGTCGCAAGTGAACGAAATCGTTCTTGTTGGTGGTTCCACCAGAATCCCGAAGATCCAGAAGTTGGTGTCTGACTACTTTAACGGTAAGGAACCCAACAAGTCGATCAACCCCGATGAAGCTGTGGCCTACGGTGCCGCTGTGCAAGCCGCCATCTTGACCGGTGACACCTCGTCGCTGACTCAAGACTTGTTGTTGTTGGATGTCGCCCCCTTATCCCTCGGTATCGAGACTGCCGGTGGTATCATGACCACTTTGATCCCGAGAAACTCCACTATTCCGACCAAGAAGACGGAAACCTTCTCCACTTACGCCGACAACCAACCCGGTGTGTTGATCCAAGTGTTTGAAGGTGAAAGAACTAAGACCAAGGACAACAACTTGCTTGGTAAGTTTGAATTGTCGGGGATCCCTCCTGCTCCTAGAGGTGTGCCTCAAATTGAAGTCACTTTTGACTTGGACGCCAACGGGATCTTGAACGTCTCTGCCTTGGAAAAGGGAACTGGTAAGACTCAAAAGATTACCATTACCAACGACAAAGGTAGACTCTCTCAAGAAGAAATCGAACGTATGGTTGCTGAAGCTGAGAAGTATAAGGAAGAAGACGAAGCCGAGGCCGCCAGAGTTGGCGCTAAGAACGGTCTTGAATCCTACGCCTACTCGTTGAAGAACTCCATCAACGGTGACTTGAAGGACAAGATTGATGCTGGCGACAAGCTGACTCTTGAGAAGGCCATTGATGAGACGATCTCATGGTTGGACGGTGCTCAAGCTGCCACCAAGGAAGAATACGCCGACCGTCAAAAGGAATTAGAACTGGTGGCCAACCCCATCATGTCTAAGGTCTACGGTGGCGCTGCTGGAGGTATGCCTGGTGCTGATGCCTCGGCTGGCGCTGCTGGCTCCGCTGGAGCTGAAGGTCCCTCCGTCGAAGAAGTCGACTAAACTTGTAAATAGTACTAATGAAACGAGAATAATGGACATCAATAATTGTAGATGGGCTACTCTAATAGACTGATTGAGTTGCCTACCAAAATCATAGAAGAACTGTCTTGAGAGCGTCAGAGGATTACATAAAAGCTTGCTAACATCTAACTCAGAGCTTTTAATAGAACTACTCGTAATTTTGACTCTCGGAAACTTAATCTCATTTACTTAGCAACCTTTTTTCGTTGACATTGACGTCGTTCTAGGGGTGGTTGCAAAATGATGACAAGCAGAATAGGCAAGGCAATTATCCCTACTCAAATAATATTAGTTGTAAAGTGTTGATACGCTATTTACTTACGCATCGTCGTGTTGCTGTACCACCAAGAGCCCGCTCGGGTACACCGCCAGGATGCTATTAATCTGTTGATCCCTCACATCGTCCAACTTCTGGCGAGGAGGCGACGCCAGAGCCAATGAGAACGTATACTGCATGTGGAAGTTGGCGTACTTTTGGTTAAACTCCAGCTCGGAAAGATCCAGCAGCGTCGAGGGACCATCGTCACCCAAAAACCCGCGGTTCCAAAGCTCAACGTATATGTACAAGTCCTCCACCTTGCGGTTGCCATCGATATTGATTTGACGGCGACTACCGTCGTTGAACTTGAATGCCACCCGTGCTCCTTGAGTCTGATCGGGGGTGGCAAACTTATGAGTAGCCTGATACCGAAGCCACTGGTCCTCATCCTGTTTGCGTTGACGGTGGATCTTCTTAAGCTTATCGCGTTGTAACAGTTCTTCATAGCGCAGTTTCATTTGCCGCATCATCAACTCGTGCTGGTACTTTTCCATAAGCTCCAGTCTCATTACTCCAAGCTCCTCCAGGTACTTGGCTAGCGTAGTAACAAATTTCGTCTGAATGAGAGCCGAGGCATTAGTTTGTGGAGTGAGACCGCCTTGAATCTTCAGCACCAACGAGATTGTCGGCAGCGTTTTCACGGGACCCATAGGTGTCATCTTTGTCGATCTAGTCAAACATAAGAGACCCAAAAACGGAAACTTCGTCACTCCCAAAGAATTAGCTAATTGGTAAGCTTCAGGATTAGTAAGGTCGCCGCCCCATATGAGGATATTAGGGTTGGTAAACAACCTGCGGAAGTCAGGATTGAGGACAATTTGATGGAATATCGACAGCGCGTGTTCGTTTTCGTCGTTAGTCAAATACACGAACAAAAACTTGGCTCGACGGGTAGCCATATAAAACGCTTGAGAACACAGTCCTTCAAAGAACGGGGGGAGCTGTGACCGGTCGGCATCGTTAGGCAAATGGTCCTCTAGCCCGCGCACAAACTTATTCACTTTATCAATAGGGTCGAGCAATTGGGTATAGCTTAACGAGTCCCGCAGCAGCTGGGCGTCGGGGAAATGGATCAAATTGAGCACCACCGCCATCACCCGCGAGACGAGTTGCATGATGATGGCCATGGCTTTAATCACGACGAAGTTAATCGCGGTGACCACTTTAGACGGGCGCCGTAGAAATGTCGGCTCGGGACGGTCTTCTTCAAGCCGTATGTATGATCCAGGCACCTCCGGCGACGGTTCCTGCTGGTCGCGGCCAAAGAGGCTATTGAGGATATCCGTTATCGCCATGGCTTGGAAATGGTGTGGGAGCGAGGGTCGGTGGCGTGAGAAACAATATAGGTGCGACCCGTGCGACCTAGCAATGGCTCATGGGAAATTTACAATAATTAAATTGAGTACCGGTTTTCTGGTCTAAGTTTCGAAAATTGTAGTATACATTGGTTAAGTCAATCATAAAGGTTTTATTTTGTGATTTATGATGTTATCAATAGCTACCTTCTGTTCCCCGCTGGCCTCGAAGTAGGATGTTTTATTGAGTGCATAAGTTAGCGAATGCACTTGACGTCATCGATCACCAGAGCCCCTCTATGGACTACGTTCGCCCACCACGCACACGCAAAGCGAATTCTAGACCCACGACAAAGGTCTTTTGCACCCAAATTTCTCGTTAGCAATTTTTTTATTATGATCGGATTAGTATAGTTTCTGGCGTGGCCCCTACACGTACTAAAAGAGAATAGGAGCGTACAAAAGCGATCCTAGATCCCAGACATCGGCGACAATACCCCCTAAATCAGTCTGGACCGGTCTATCGCCACCCCATCTCATGTGGGCCGAGATGATTATGCCGCTACCTCCTGCAATTGACGGTAACCCGGTGGTGCCACCGACCATATGTAGGCAGATAAACCCCTGGATTTACTATTCAGTAGCCATAGTGTCAGTAACAAAACGACCCAAGCCATCATCCCACCTAAAAGCATGGAGCAAGTTTGCTCTAACCACCATGGACCACGCCAGCTCCGACACTTTCGCCGCGTAAGTGGAAGCCGGGGCTTCCGGTCGCGGGAGATCATTTGTACGTATTAGAATTTAAAGGTCAAGCTTTCATGCACCATTACCCGCTTGCTGGTGATGAAAGCAGAGTATTGTCTTTGGGTGAAAAAAAAAGCATTGGGATAGGAGATATCTCTGTCTACAGTTGGTGGTCATGAGATAATTATATTTGATTTGTCATGCTATAATACACATCATTAAGGTAAATGCAAACGACACTTAGGCCGCGGAGGGTACCAAAACCCTGGTATGAACTCAATGGTGGGGCAGGGCCAGCGCTTATAAAGAAGGGGCCACAAACCGGCGAATAAGTGTTGAAAAACCGAAACGTTTTTGAAAAACCGAACAGCTTGCTCCGTCGTAGCCTTAAAGAAGGAACTTCAGGAGTTTGTAAAATTTTTTTTCTTTGGAATATCGAAATATTTTAAAATAAAGGATGAAACCGAAAATCGTGCCATTAATGTGGCTGGTAAAAAGTAGGACAATGTCCATAAGAAATGGAGCAATAGTCGCTCGCCTGTGAAAGGGCTTACTCACGCAATAGTCGCGAGAGTATGTAGGGTGAATGCAGCGAAAAAGCCGACAAATGTCGATGGGAACCGAAGGAGTAAAAATCGAAAAACGTCCGTGAAGTGTTTCAACGGGCCTTCTCCACCAAAGCGTCCTCATGCCACCACCACCACCAGCAGCCAGTGTATTCGCCTCATCTCAGAATCCAAACATACGCTTGGACCAACGGACCAGTGAAGGTGTCAGCCCACTGAGATAAAGCCACCACCGCTGATGAAGGACAGGCTGAGGCCGGTGCTAGTGAAAGCACAAGCGAATCAATGTGAGTGATTGATTGATTCGAATCAACAGGGATCAACCCTCCTATTTATAGTTGGGCTAGCTGGAATGACACCGGCGAACAACAATAACCTCATTAGGCTAAGCTACGCTGCACGATGGTAAACCGTGCAGACAACGCATCACGCCCCCTCGACCACCCACCCTGCACCGCGATATTATTTTCCCATCCTGTACGATGCCCGGCATTTTTTCTATTGTTGCCATGGCCACCTGCAAGACCCGCCATCGCCAAACCGCATTTCCAAGCCCCCACCAACGGCAGCTACAGCAACGGAGACGGCCACGTCATCCCCCAAACAACAAAGCCCACCTCGAGTTGCTCGTCATCGCCGGCGACCACGTTTAAGCAACCATACGCTACCCCCCTATAGACAGTAGAGAAAGAAAAAATTTTCGCCCCCGGATTTCTTTTCTGGGACGCCAGGCATGGGCCCCTTCGCCAGGGGCGACGAACGTTTTGTCCTGACCTTTTGGTCATTTATCCCCCTAGAGGAAGGGGTCCACTGCCGTTCTCGTATAGCCCCCGACAGCGACACTGCCTAAATCGCGGCAGATGCCATGTCAACGCTTAACCCCGCGTGCATAGATCTCCTTCGGTATTGCTGGATGTTTACTTGACGAGGCAACCTAGGCCTCCCCTGGATATACGAGAACGGTAGTCAACGTCACCGCGGTCACGCGTTGCTAATGGCTACCGATCCCACCAAGTCGGCCCCCACGGAGACAACGGAGAAACCAGAGAGCGACATTACTGTTACGGTTTTAGGCTAGGGAGGTGTGTGTTTGGTGGTGGTGGTGGTGTCGCCTGCGATCGGCCCAACAATGCTCTGCCACCTGCCCTTCCAACTAAATCTAGTACGCGCACTAGAGCTTCGCTGTCGGCAGGCGCCTTGGCTAAGGGGGCCAATGACGTCACAGACCAACTGCCAGTGTTATGGCGAGGTGGCTGGATGGAAACACCACAAAACCGCAAGGGTTACCCCAGAAAAGCCGCTTCAGTGACTAAGCTAACAGCCACCAATTATTAGAAATAAAATAAAAGTTTTATTGTCATTTTGGTGGGTGCTTATTGGAAGGCACGCGGCAGTGACTGCGTGTGGCAGGGCCCCCGCAATTAAGGCGATGGCACCCTGCACGAGCCCTACGTGTGTTTACGATGTTGGTCTCCTTCCTCATCGGGCCAGGCGTGCCTTATTGAGGCCCCAGCAGCGCAGCCGATCACCCAGCAAGCCGAGCAAGATCCCGCGCCCTGTGGGTGGCCAGAGCTACCCGGGGGGGTTTGCCTAGCAACCACCCCACCTTGGGAATAAATAAATAATACATGGTGCTGGCTTGATGGTCAAAAACCGAGATGGCAACACGATCAAATTTTTTCCCCTTCAGTGGTTCCAGCCTTCCCGTAGGAGATGCCTCCCCCTTTTGTCTCAAACGCACTTAATGCCGCTTTCACTTAGCGTCACTGGAAATTGGCTACTAATAATAATATGTGTCTGCTTTAACCCACAGTCTACATGGAACGCCATGTATTCCCCACAACCCACGGCTACAGTGAAAGAAATCTACACTTTAATTTAAACGTAGAATCAATAGTTTATTTCACGTTTCGCAAATGGAAATCTAAACGGGCTCGTGTGGAGCTACCCTCGCCGGCTCGTTGTTCCCGGTGCGATGACCTCCATCGCTGCAGTGAACGTACGCAACCAGAAATCCCACCTGTATGCCGACGCGCGACCGTCTCTTCCCCGACGGTGCGGGATTAATCGCAAACGACCACTGGCGAAGACCAGCGGCGATCGCCTCATCGCTTCCGGTATGGGAGGAAAAGAAATGGTACCGGCAGCGTAAGATCGAGGTCCCCCTTTCAAACTATAAGGCGTCACTACGTGCAGAATGGACCAATTTCTCAGGGCGTACGGCCACGTCTAGAGGGGGGGGTGAGACATGAGAGGGATGAGGTGCCATCTCCCATACCCGATGCCCTATACTACCGCCTCTGACCTCCCCCTGGCATTGGCAAAAGGGTATTTCTCTATTTTTAATGTTGTTTGCATGCCCCCTTTACATCTTGGTACACGTCGCATAATTAGAAAATTTGCCACTGGAGTCCCCTTGTGAACGAATTTTGCCTCATCCAGCCCGCTGGGGTGCCCCCTTCGCTAGCTTATTGTTTTAGCCGACCGGTCCCATTGTTGCGTACTGCATAGGCTGGCCAGTAAATCACTAATTTGCCTGGGCGGGCCATCGGCAGCGCCGGTCGTCCAATTTTTAGAGCGGGCAGGGCTCGACATCGCATAAGATAATCTCATCGCGGACCAGGATGGGTCTCGTTAACTTAGCAAAAAGTAGCGTAATTTGATGAAATGCCAGCTTTAGCCATCGTTTACCCGATGTGGGGGGGTCACTGACATCGGTACATGTAAACACAAACAGTGAGGCGTACGACGACGTTCCTGGAAAGGGAAAAAAATAGGGATCTCGTCAGTGCCATTCACGCAGGGAAAATGAAATTTCTAGATGGGTGCGACAAAACGTTATAAAAAGAAGTCATGTGGTTTCTCAGAAATTGCAAATTTGTCAGATCATTAGTTCGACTCGCACCAGTGTAAATTGTGGTAGAAAAAGGCATACCAAATCCGATTAAGAAAGGGTCTCCTCCGCTCTAAACGTAATTAACGAAGATACTAACCCATAAATTATCAATCATAACCCATATTTGATTAAATTTTACTTCTAAATTTCCTCTGTTCACGGTAATCTCCCTCAACAGTCGTTCCACCGGTGTCGCATTTTTCATCGCTGCCATCGATCGTCGAGACCAACCCCCATGTTGCGGACATTCGTCAGACACGCGCTGTCGTCGGTGGAAATCCAGTTGCTCCAGGACATCCCCCAGGTGGGCGTCCGGGGCGAGGTGTTGCGGGTGCTGAGAGGCCACATGCGCAACTACCTCCAGCTCAACAACCGCGCCGCCTACATCGTTAAAGGCCAACAGCCGCCGTTGCCCGTGGTCAAACGGGAAGTGAAACCTGTGGTTACCAAAACCAAAGCTGCTGAAGACGTGGCTGAGCCGTCAGCGGTCAAGAAGACCGCTACCGAAACCGCTAAACCCGCACCGACTCTTGAAGACTTAGGGGCGCTTTTACAGAAGGCCCTGAAGCGGAAAGACTCGGTTTTCGGTGGCGCCCAGTTCCAGAAGCTGTCTTCGAGCGATGCCGCCCTCGACTACTCCGTTTCCGACTTGAAAGTGATCCCTGACCACTACACTCACACCGGCAAGCTCCCCGTGACCAGAGCCGATTTGGCTGCTGTGATTGTCAAATACACGGGTATTGCCGTCCCGGAAAACCAGATCAGAGTCAACCACGGCACTGTCACCATCGAGGGAGCCATTGAGGCCGCGGGCGAGTACACTTGGACCATCAACGTCCCCGCCGACCAGGACCTGGTGACCAAGAAGTTGACCATTGCTTCCAAATAATTACATCCTACCATACGCTGTACATAGAAATTTCATCGAAATAAGCCATAGTATAACTTGAATCAAAGGTCCCCATATACTTGGGTCATCCCTTAGGCCACGGGCACATAACCCGTTCAGTTGACGTAATTTGCCACACGAAATTTCCTTCTGGAGCCACACGATGCCATCACCATGCCCTTACAGTACTCCGCCGCAAAACTGTCGCTGCTAAGGACGCCGGCCAAGCGCCGCAAGCTCACCCCGACCCAGCAAGCTTATATCAAGGCGTCTAAGCGAAGTACTGGTGTTACCGAAGCAAAACGTCCCCACGCTCAAAGACTCGAAGTTAAAGACTACAACGTCCAACTAGACTACCAGCTCCAACGAGGCAGTGTGTTGGTCGCCGTGAATACCGTTCTCGATACCCAGTGGAGCGAGACGACGACGCTACACTCGCGCTACGCTGACCACAACCCGTTGACTCATAAGGGCAAAATTGTCGACCAAAAGACTCGGGAAGATATTCTTTTCCATTTCCGAGGGCTCAGCACTGAGTACGGAGCGAAAGTTTTAAGTTACCGCCGCACCCTCCCGGAATTGGTGACGGTAGGTCAACTATACTCGATCTTCTCTGAAGCGGGACCTACGTTTGTGGATAAACAACTTGAACTACTAATCCGTCAGGGACAACTACGAAAGTTTATTATTACGAATGCGGCACCGGTGATCTCCCGCAGTCTCCAGAAATTCCATACGGGTAAAATCACTTATGGGTTTGAGAATGTCGAAGTGGTGGCTCGAGCCGAGACTTACCACGCCCTTTTGAAAGAACACCGCACTCCCACAGCGTCGAAATTTAATCAGTTTCTCACAGCTAACCCTACGGCTCTATTTGTGGGTCCAGAACACTTTGATACCGCTGAACTAGATGAATTGGTTAACTTGGGTTTCGTCACTCTCACCAGTAACCATTTGAATGAGATCGAAACCCATCAGTACAGCATCTCCTACCCCGGGTGTGGCACTTTCCTCAAGTTGATTAACCAAGGACGGGCGTGGCTCGTGAAAACTCTCCAGTCCAATAAGTTCCATGAACTATTGGAGGATACGCTTTGGAGCAAGTATGAAGGGCGAACCCGGGCTGGTGTGTGCCAATTGAAGAACTTCCACCGTCCGTTTTACGGCTACGATCTAAACTGGATCCTTGCCGATGCATTGGGGGCTGGTGTAGTGGAAGTATTCAATACCCCCGTCGGCCGCGGCTGGAGACTCACCGGTAAGGTCTAACTTGTTAGACTAGTCGTCCTGGTATCGTCTATTAGTATAATACATATCACTCGTTTCTCTCACTCGTTGATGGTGCTCTTAATGGAGCCGACGTCAAACTTACGCCGCACCCGCTTGGCCACGGGGGTAAGAATCGTCGGCACCAGCGTGTTGGGCAACGTGATGTTGGGGTCCAGCACGTCGAAGTGCTCGTCCTCGTAGTTGTGCACCTCGTCGTCGTCCAACTGGCGCTTGCGGGTGATGGCGTCGACCGGTTTAAGCTTGATTTTCTGTACTTTCTTCGCCTTGGTCACGTTTAAAGTAGAGTTGGCCGAGGTGAATTCTTCTTCGCTGTGGGACTTTTCCGCCCGCCGGAGCTTAACCGACAGCGTGCTGACGTCGCTCGATGTCAGCGGTCGTCTCGAACCCAGTTTTCTGGGGGTTAGCAAGTCGTCCAGATCGCTATCGGAAAGGAACGAGTCGCTACCGTTATCGTTAACGGCAAACGTCGGGAGCTTTGCCGGCTTGGTGACGCCCGCGCCAAAGTCAGCATCGAGGGCATCCTTCCCGAGCATACTTCTCGGAGCACTCATTTTTTCCAACTGTTTCACTTTATCCTTCAATTTGAGGTTCTCCTTCTGGAGCTGGGCTATCCTGGTCGCCTGGCGCTTATTGTTGGCAGCGTGCTCTTGCTTAAGCTTTCCCACAGTGATCTCATGTGTCAGCACCTGTTTCTTAAGTTCAGCAACGCCGTCGTCATCGTAGACTTTCTGGACAATGAGTTGGAGAGTGGCTAATCGGATGAGCGATTTGCGCTGTTCGTTTTTGCGGTCGATGTCTTCGAGTCGATGTCGGTTCTGTTCGTGGAGCTCGAGCGCTGCCTGAAGCAGAGCATTTGATAATCGGGTCATCAATAGCGGGTGTTCGTAATGTGTGGTCCACCGTGGGGTACTAGATAAATAAATGAGCCCGTCAAAACATGCGCTTATGTGCAGTCAAATAACGGAACAACCGACCAGAACCATACTCTCACAACAAATTATTCTACTACCAGATCCAATATCTGTGTTCTGCGTTGCATACATTTTTTATTTAGTTATTTTAGTGTTTTGGGTCTACATCACGTCATCTCACTGCGATCTATACAGTTACACCTCTTCACCCGCCACCGACACCACCACCGACACCACCACCGACGCCACCACCGACGCCACCAACGATGTGGTTACGATACAGATTTGGCGAGAAGGACGTGTACAATGCCGCTCGAGGCCACTTCGCGACGAAGTACGATATCGATGTCGACAAGGCGGTCAAGTCGCCGTACCATAATGTCGAAGAGGACGAGAAAACGGTAAGGTTTATCCTTAATGCCGAGGCGCCCGACTTCCACGAAACATTCAATATCAAACCCGAGTGGAAGCTTTCACCCGACGAAGTGTTGGCCCGAGAATGGAAGCCGGAGTTACAAATACCCGTGATGTCTCGCGAAGAGTTGGCAGAGCAGGGCACGCCGCTCCCGCCGCTGGAGCTCTTGGAAGTGCTCCACGAGTACATCGGCAAACAGGACTTGCTCAAAGAGCGCCAAATGGACGAGCTGGCTCTCCTCGCACTTGGCCTGCTCGTCGAGTACTTTATCGCCAACGAGATCGACGATAAATTCATTGAGTCCTTCCGCCAACCACCCGAACTCGAGGAAACTAAGTCCTACAACCAGAGCGTGTTTGACATGTTGGACAAATCGGATCTTCTGGACGAGTCTGGCGACGAAAAAGGTCATGCTTTCCCTGCCCACGGTGAGCACGAAGAAGATGAAGAGTATAAAGACGACGAATCAGAGGAAGAGGATGATATCAAGTATTCCAGAACCAAACGCGGAAAAGCGGAAGAAGATGACGGTGATAATGAAAACTCCACTACCAAACACGAACAAGGCGATGAGTTCCAAGCTCACCTTAGTCAATACAATGATGACGCCGATATATACGCTCCGGTAACGGGATCGAGCGAGATTCGGACAGCTGTCAAAGTGGAAGAAGGAACCTCACGGACATTCCCCACTGAGTCTACGTCTCATACAGTTGATAAGAAGCCTGATGTGTCTAAGAAGAGCTCTTCAAAGTCAAAGAAGAAACGAAAGCTGAATGATGATAAGCTGAAGAAGACAAAGAAACTGAAGAAATCGAAACCCGACGTGCCAGGGTTCTAAAGTGCAATATCGAGTTTTTTTTTTGATCGAGCACAAAAACAATGCATTATAAATACTTTAATGAGACAGCATGAATGAAAACCTCAAATCAAAAGAAAAAAAGAATAGTTATCAGATGTTAAGGTTTGAAATAACTAAAAAGACTTTGAAGTCAAAAACAAGGGGCGAGCTGGGAATCGAACCCAGGGCCACACCCACCCTAAGGGTGTATCATACCACTAGACCACACGCCCATGTTGGAGAACGAAGCTGAAAAGCAATAGAAGTCCGGCGACGTGAAGGCAGATTTTTGCCGACTTCGCGCAGTTTAAATTAATCAGTACCCCAATTTTGTTGAGGCAGCACTAGGGAACTTTGAATTTAAATATCTGAAAGTTTTGTGACACCTTTTATGAATAATAAAGACGTTTATGACAGTTTTTCACGGGTTGAGATTAATGAATACAATGAAAATTGGGAAGAAATACCAAGCCACAAACCACCGGCACACCTGTGAGTCTACCATCTACCCGTCACTAGTGTAAATTAGTTTTGTACATTAAGAAAAGTGATACACCGCCGTTTAAAAAATCTATCAGTTTATCCAAGTACCGGACACGACGTAATATGCCATGAAGAAAATTAGTTCAAGAAGGAACAAAGGGCAGTGGTCAAAAGTGATCAACACCTAAGACTTGCTCTTGGTCGAAATAACGTCATTTTGGAACGAAACGTGTTCTTCATCATCAATCAGACCGTAGGATTCCAGAGACGATTCCGGTTCCTTAGGTTCAGGCCGTTCGAGGAAAGTGAATGGTTTATCAGTGACACGAGACTGGATCCAGGCGATGGCACATCTCACTGAACAACTAAAGATCGTCAAGATCACGCCACCGACGGGGGCAATGGCGAAGGCGCCAAAGGGACCCCAATCTTCCGAGTTGTAGAGACCGTTCCACATCAACAAAAGCTTACCCCCTTCGCTGGCCAGGTGGTAGTAGCAGAGACCATAGACCCACACAAAGAAAATGGCACCAAGCCCGCCGAACATGACGTCGAAACCATTCAACATGTAGAAGTACCTGTCGCTAAGCCCTAAGAATACCAGGGGAATGACGGAGGCACTGACGAGATCGGCAATCAAGTAGATCTTGAGAATGTCGTCAGCAACCACCAACGCCAACACCACGATGGGGACAATGATCACCACCACAATGATACGCACGTACCAGATGTTGAGCCGGTTGCGGAAAATATCGTTGGAGATGGTGGAGACAAACGCCGACTGCAACGAGTCAAACGTCATCGTCGAGAGGGCGACGATGAAGATGATGATGAACGCCACAAGCCACGTCGGCATCTTCTCGAGCAAGATGAAAAAGGCGTTATAACCGTTTTCATCGCCCACTTCCAAGTCCCCCAGCCACACGGCAAGCATCCCCGGCACCCCGACCAACGAACACACGACAAACACCACCACCGAAGCGATCAGACACCCGATCCAGAGATCTTTGTTTGATCTCAGGGCAAACGTACGCAACCAGAACCCGGACATAAAACAGTCATTAGTTAAGATGGCGACAAATAAGATGTACACCAACTGCCACCCAAGCTTATTACCCTTAAGCAAGCCCGAAGGGCCCACTTTCAGAGTGTCAATCTTAATATACGACCCCATACCGCAGGCACAGATGATGATCAAAATGATCACCAACGCCCCCTGGAAGTTGTCGGTGATGAAACTGACTTTGAAACCGCCATAAGCGGTGTAGATCGACGTCACTACACACTCGATGATCACCATCGGCAACGCGTTGAGCCCCGTGAGCGTCTCGATGGCCCCCTTAAGCGCCGAGAGCTCGGCCAACATGAAGAGGAACATCGTGAGACAGGTGAATAACGACAAGTATAACGCCGTGACCACGCCGAAGCGGTGGCGGACCCACTCCGTCAACACAAACCCGTCGGGACACCGCCGGCGAATCACCGGGCCGATAGCGGCGAACCCTAAAATGGGGATGGCCCCGCAAATCGTGTACACCAACAACCCGTGCAACCCGGCGACATTGGCGATCTGGGCGTAGGTCGTCAATATACCACACCCCATGGCACTGGCGATGAAATTAAGGGCAAGGGGCAAGCCCCGCTGGGTGCCGTTGCTGCTGAGGAACAGCGACTTCGACCCGTAGCGCCAGGCGAGAAAGCACCCGGTGATGAGGAGGAACCCGTAGGTGCACCAGATGACGGCGTGACTACCGGGATGAGAGAGCTGGCCCATGATGAGGGGGGCTCATCGACGGGCCGTCTATTTGGTATATATACGCCGAATAAGGTGCGGCGCTTTATTAATTTTGCTCTTGTGGTCGCCTGCAGCAAAGTATGCGGTTAGACGAAACTCGTATAAAACCCTCAATTTCAGTAGTGGGAGATGAAAGATAACGCCGCGGACGCCAAGGGTCCACGGCTAGGCATGCCCCTAGCGGGTTTTGGCAACGGTTTTCCTCCTAAGTTGGCGGAGATTTCGGTCTTTTCCTGCACATAGTCGGGTCGACGATAACCGCATATGCCATTAAATTGTCCCTATGCGAGGGGGTGAGACCAATACGAGAGAGACATTGATGCCCCTTCCCCCCCATTGTTCATCAGAAGTCAATAACCTTATCGGGAAAGTACTCGTCGATCAACGCCATGTAGTACGGCTTTAGCTCATTTACGTCAAGCTTGGTGTCGATCTTGCTGTACAAGTCGTACTTGTTGAACGCCTTGACCGCCTTGAGCATGTCGGTGTCGTGGGCGTCCATGAGGTACTGGTAGGCGTTTTCCTGGTGCCACGGGTAGAACAGGTGGTAGCGGATCATCGCCAACGCCTCCTGCGGGAGAGTCAGGTTCTCCTTCGCAATGTGGTACATGTACTCGTCGTGGCCCCACGAAAGCATCACTTTGTCGAGACCACACCGTTCCAGGTAGATGCCGTACTTGGTATTGTACAACGGGTTGTAGAAATCAGGGTTTTTCTTGAATGATGCCGGCAATATTATCTTGCTTGAAAAACGACATCCGACGGGGAACGTGTCGCCCACAACGTCCCATTGGCCTTTGGAGTCGAAAAAGTAAAGCAACTTGCCCAAGTCGTGGATAAGCCCCACAAGCTGAAACCACCGGGGCTGGCCGTCCCGCCTGATCGCCTCTGCCGTCTGTAAAGCGTGGTCGATCTGGGAGAGCTCAGTATCGGGGTCAGAGTCGTCCAAAAGCTTATTGAGCTTCTCAAGCCCTTCCCAAATCGTCATCCGGGCCCGCGTCTTTGTTTTAAAGTTGATTCGGGCCTCGATATTGTACGCCACCGTCTGCTTCTCGTGCTGCTCGTCGTAAAACAGCTTCACCCGGTCACACGCAAGCTCGTACTGGCGAAAGGTGTCTTTGTCGACGTTGTTGAAGTACTCAGACAGGTCCTTATACTCGTCGCTGTCACCAATATCGTCGAGGCCGTCGGAAACTGGCGACTCTTCCTTCGCTGGTAGCAGCTGTTTAAGCTTCCCCTTGATGCGGTTGATGTGCAAAACTTCATCGTCAAGCTGCTCTAGCAACACGCCGTCCTTGGCCTTATCGGTAGTGCGCTCGGGTTGTCGTCGGGGCTTGGTGATCTTCCCCTCCATGGTCATTTGATGGTAGTCTCCCGTTATCACACGCGAAAAATAATGTCACGTTGTGGAGCAGACAGGATCAGACATTGCAATGATTTAGCTCAATTCTAGACTCCTAGCTTCTCGATATTATCGAACTTTTATTGTTTTAGTGATCATAAATATCGTTATCGTTTAGTTTTTGGTCAACACTTGTTCAATGAGGCGATGAGTGGTAGCCACGGGGAGACCGACAATATTGAAGTAGTCGCCTTCAATATTCTCAAAAATGTACGAGCCTTTTTCCTGGTACTTGAATCCACCAGCAACTTCAAGCCCTTCGCCACTAGCCACGTACTGGTCGATCCAGCTATCGTCCACTTGGCTATTGAACTTAAGACGAGTGGTACAAACACCAGTGGCTTCACCTTCAATGCGACCAGCACCACTACCCGCAATCACCGTCACCGCACTGATGACCCTGATATCACCTAAATTGCGGTACTCCTGGATCATCTCTCTCTGGCGCTCAGGAGTCTTTGGTTTCTCTCTCACCTTACCGTCACAGTCAATCACGGTGTCACAGCAAATAAGCACATACGGCTCATCACCCTTAAGCCTGGTAGTAATCTCTTCCGCCTTACAGCGGCATGTTTGGCTCACGTACTGTTCCACGGTCTTCCCCACCTTCGGAAGGTCTTCGGCGAATTGCGATGGGAACACTTCAAACTGGCTCACGCCAAGATTCGTCTTGAGGATCTCGGCTCGCCGAGGCAGACTGGAGCCCAAGATAACTCGTCTATCGCCGATAACATCAGGTAACCACATTTCAGGGGGAAGCCAACGGTCAGCGCAAAAGCGCGCAATTACCCCCCCGCATAGGGTAATCAATAACAGTATTCAATGAATAGCACGTTGACGTTCAAATAGGTGTCAAAGCTTCTGCTAAGAGAGAGTTGTTGCCTCAATTTACTAGACACAAAACTGGCAGTGTGCCTCCCCTATTTGGGCGGCGGTTACGCCACGCGCTACCATTGACGTTCCTGCGCGTTGGCAAACAAACACGAAGCGTAGGTTACCGTGAAGATAATACCTTACGCCCGCGTCAGTTGGGGTTCCCGAGATGACAACCATCAAGCTTCTCACCTTCAATGCCTGGGGGCTCCGGCTCATCAGCAAGTTCCGCAACGAGCGGTTGAAAGCCCTTGGTGACATTCTCGCCGACCCCATCTCCGACGACGAAGACTACGACATCGTCGCCCTCCAGGAGGTGTGGACCGAGGAGGACTGGGCGTACATCGACAACATGTGCAAGCAGAGATACCCCTATCGTCGTCACTTTAAGCTGGGGATCATCGCTGGCCCGGGGTTGGCGTTACTCTCAAAGATACCCATTGAAGAGACCTTTTTATACCGTTTCCCTATTAATGGTCGACCTCTGGCGGTGTTCAGAGGCGACTGGTACGTGGGTAAATCAATTGCCGTCACCTTACTCAAGCCTGTGACCCCCAATTCCACTCCCATCGCTCTTTTGAACTCACACATGCATGCCCCCTATTCGCTTGAAGGCGACGCTCTGTACTCGTGTCATCGTGCCTGCCAGGCCTGGGATTTCGCCAAATACGTCCGCATGCTCAGAAAAGCCGGTTACGCCGTGATTCAGGTGGGGGACTTGAATTCTCAACCTGGCACTTTACCGCATCGTCTTTTCACTGTTGAAGGTGGTCTTGACGACCTGTGGGAACTCTGTCATCCGGAAAAGTACTCTCGGAGCGATATTGCCACCATGACTCCCATTGACCAGATCCGCAAGGCAGGTATAACCTGTGACTCGGTGTTGAACACCTGGCGAATCAATCGCCCCATCGAAGACGCTTGTCGTCTTGATTATGCGTTTGTTGATTCGAGCTACATCACCCCCATCCGGGCCGAGGTCCGCTTTATCGATCCTATCCCCGAACTCAATTGCTCGTTATCGGATCACTTTGCTTACTTTGTCGAGCTTGATATCGCTGATTATGATGCCAACGTGGTGAGGCGAGTAAGAAGCGATTCGTATGGCGCCGCTCGTGCCATTCGAGCTCGAAAAGGCAGCAGCGCATCCAATACCTTCCCGTCAACCTCCACGACAAAGGACGACGAGTTCAGAGATTTGAAAGCCCGTGTGCTTGTATATCGCGACTTATTGACGGAGATTTCCAAGTACCGGCGTTACACTATCCCATACCAACTGCTGTGGCGTAAACACCACTTTTTCTCGCTGATAGCGATTGTCGTCGGACTCCATTTTGTGGTGACGCTTTCAGCGGTGAGAAGCGACCCCATTGCCGCCGGCTTCACCATGCTTGTGTCATTGTTAGTGGGTGTTCTGGGGATTATAAACGGTCTCATTTGGGGGTTGGGCATTCGTGCTGAGCTGAGAGCATTGCAAGAGGTCCAGCAACAGGTGAAAGATAAGGTAAACGCGATTAAAGACGAGGTTAATGAGTTTTTGGATTGGCCCACGGGGGAGATTGATGATTAATTAATTAGACTACGACTAGACCACACAGTACAATACCTTCTTAATGTATAATTTTATTAGATACAAGTCAAGCAAAAATCATGATACTAACGGAACCTACTGGAGACAATACTACTAACACCAGTCGAGGGGGTAACCATTGCCATGGTCTCTTGCCGGATTCAGATCAGGCCACTAAATAATATATGACTTTTAAGGGGAGATTATTGTTCCATTATTCAATGGATCTAGTTTGGCTTATCTTTAAATTTCGTCGCAATGCATTGTTGTCATTATCTAAAGTAGTCGTCCTCAGCCTCAAGCTGAGTTTGTTCGAGCCCGCAATACTGACCGTATAGTCTTGAGTCGGCATGCCGACTGCTGAATTGCATGGCCAGGTAGTAATTGTAGACGTCTTTGTCCACTGCCAGAGTGGACAAATGCGACACTTGTGGTTGAGGCACCAGTGTCGTCTCCCCTAATTTGGCGTAATTCAAGTAATCGCTGTAAAACTGTTTGTTCTCCTCACTAACACCAAAACTCAAAGGCGAGATGGGAGTTATATCAGTAACCTTAGGCTCACGAGGTTTTGCGCTGTGGGCCGCCGCCACTGGAGGTGGCTGCCGTTTGCGTGATCGGAATGGATTTATATCGTTAGCATCGACGTTATCTTCAGCACTGAAATAGCGCAGGGTTGAATTCATTGAGAATTGAAATACCTCAGTGAACAGTTGAAACTTCTTCGCCTTATAGCATTCATTGAACCAGCTGTCAGTCGAATCATGCGTCCACAATCTTGTTTCGTCGCCACCAGCCAAGAGCTTCTGATCCTGATGAAAGTAGTTTTCGTTGTACCAATGGATGTAACTGATTTTCTTGCGGATGTCATCCACTGCCAACTTGTTATGAAGGGAGAAATCGGTTTGGAGCTCCCACAATTTTGGACGGTTCAAGTCGTAAACATAATTCCCAAGGAAAAGGTTGATTGCTTCCTGTCTGATCAGATCCATGAATGAGTTCAGATATATCCGCTTCACCAGGTTCAAAATGTCTCGAGTATGTGAAGACCATTGATTGATACGGCGGTATGAGTCCATAGTGTTCACCAAGTTCAGCCCCCCGTATTGAATCGCAATGGTGTCACCATGATCGTGAAACATTTCTGTCAAAATATTCACGGCATCCAGGTCATATTCGAGTTGAGAGAAACCAGCAGTGTCGTCCAGGGAGCTCATTAAATGGAGTGCTTGTAACTGGTGAAGTAAAGCTTCTTTCCCAATGATGAATTGAGCAGCATTTGTACGATCTAAGCAATCGATACAATTAGTTCGTATTATCCCTTTTTGCAACTTCATTTTTTCCGGAGGACCATTGTGGAAAAACAGAGTGTTGGCAATCAGACTTTGAGCGATTTGCTGGATAGGACGAATCACATCCAAATTCTTCTTCGAGTGACGACTCATATCGAATCCATGGTACAAAATTTTGTTTTCTTTTGGTAGGAATTGGTTAAGGTACTTGATACAGTTGACAAAGTGGCCATTCAATTTCAGTTCTCGGGCTTGCTTTTCCTTCAGGGTTTTGATTAAGTTGAGGACGGTAATTGGCGAAGAGTATCTCTCAAACAAATTGTTAAAGTGGGTCGCCAGTGCCAGGTAATAAGGATCCAGCAATGAGATTTCAATAGGAGGTTTAGGCAACTTGTTCATATCCTGCGTCCAAAATAATGGGATCAGACCACGATGTTGGACGTACAGCGTCCACCGGGTACTGTTACCAAAGCCAAAGTTGGGATCGTGGAAACTGGTGAGAAGCATATCGGATACAATCTGTTCAGTTTCGATCTCATTGGCGACGTCACCATTCAAATTGATACCTCGCTTGAGAAATCTGGCACCAGCGTAGTAATGGGATCGACGAGCAATCAAGGTGATGTAGAACTTTCTCCCGGTAACGTTGATACTAGCTTGGTCAATGAATCCATGGATTATAGGCTGAAACCACTCGTAGGTCGTAGCACCCCAATGATGTCGGATAATAGGCTCCAAAAGAGTTCTATTCCAGACGAATCGGTCGTTAAATGCAAATTGAGGCTGGTGGTCCTGTTTTAACCGGCACAAGTTCGTTTGGAGGGAGTTGGTAATGTCATACCCGTAACTGAAATAAAAGGTCTTGCCGAGATCAAGATACTTAAAAATAGACAAGAGCTTCTCTTCGTCAGAATATTTTTCTGGTCGACGGTAGTTAATATCGAGAGGGATAAGACGTGTGTCATCCATGTGGTAAACATAGTGACCGCCAATGATAGCAACCTGCGAACACTTGGTAACAATGCAAAGGTAGTAGTCAGCGGTGAACTTGATGAGCCCCAACAAACCGTAGCCTTGAGCAATTTTGTGGATCCCCCCTTCGATCAGTTCGTCTAATGAATTGAGTAACTCCACCATATCCTTCCTTGTGTAGAAGTAGTTCTTCTCCTCAATGATGTCGACAATATCGTTATCCTTATCACGCTGGATTTCCAAGATCCGGAAAAGGGTCTCTTTGGCATTGGAACCAACAATATACATCGTGCTGATCGAATTGTACACTGTGAACCGTTGGAGCAGAATCCGCTTACTCCCTCGAGTAGGCATGGGACCGTCTTCCTCTTCCTCCAGCTCATCGCTCACCTCAATTGGAGGCAGAGACGGTTGTGATTTCTCTCCAGGCGACACATCAGTGGTTTCCTCAGTGGTAGCCTCTGAGATCATGACCACAACACTTAGTGTGAGATCAAGCACTGGTAACGCGCATGGCTCAGATCAATCCAAAACAAAACACTTAGTCAAAGATACAGGATAAATTCCAAAGTGGAGTATACATAGACAAGTGATCAATTGAATCACAAGTATTTTAATCTTAGTCCCTAAAAGTTTGGATCTCAGATATGAGTCAAAATACTACTACATTTGCGCTGCTTGAAGCCTATCGTGATCGTAATATAGTATTATGTACAAGTGTAGACGAAGAAGTAATGCGGAGGTATCGACAGCAGTCTTGCACTAGTGGGAAGCTTAAGCCAACCACAACTGTTGCACCAAATCAAAGATGCCGTTGCTTTCGGTCTCAATGACGTAGACGCCATACATCCCCACAAACGTCCCGAGACTAAGCAACCGTCGAGCAATCTTGTTCCACACTCCGTACACCCGTTCAGGGATGTAATCGGTGATGCATGACAAGAACCCCATGTGGCAGTGGAATAATAACAACACGCCAAAGGCGGCGTCCAAAATCGGGTTGACGGGGGACTGGAACAAAGGCAACGACGCCAACGGGATCAACGCCACCGAAATAAGTCTTTCGTACGTCCAGTGGGCGGAACCAGCGTAGGTATCAATCATACCGGGTTGGTAAGCGTCATTAACCGTCCCCGTGACACCCCCAGGCGGCTGAGGTTTGAGCTTGTACTTGCTGAGACTGAACAGCGGTTTCCACAAGCTTCTCACCCCGAATACCCGTCGGGTGGCTGGCAACGTTCGCATCATCATCATTATAGGCCTTTGTGCTTTTGACCACTCGTGATTTTTTCCCACCTCACCGTAATGCTGATAGCGATGCTCGCGACCCCAGAAACTCCGACGACAATTTCAAGATGAAGAATATAACTTAGATGTGATTGTAAAATTTTGACAGAGACCATTTTCATGAACCAGCGAGTGTGGTTTCATCGTAAAGTTTCCGGTCTGAGAGCACGTAAGCCGCATAGACTTCGAGACACCAAAATGTTCGGGCAGGAACTAAAAGCATTTGCTATCGATTGGATTCAGGTTTACAAGGGTCATTTCAGGCTGTCAAATTTCCATTAAGTTGCCAATGACACTGTAGAGCAATAACATGGCACTTTATTTGCCCTGCTATGACTCGATTAAAAATTAATTCCTTGTATACTATAGGAAAGAATTAATGAAAGTAACACACTGTGAATCCTAGTGATTGTGAATCTGATACACGTTGATGGTTTATAATTTACTCCTCGTTAGTCTTTGAATTTTTCGTCAAAAATTTCGAATGAATATTTTCTGTGAAAATTCTCATATACCACTTTACAGAGAGCCATCTATGGTCTTGAGATATCAACCTAGATACTTGCTGTAATAATAGTGGCATGAGGAAACAATTGTCAAACTTTTAAACGGATGTAACGATTTTTAGAGGGCTCTCAAATGGAGGGAACATGATTACCAGGCTTATTCCTAGATAGTCACCTCAGAGATACTAAATTCTTAAAGGCATCTGTTTGTTTCCTAGCATGAGTGCAAGCCGCAAGAGATATCTCGCAAACTCATTGAGTTGCGAGGCTCATTTCCACTTAAAACAACATAATTCACATTAATGTCGAATTTGCCAATTCGGGCGTGTGGTCTAGTGGTATGATACACCCTTAGGGTGGGTGTGGCCCTGGGTTCGATTCCCAGCTCGCCCCTTGTTTTTGCAATTTTATGACGAACAATAAATTTTTGTACCAAGTACAAACGATATGTGGGTTTTTCAATAGCCATTGTTAACATTCCATTATCTACTAATCATTATATTATAAAAAATCATAAGTACACCCCTCTACATCATCATCACCATCTCGCGCCATAGCTTACAGCTTAAGCATCGTCTCAACCAAGTCCTCCAAAGGTCCGTAATCTTTTTGCTGGATCAACTGAAACTCATTCGCAAATAACACGTAGTGTTTGAGACTAGTGTTCAAATGCAGTTGCAACCCCAACTCGGTGATCTCATGGAAGTGATGGCAATATATGTGAGCGTAAATACGGAAGATTCTTTTGAAGATTGTTTTCATCAACACTGGGAACTGCTGCGGGAACGGAGCTCCAATTTTCAGCGGGAAGATGTTATCGTTGTCAAAGAATCCTTGCACCCAAGTCATCAAGTTTTCGATATATTCGCAAGCCGGAAGCGACACTGGTTTCTTGCCATTTTCTTGCCATAAATATTCATATTCTTCAGTAGCAATCATTCGAGGACAAGTGGCGGGACTGCAAAACTCGGTGATAGCCCCGTATAACATGTTGATTTGGTTGTAGAAGTCGACGCAATGAACGGCGTACCACTCATTCAAGTCTTCATCCTGCGGGAGCTTCACGGCCTGGATCAAGGCGTTGTCACTACCCAACGTTTGTTCGGCGTAGTTACGGATATCTCTGTGACTGCTGACGTTGTTGAGGGCCTGATAGTCGTATTGGGTTGAAGATGTCGGGTTGAGGGGAGCGCCGCCGTAGGCCAGAGCGAGATCGCCATATCCCGCAGGCTGTTTGAACCGCTGGGTCCGCAACGTATGGGTATTCAAATTTGGGAAAATGCTCATGGGATGTTGCTTAGGAAGGCTGATCTTTGTATATGTAGATCAGTGGGATCAATGTATGTGTTTAGTCTCAATTAGGAAAAATGAACTTATCTGCAGGAAAACCCGTCCCGACAGAAAATGCCCCCGGTGTATGTCAAAATTCTGTGATGAAGATTGTATTAACTCTATAGCAATGTAGGTAAAGGTTTGGTTCATCCGTTTCAAGTGATGTGACAGTAGCCCTTCCTGAAATCGTAACGGACCTCAGTGATCGGTCCCAGCTTATTGCGGATCATGATAGAAGCCTCATCCACGCCGTCGCTATCGACATCTTCTCGCTCGTGGTACCATTCAAGGTACTCGAGACGTTCGTGGTATTTGACGTGGCCCCCCAGAATATGAATGTCGCCAGAGTTGACGAAGGGGAAGTGCCAGCGGGGCAAAAAGATGATTGTCGGATGCGACGATAAATTAGGGTCACTGAAATCAAGTTTGACGGTGAGGAGATACTTGACTTCATTCATATCAAACTCAGTAGTGATGGGGATACCGGGAGACTGGACGACAAACGGTCTCACCACAGCGTTTACTGCTCGCACCCCGTCGGCGGAAGGGTAATCGCGAGAAAGGTGTTTCTTGCCGACATTCTCTCGGGTGGTGGGTATCATGGTGCAATCTTCTTCTTCGCTGGGAGCAGCAGCAGCAGTGGCTACAGCCTCGGTCCACCCATTGCCTTCGCTGCCGTTCTCGCCGGTGTTCAATGTCAACAGCTTGATGTCTGCCAAATCGGTGGGTTCGATCTCTTCCTCGTCACGAGAGAAGGCAAGGGCATTTTGTGAGAACTTGTAATCTTTGAACCCAGCAACATCTCCCGGAGTGGTCAGGTTTTGGAGGGGTGACGTTGGCTTGCCATTAGTCCCGGCACTGGCTCTGCGAGAGCGGATGCGAGAGTTTCTTTCGAGTATAAGCAGAGCCACCAGGCTTTTACGACCACTGACCTTATTTCTGAGCCCGACAGAGTTACGTCTCAGTGATCTCTGACTTGACGACACTGATGACGAGCTCAGCAGAGCATCGTTGTTGGTGTGGTGGATAGGAAGGTCATGGTCCTCTGGGGACCAAAACAGAAAGTCTTCATTGTTCCAGCGGTCACCCCATTTATGACAGTTGATACTGCAATACACCCAGTAAGTGTGGTGCATTTGACACCCTTCCAATGCCTGCGAGATCGCGTCCAACGCTGCGGTTTGTGAATGGTAACGATAGTTCAGATACGCCTTCTTGTCGTCCATATCGAAGGGCATCCCTGTTTCCAGCATAAGCACTGGCACCTTACCCAAGCGAACTTTGCACTCTTGCTTGATCTCCTTGAATTGTCGACGGAGGCAGTTGCGGATTGCTCGTTCCCCAAACACAATCCCAAGTACCGGGTTGGCGTATCTGCCCCTCATGATGCCAAGGGTATCCACGTTGTATTTCAGGTTCCAGGTCTTGAACATCAACGAAAGCCCATCGTAGTAATGCGGTGTAGCTATGAACTTATCGTCAACAATGCGTCGACGATCGTTGACGAGAAGCGGAGGCTTTTCAAGTACCGGGAATTGCATCAACACAAATGCCAGGGGACAAACTTCACGGACAACTTGCTTATGGCGTTGGAAGAAGTCGACGAAGTGGTGCTCCAAGAAGAAGTCATGGTCAACTTCCTCAGGAACTTCAACTCCTTCAGGGTATACGTGATCGGGGAATCTCTTGGAGAAGTAGTGAGGCTTCAACAAGATCGTTTGCTCGTTACTGACGCGGAGCCGTTCTTGCGGAGTCATATCTGCAAGCTTCGTGACATCGAGATCGGCGTGCCACCGCCAAATCTGATGTTGTTCAAATATACACTCGCCCATCTTCCAATTCTCCAGACGCTTCCAACCATAATGAGTATCGATGACTTCGGCCACGTCTGGCAGCATCCACGCTCGAACCCCTTTAGGGTCAACAAGCACGCTACCCTTTTTTGCTGGCCCCGTGATGGAAATCTTGTAAAGTTCAACTTCACAAGCAAATCCCATCGCCGTTTTCACCGCCTGGAACATCGTAGGAGTGGTGCCAACACGTAAGTTCTGGTGGGCGGGGATTTCGCCCAAGTGAGGGTAGCCAATTAAACCCGCGTTTGGTTCGTTCATCAGTTCGACACCGATGATCATACCACTCGTAATCAACTCTGGTACTCGTTCGTTGACTGCCTTCCATATGTGTCTTAAGGCACCGTAGTAGTGGTCTTGAAGGTAGTCTTGGATGTTGACCCCGTTGATTTTGAGGTCAGGAAAGTATGTTTTGCCAGCAAAAAACAACGTGAACATCACCAGACACGCCAACCGATGGTAGTTGGTCGTCCAGATCATTTTGAAGTACTCTTCAGGGTCCTCAGCACGGTGGTATTTAGGATGGTTGTGAAGCACTGCGGCTTCAGTAACACTAAATTTACGGGGATCAAGCCCGGCGGCGTAGATGGTCCACATCGGAGCCCCCAGACCCCCGGTGTAGCGACTCCACACGTCCTGGTGGAGTTCCAAAATGACGTGGAGACCACCGATCTCGTGAATGATTTTGAGGGTGGCTATAGTGTAATCGATAAATGCCTCATCGTACTTCCCTGGTCCGGCGTGTTCTATCGCTTCCCACGTGAGTAAGTAGCGGATGGTGTTGTACCCCCACCGTTTTATTCTCATCAAATGTTCATGAGCGTCTTCCAACGGCCACGGCCGGCCGACAAACGTCACGTGGTCGCCTTCAAAGAAGACGTGCTCTGCATCACTCAGATCACCTTCATACAGCGCCATGTGAGGGGTCTTGGGAAGCTTCATCAGGGCATCGGCATTGATCCCTTTAAGCTGGACATACTGGTTGTCAGCGTTTAATATGTTGCCGTGCTTATCAGTGTGGAGGGGGCTAACCTGCATCACACAGTTGGACTCGTTGTCTACCTTGGCAAACGGCTGGTCGGTGGGAATTTGCTTGCGTAGCGGGCGCATATGGGCGGTTTCCTGGGGTCCGAAGCCATAGATGCTCATGCGGTCGTTGATGATCTGGCGAGCCCGACTCATGGCTTGTTTCAACGTGGCACGGAACGTGGTCGCTGGGGGGAATTTAGCGCTACCTGTGAGTTTGCTTATCGAATAGCTCGGGGAGTGCACATAAGCTGCCAGCGAAACCCGATACACATGGCCGCATAGAGCAAGTTTGTGTTCATGACATCGTCGTGGGCGTGGGGCGTTAGCCGACAAGGTTACTAGGCAGGAAAAAAGCATTGGGGACAGAGCCAATACGAGTAATTTGTGGGGGTGTGACCTGTCACCGATATCCATTTATGGCTTAGTCTGTGGGGAAACCTAGCGAGAAGAGGGGAACGATCGGACTTAATCGCGGGGGTACGAGAATCACGGAAATGACGACCAATGGTCAGCAGTGGCAACACACCAGCATTCTTTGATAACACCGTGGTATAATGAATTCTGCCAATGAGGCTTGAAAGATTAAGGTCGTCTCTAGGTTTTTTCTGAGAGCTAGTGGCTAGTTTTCTCGATTTAGACCTTTTTTTGTCACACATTTAACCGAGGGCGCACCCTGTTAGCGATCATATGAAATTTCACGCTTAACGGGAGGAAAATAAAAGGTAGGCGCGACATGAAGTCATTATGTTCGATCTAAAATACTAAATAAGCCCCAGCTCGCGTAAACTGTCCTGGATCATGAAGTCGGTGACGGCGTTGATGACAAACTTCATGCTCAGCGTGTCGGTGGCACAGGTGCGATGGATGTATAATTGTTTGTTGGTGTGGTTGAGCAGCTTCAACCGGTTTTCAAAATAGGCGATGGCGTCGTCGACGTTATTGGCCCGGCCGTTAAAGTCGGGAAAGTAGTTTTTCACCGGCAGCTTCGACAATTTTTTCTCCAAAAGATCGACCTTGTTGAGGAAGATGATAAACGGAGTGTTTTGGAACCATTGCGAGTTGCATAAAGTATCAAATAGATGCAACAGTTCCTCCATCCGATTGACGTTTTCGTCTTCAAGCAATTTCTGGTCATACTCAGATACCGCCATCACATAGAGGACGCAGGTAATATTCTCAAAGTAATGGAGCCATTTGCGACGTTCCAGCCGCTGACCGCCAGCATCCAACACTTTGAAGTTGAACAGCTTCAAATTGAAGTCGGTCTCGGTGATCCCCGAGGTCTTGATTCTCCCCATCAAAATGTCTTCATCGGAGCAAAGGTAATTGGGATCAACGAACTTGCCGATGGCTTTGAAGTAGTACTCGGCTGACGTCAATAGCTGGAACTCGTTCAGCCGTTCGTAGCACTTGCGGATCCCCAGATCCTCTGTCCACAACTTAGCGATGGCATCGGCGATATCCTGCCGCGAGTCTTGCGGGGCTTCAGCTGCTGACGCCGCCGTCGCCGTCTCCAGAGACGCTCCCCACAAGAGTTTTTCTTCAGCACTACTGGTAGTTTCCCAAGGGTTTGTTTGCTGAGGACGCGACCAATCGGTGCTGCCAATGATGAACTTAGCCATCAATTTCGCCTCATCGGCGTTCGACAGAGGGTTAGCTCGTAACACTACCCGTTTGGCAAGTTGCAACGGCGAATCAGGCTGGTCACAGTCAAGAGGGATCTTCAACTTCCGCAGCATGATGATGAGCTGTCTCATCAGTTGGACGACATCCGTCCAAATCACCTTAGCGTATTGTCGTCTTTTCGACTCAGGAAAACCGCCTTTGTGTAACAACTCCATCTGCTTCAACACGGTGGACTTACCCAGTTCCCCCGGGCCCAAGAGGATCATTCGAAATTGCGGGTTGGCGGCGCCGGCCCTCGTCAACAGGATCTGTTGGTTGAGGGAGTTGTCGTGTTGTTTTTGGAGCAAGTAAAGGTCATCTTCTAACTGACTCACGGTGCACCCCATGGTTGGTGTTGAGGCAGAAGTAGAGACAGCGGGGCCATCGTCGATATATCCCACGCCCCTGATGCGGTGGCAGCGCTGCTCATGTGGGGTCAGTTGATGCTGTGCTTACTTGTGCGTCGCCGCACGCGCAACGCAGGCCACACGCCATATCCAGGCTACGCCCTGGGCATAAGAAAAAAAGAATTGAGGGAGTCCCAAAAGTTGGGGGGCGACGATCCACCCCCAAATGTGTATATAAGATGTAATGAAAAAAATTCTATATCGAGCCAAACACTATGCAGTAGAGGGTGATCACCGCCACCGCCAGCACCGACACGTGGCGGAGAAATGCGTACAAATTCCACTTACGCATGAACTTCAGCACCCGGCGTTTATTGTTGACAAACCATCGGTAGGCTGCCCACCGCTTGTAATTCAGCCAGCTGGACGAGGTGGAGTTGGTGTAGCGCGGGATGTACATCCCCGCCGTGTTCGATTCCTCTTCGTTGATGAAGTTGGAGATTTTGCGCGAGTTGGACGTCAGGCCCAACTCGATGGTGGGGAGGATCAGGTAGTTGTATCGCAGCGACCGCAGCTTGATGTTCCACCAGAAAATCACCCCTGCGGTGAGGCAGGCCATGGTGGCGTAGCTGATGACGTTGGTGTACGGCGTCTGCACGTAGCACAAATGGGTATCGTAGTCCAACGACCCGTTGGTGGTGGTAAACAGCATCACCTGGACTGCAGGATGGCTCACCCCCATCGCCATGCTGATGGATTTAACGGTGATTTCCCGGGGGCCCTCAGGGTGGACAATATCGCAATAGTCGTGGTCGTCACCCAGAAACACAAGGTCAGGGTCAATTTTCGCAAGTATATTTTGGGAGAGCTGAGGTTCCACCGTGTTCCGATACTGCACCCCGCGTTGGTCAACGTAGAATTTAGGGTTTTCCCGTAGCGGACCACAACTAGTGCTCGGATCACGGTAGAGCGGCTCGTGGGTAAGCAACACCCGGGGGCGGGTTTTAGGAGGTAGCGAATCAACAAACGTCCGGGCGTCCAGATTAATAGCGGCATCGCTGGCGGAGTACAGCGGTGCATCAATAATAACAAAATCAACGCCATTCTCCTCGATCACGGTGTTAGGGTTGCCGAACACTTCAGTGAAGCGGGCCACTGAGTGGGGGTGGACGCCATCGCCGAACCCCACGTCGTGATTGCCAGGGACGTTAAGGAACCAATTGCGTCCTTGTTGGTAACGACGTTGAGTCCGTTTAGGATAAAATATGTTGCGGAACCGTTTGACCTCGCCCTGGTAGTATTCATCGCTACACTCACGGCCGTTGTCGAGGTAGTCGCCAAGGAAAAACACGGTGTCTGGCTGGAGATGAGCCATCATGGCGTGGTAATTGCGGTTCAAATGGACATCGACGGTGTGTTTCAGAAGCAGGAGGAGCCAGTCCAGCCGCCCCGGGTAGGTATGGTTGTCTATAAGCTGCGGATCAGCGATAAACAACACCTTGGTGACGTTGGCGGCGGGATCGGCGACGACGGGCCAGTGGCACCTGGACGCGACGTAGCCAGGGACGAACCACTCGTGGTAGCAGAAAAGCACCCCCCACCCCACGAACAACAACACCAACAACTGGTGAGCCAGCTTCAACTTGGGGAAGATTATTCGCATGCGCTCGCTCTCGGGTCGTAGTTGCGTTCGCTTGCCTTGCACCGGGCTAAATTGACTTTTTACACGCCTTTTTAACTACTGAGGGGCGCCCCGTAGCTAAATAGTCGCACAGGGCAATCGCAATGACATTAAAGCAATGTGGGCCAACATCGAGTGGACCCCGGCGACGGTGGCGGTTATCGCCGTAGCAGTGGCGATTTTGTTGGCAATTAAGTATGTCGAATACACCCGTGACGTGCCCCTCCTCTATCTCCAGCAACAGCTGGCAGTGGACGCTACTCGGACCCTGGGTGAACTGGCAATCTACAAGAGCGCCAAGCTCGGCGCCGGCCAGCACTTGAGAGTGGGGTTGGACATTCGCTACGACCACTACAAGCTCCGCCAAGGTAACTTACGTGACATCTGGGCCCTCCGCGTGAAACAGCCGGGATCACTTGCCGTCGGTACCGACACCATCAGCTACGCCGTGATCAACGCCATGGCTAAACACATTGAACCGCAAATTAAAGGTCGCCAACAGGTGGTGTTTCACCCCAACCAGGTATTGGCACTGGTGGCGCTGGTGGCGTTGATGGTGGCTTGCTTTAACAACCAAGTGACGGTGACGATTGATCCCACTACTCCCTGCGACCTTGACGAGTTCAATGTCACCGATTGTGATGCCGACGACAAGTTTGATCCCGAATATACCACTGAATCTGACCGCGGGATCGCTCTCAGAGTGGTGACCACAGGTAATTGGGGCCGCACCGTTGTCGAATTTACTCAGCTTAATTTGGTCAGTGCGGTTGCGTCTACGTTGAAACACCTTCCTGAATCCCAACAGATCCATCCAAAAGACAAGTTCCTGGTGGTATACAACCCAAATCTCCCCCTGGACCATTTGCTCAACGTATTGACGAAATGGTTAACTTCATCAGTGGCAGGTTGTTCTAAGGTTTGGGTGGGTTCCACTCACCCTCCACACGAAACCACCATCTTATCCCTCCCGGAAGAACGAGTGGAAGAGTACGCTAAGTCTGTGCCGTCCACTGGGCTTGGTTTCAGTATCCGTTATCTTGGTTATAGCCTTGGAAAGCAATTGTTTGCTTCGGGTCCGCTTAAACTTGTTTACGTTGACAAGTCGCTTACGGCAAAGCCTCATATCACCGACTATAACCGCATTCGGGCTCAGCTTGGCGCCCGAGTAGTTTCGGAAAGTGGCGTTTACAATATCGTGGGTCCAGTTTTGGCCACCGATATCTTCGACTACCGCAAGGTTATGGTTCCGAACCTTCTCAGCTATGGGGCTATCAGCCAGTCGTTGGAAATCAAGTTAACCAATTATCACAATAACGAAGGCACCCTCATGGTTCGTGGCTACACCATCGGCAAGACTGAGGTGAAGGAGCAAAAGACAACCACATTGAAGCAAGCGGACGGGTTTATGCCCATTCCTGCCGTTGGTAGTTGGGGCTCTGATGGTTGTCTCTATGTGGTAGGGTGAAACTGGCATAACGCAAAATTTGTTTATTTGTTGGCAATAAATGTTTTTTTCTATAATCATTTCCTCCGGGTCCAGACCGGAGGCTTGCAATCGCCAACCGTGCGTTAAAAAAAGAAAAAAAGATTTGTAAAAATGGATGGTATAGTTTGAATTAGGTAAACCACCCTTAGTGCTCGACACAGCGTCTCTTGGCAGACAGCAGTGTGACGATCTCATCACGGCACCGCTTTGTCGATGACGTAAAAAGCGACGGTGACGCCTTGAGCACCACCTTCGATCCCATCTGTTGTTGGTAGTAGCTGCGGAAATCCACTTTCACCAGTTCCAACGTCTGAGGGTTAAATGAGTGGGTGAAAAACCGTCTCCACTTCATGAGTTTTTCGCCCACGATAACCACCAGCTCCCAATCAATGGTGCCAGTGGCGACATTGTGAGTGTGGATAAAGTCGTAGCCAAAGATCAACAAAATGTTGCACCAGTTCTCATATTTGCGGCCGTTAAGGTAGCAGTTAAATCCCAAAAGTTTCAACACCTGGCGTTCGAGGGCTCTCAACTGAGCCACATCAAACGATTCGGAGTCAGTGGAGGAAGCTCCCATACCACAGATCTTGAGCCACAGCTTGAACGAATAGTTGTAGTCCTGGTTAAACTTCAGCGCCAAAATTATACACCCCAAAAACAACTTGCGAGGGTCAGCGGGTAAGTCGTCCCCATCACGCCGTTGGACAAGTTTTACCAAGTACCAGCAGGCCACCTGCAACAGCTGAATCAGCGTCTTCAGACGCCGTAAAAGTTCCACCACAAAAAAGCGCACCTTGGAGTGACCACCATCAACCTTACTGTCGTCGTACAACACTTGCAACAAGTTCACGGCACAGGTAATCAACACCAGGTTGAACTGGGACTTGTTCAAGTGCAGCGAGTAGTATTCGGCATGGTTGGGCGACTTCGCTTCAAGGGGCAGCGATTCCACACTTGCGGGGGGAGTGGGCAACATTAGCTTGACTCAACGAGTTACAGGGAAATAGGTATAGACCAACAAGATTAAATAAATTAAAAAAGGTAAAGCACCAACGACAACAACGACAACAACGACTCACACCTTGTGAAGTGTGGCTGCCCTGAAGACTATATACCTTCGCCGCCTGAAATTAGTCATGCGGCATGCATGAGCCTATCCACGTCATCCTCACATCCGCCATCATCACCCAAGGAGGCAAAGGGAAAAAAAAAAAAAAAGACGAGCCTATAATCAAGGCCCAGGAGGAGATGACGGCGTTCTACTACGAATGAAAACTGAAGCTTACTCAAAAGTTTCAGTGGTTTCCAAGAGGGAATGCTTCGTAGTGTTCCGTATCTTATCGTGTTCAGGCTTTTATGCACAACCCGGTTTGAGTCATTCTTTCCCCACACATTTGCCGTCGCACCACACCTTTCTCTACGGGTTAGTCACGACCAAGCTCGCCTGAACCGGCATCGGCACCGGCACGGGCAGAATCGATTAGGTGCAGGAAAAGGTCCACTCGGATTAATTGACTAAAAACAGCTCATAGGGTCGATGCTGGCTGTCCAAATAAATCCAACAAACTTGATATTTTATCTTTTTGAGTCGTCAAATTATTCAAATTTTAAAGAAGGCCGTGTTACTGTGCTTCCGCCACGCACGGACGTTTCATGCAGATCTCTCTCTCTCTCTATTGCGATGTCCAGTTGTATGTGGCACGTTTAATTCTCTCGTTCCTACACCGGCTGATGGGTCTAGGTGAGTCCATAAAATTTTTCGCAAATTGACGATGGATATGCGGTATTGTGTCATCAGCACCATCTTTGACAATATCGCCGTAAGTTTCTTGAAAAAACACTGATGCTGCCATTGCCAGGAAGTTGATTTAAGAAGCGTAATTTGTTTGATTGATAGATTTTGGTGCATCGCTACACTAAGGTTTCAACCATAACTGTTTTTCTCTTAAAACCCGCAAGTTCGCCACTTCCATTTACCATTGATAACAATTCTAGTGGGAGTCCAATCGACATCCAATTATCGGAGTTGAAGCACGTCAACAAATCACTTTCTTTCTACTTGGCAATGTAACGACTCTTGCAATGCATTCTAAGTGCATCTGAAAAGTGTTGCGAGAATATGGGTTTGTGCTAAATGCGACCAGCGACTCACTCATCGTTGGCGGTTGATGAATACCTAGCACATCTCTTTCAATTCTTAAACTAGTTTTATTATCTCTTCCACTTTTTGAACTGATTTTCCCGTCCACATTCACCTGTTTGATATTTGCCGACAGTCTCGTCGCGAAGTCTCACGATGCATCATGTGACGTAATTCCTTCTCACCCAATCTCGAGTGACGCCATCAACATAGAACACTTCGGCGTGGGTGATGGAGTTGTTCTTTCTACGACATGGCGTCCGTATTGACCACGAACGCCAAAGGGACCCCACGGCGATGCCTATCCACTCGTCATATCCTCCGTGGGACCCTCTGTTGGCCCAGCGAGCCCTGGCCCAGATCGAAGCCGCGGCCAATGAGTTTGTCAACTTGACAACATGCTTCCCTGATGTCGACAAACCGGCCCGGAAAAATATCTACATTCACTTCAGTCCATACCTCCGAACCTGTGAGACCGCAGATCTTCTTGTCTCGGCTTTGAAGCCTTTAATTGCGGCGAAATTCCCCCAATACAAAGTCCGGTTCCAGCTTCTTGGCGATTTTGCCCTTTCAGAGTGGATTCATGATCTGATGAAAGTCAAGCCACCGTACGTGGATAATAATGATGCATATGACATGTACACCCCCAACTTGAAGATGATCAAAAATAAGAATTGTGTGCTGAATTTTCGACCTACCGTGACATTGGGACCTTTCAATGGGCCGGATCTTCTGTACCTGCAATATTTGGAACGGTCTAAAGAATATTTCACCAAGCTCATAGCCACCTACGATAAACCAGCGGCAATGAATAACCGAGATATCGTCATAGTCGTGGGTCATGGCTATATGATCAACCACTTTCTCCTGTTTTTCATCAGCCATCCTTTATTCCAGGAGCTTCCTGAAGCTACGTTGAACTATGCTCGCAGAGAGATGAATGAACCGGAAAACCCGTGGCACTTAATCAAAGACTCGGTGGGACTTCTCAAAAAGGATCCCCTGATTGATCTGTACCTCAATTTCACCTCCGATATCGTTTATTATAAGACCACGTTCGTGAAGAAGGATGAGATCGACGATAACGGTGATATCGTGATGACACCGCCCACGGTGTCTAAAGGTAATATGTTATCTCCGTGGCTGGAAGATCGCCCTCGGCCACTGTTCAAACTCCCCATATCACAACTGCTGCCAGATTTACCCACATCGAGGCCAACCCCAGTGTGTGCCGCTGCTCGAGATTGGAATCCCCAACAGGCCAACAAGTTCAAAATCAAGCATGAATTCGCCCTTAAAGCCATGCATGATGATGTTTTCAAAAAGACGTTTGATTTGAGTCATCATCCAGAGAAACCAGTAACTCCTGAGGTATCTCCGCTGAGTGAACCACTGAGACAAAACCTGGTCATTGACTTAACGAAGCTCAATTCAAATGACGAAATCCATCATCCCTTGAAATTGCGATATTCCACGACCAGTGATATACCTATCAGCACTCTCAACAATCGTCTTAATACTTCCCAATTGAACTTGGCTCAATTTTTGCGAGAAGACCTGTACCTGCTGTTAGTGGGTACATCGCGAAATCGGCTGAACCTGGGTGCGTCAGATCACATATTCAGACTACATAGAGAAGGTCTGATTGATCTGGAATTGGATAGCATTCCTGAGGGTCGCGTTCTGCGCAATCCGTCTCGCAAAACACGTACACCGTTACGTTTACTTCATTCAGAGCTGGAATCATTGCCTCTGGTGGACTCAACAGAACCTCGGTTCGCCTTGCAATTCGCTAAGGGAGATACCGCACCGGGCTCAACTCTGCTGGAGTCTCCTTTGCCCAATCAAGTCAAGCTTATCTCAACAACAACGCCTGCGAAGGAAGTTTCAATGGACTCCGCTCCAGACAGACCTACACCGTCTACTAAGGCTAATCGCATCTTTTATCAATTGGATGAGTCGTCACTGGGTAGTGATGACGACGAAGATAGTAACTTCGTTTGGTTTGGTGAAAACTTGAAGCATAAGTAATAGTTTGTCGTTGAGATTAATCATTCCTTTTTACGCTTTACATAAGAGCGAATTCGGGGATACTCCCAAGAAATCTGAACGAGTAACGAAATACCACATATCACCCCACTATTAAAAAATTGGCGAAAAGTAGTCGTTGTCGTCGTACCGTTTATGTACTTTTGAACGCCGTTGCCAACAATAAAGAGCAACGCACACTTGGCGATATATGCGAGTACTCGAATTTTGTCAATGTGGATGCCAAAACGGCGCACAAAAGTATTGTGTAGATGGTAGCTGCACCAGATTATTCTCATCAACATGTTAACAGCATTAGCAAGTATTAATCCGGAGAGTTCCAAATGCCAATGTTCGATAGCGAGTTTCAGGACAAGGAAAAACACTAAACACAGACTGGTCATGAAATAGGAATAGTATTTAAGTTCCTTGGTGGTCGCAACACTAGTGAAGAGGGCCTCAAATATACCGTTGAATGCGAGTAACGCAAGATACCAAACGTAGTTCCCGAAACTAGTAAAAAGATCGGTACCATCCCATTTGGCAGCTGCGCCTCTAAGTACAAGTCGTAAAACGTAAGCTGCATTTGGAATTCCTGCCATCAATAAAAGCACGGTGAAATGAAGGTATCCAACGCATACGTCCTCGATTGACTTCAAAGCCGAAATCACTCGACGCTGGTCAGACTTATCTGACGTCATGGCCATTACCTTTGTAAACCAAACGCGGGAAGACTCTTCAATTGGCAGAAATACTAACCTGGCAAGAATCAGACCGTAATTCAGCATGACCGCATACACTGCTTGTGTTGACAATGGGAAAAAGTGGTTGATGACTAACTTGTCACCTTCTGTTAACACTTGCTTGAATATCATCTGCACGAAGAGAGCTTTCCAAACTTGAACAATTTGTTTATCAAGCCATCCACCATTGGGGAGTCTTCGAGCTAGACCGCTTACTCCAGGAGGCACATTTACCTTGAGATATCCAATAAATTGAACAAATGAATAAGCAAGTTGGCCGCACATAAATGCAAGAAGAGAGCTGTTCAATGGTTTCCATTTCAATAAAAGTACCGTCACCACTCCGCGGCATAAAATTCCCAAACTTTCGAACTGGGCCTTGTTACCCAAGTTCATATGATATTGATTGAGTTCATATAGCGGTTCGATGGAAAGTTCCAAAGCCAATGACACCGCCAATATAACCAAGGATAGGGTCAGCGCCGGTAATGGTAAAAACTCCTCTTGAAATGTTCGTGACGGCCAATTCCATAATAGTGCCAAACAAGATAACGGTATGCTTAATATCACTGGCACATATCCAAAATTAATCACCGACTGCTCTGCTGAGACTCCGCTTGAGCTTGTTCTTTGCGTAGAGAGTCGAACGGCCTCCCTCGAGAAAAAAAGGATCAGGTTAGTGATAAATTCAAGGAATGTTGCAAGACCTAGTGTTGGTGGATCAACACTGCTGATAAGAGCTTGGTTCAAGCCAAACGTCAAAAGCTTCAGAGCCACCTGTCCTAAGATGAGGGCATACGTGCCATTCATGTGCACGATTCCGCGTTGTGTGTATATCAGCGCGTAAGTATCGTAGGAGAGTTCAAGGCAGACTTCAAATTGACGTCTTTGGTTGAAAAAAAATAGGTTGTTGTCGAATCACTGAACGTCAGTTAACTTCGATTTTTGAGGAGTTGTGAGGCCAGATGCGTGGCTGAATATCATGACAAATGCAATTTGATTCATTGGTTCCTTGCAAAGGAGGGAAATTCCATGAGAAGTGACCGACCAAGTATTGCAAATCAAAACTGACTATCTTTTTGGAGAGTTTTGTAGATAGGTTTCGATATTAATCCAATCCTTGACACCCACTTGGAGCTCGAAAGAATGTATTCAACGCAACGTACTGCCTCTATATACAGTTGGCAAGCCTTTCGGGTTTTTACGAAATGAAAGCACACCGCCAAGCATTTGACTACTATATCTACGTTTATTTTGTCCAACACAAAAGATGAACCTCTACGTCGACTTCTACGTCGATCACTTTTTTCCATCGCGCTCCCAAAATCAAGTTAATTTGAATTCACCTTGTTTGTGAAATCGCTACCACACCTTATCACTCGTGAGACCCTGCTGTTGACTCAACTTCATTCATTTCCAAATTCAGAAGAGATTCTCCATGGACAACAACGGGCACGAGTTTGAGTTGCGCGAGCAGGATCGGTGGCTTCCCATCGCCAACGTCGCTCGTTTGATGAAAAACACGTTACCACAAACAGCGAAAGTATCGAAGGATGCCAAAGAATGTATGCAAGAGTGCGTTTCGGAGTTTATTCTGTTCATCACGCTGGAGGCTTCTGATAAGTGTTTGCGAGAAAAGCGAAAGACAATCAATGGTGAAGATATACTTTATTCGATGCATGACTTGGGTTTTGAAAACTATGCCGAAGTGTTGAAGATTTATCTTGCTAAGTATAGGGAGCAGCAGGCTCTCAGACAAGAACGTGGTGAAACTAGGACTCTGAAACGAGCTCAACGACAACAGCAGCAACAGCGGCAACAGGAGCAACATCTGCAACAACAGCAGCAACAGCAACAATCACTGCTGGCAGCTTCAGCTGCTGTTGCACTGCTTCTGGAGTCTCAGGTTCCCCTGTTGCTGCATTCTCCTCAACTGGAAGCCCAGGGTTTCGAAGGATCCTTAACTGGATTTGAGGGTGATGATTTTGACGATGGTAATGCTTCACATGCACTCCATCACGTTCAACTGAATGAACCGCCTCTGGGTCTGACGGGGTCTATTGCACTGCCGGAGCCTTTTTTTCAAGAGTATTCACAAACTCAAAAGGATTATCCTATCGATGAGTTTTTGGCAGGCAATGAACGCCCCATAGGAGAAGACGAGATTGAAACATTAACTGCAGGTATCGCCAATGGCAGTAATCCGCTGGAATATTTCTAAGTGGGCGCAAGAAGCCCGAACAAATTTAATTCTCAATGCTTGTACATTATAATACCAGAATCGATCGTTCTTGGCTAAATTATGACTGTTTATATAGGTGACCGGCACACTGGGCATAGAAGTGACATCAGCATCCACTGACGTAGACAATCATGATGGTAGTGGTGTTGACACTTCAACTCGCGCCACTCGCCATCATCATCGGATAAACAAATTGTGCAGTTTTCATGGTTACACGACGTGCACAAAGGTAACTTCTCCAATTTCAACTGTTTTTTATGGTAATTAAGCAAAGCTCTCAGTCTATCGACAAGTACTCGTAGCAGAAGATAACTGCTCGGCAATATGTGGAGGGGAAACGTGTACAAGTAGAGGAATATGACTGCAAAAACCACAACCAAAACGAACCTCACCAAATTGGCCAAGAATTCGGCAACAAACTCAAACTGCTCGTTATAAGGAGATTCGCATAGACGAGAATGGCAGTTTAACGCGAACTTTAACAGAGTGAGCGTTATAAGTGGCGCCATATGAAGAATTTCAAATCCAAAAATCCCTAGGAGTATATTGTCCTCTATCAGATGTTTGGATAGTTCACTTATGAATTTAGATATCAACAACCCATCGATACAAAGTAAAAGAATTAATCCAAATGCGAATCGCGTGACCTGAAAGTCGTTTGCCTTAAACATCAGAAGCCAACGGGGTTTATTAGACTCGTGCAAGCAGAATAGATCCACTGAATTGTTGGCTCTTTCACTTGCTAGATAGTGGAAACATTTCAAAAGTAGGACGCATGCAAATAAGCCAGCAAACTTAAACACAAATTGCGGGCCTGTGCGGGAGGTCGCCTTGGAGTAATATAGAAATCCTGTGAAACAGAACTCCCATAAAGTGTACTGGATGTTGTGGCGTAAATTTCGAATTTCAAACTCCCTCAATCTTCCGAATACAATCCACTTGACAACATTGATAGCGATGAGAGCTGCCACCAGCAAAGGAAGAAGCCGAGAATTGGTATCAAGTTTGCGGTATGCCGATATACCAAGTAGAGCTCCCAAAGTCCCATACGTAAGTTTACGAGACATGAGAAACTCTACGTAGTATCTGGAAGCTGGTTGTAATGACTATTTCGGATCGGGTGCGACGGATGACGCCTCATTAAAAAAGAAACAAGATGATCCTATCCTGATTCATGCATCGAATAACTGAGAGCACCAATGAGAGCGGCACACACCGAATTAGATCTGACTATTAATACTTCATTATTGTAGTGAGGCCGGTACGCTGATTGGGAACTGATCACGACTTGAAGATTGAGACACACGCAGTCCAACTCCGGCTTGAGCGTCACGCCTGAAATTAAGTTTTTGGTTGGGGTCGCCCTCTAATAATCTACACGTCTGTGTGGGATGGACTGTTTACCTTTAGAAGCTTAAGTACGCGCCTTTTCATCTGTAATGTACTGTACATGACCAGACACTCCACCGAACTCAAGTTCGCGCGATGCTCATCGTGAAAAAGTCAGTCAAAAGATACCTTACAATGGGAAAGTTTGCCAAGAGGTCCAAAAAGGTCTTCAAAAATCGGGATCAAAAGAACTGGACTGACATCACCAGAGAAAACGAGAAGTGGGAAACATATTATAAGCTGCTCGGCATCATTCCCGAATCCGAATGGGCTGATTTCAAGAAGTTTTGTCAAGAGGACTTGCCTACGACTTTTCGTGTTACAGGTCTGAGAAGTCACGCCGACGAAATCAACCAATTGTTTATCGATCAGCATGTCCCGGCTCTTAAGGGTCAAGAGTTTGAAGGTGTCTCTTTGGAGCCGAAACAATTGAAATTCTATCCTGATGGTTTAGGCTGGCAAATGGATGTCAAAAAATCTATTTTGAGAAAAACTCGTCAGTTGTCGAAAACTCAACGTTTTATGGTCCTTGAAACCGACGTGGGGAACATCTCGCGTCAAGAGGCAGTACTGATGATTCCCCCTTTATTAATGGATATTAAACCGCACCATTACGTCCTTGACATGTGTGCTGCCCCCGGCTCCAAAACTGCCCAGCTTGTCGAGGCTCTTCATGCGTCCGATGAAGTCGCTAATCCTACTGGTTTCGTACTTGCGAATGATTCAGACTCTAAACGGGCGCAAATGCTCGTTCACCAAGTAAAGCGTTTGAACTCGCCCAACTTCTTGGTGGTCAACCATGATGCTCAATTATTTCCACGCATTAGGCTTGAAGGTGAGGCTGAGTACGTCAAGTTTGACAGAGTTCTTTGTGACGTGCCTTGTTCTGGTGATGGTACTATGCGCAAGAATGTGAATGTTTGGAAAGACTTCTCTTTGGGTAACGGATTGGGTCTCCACACCCTTCAATTGAATATTTTGGATCGTGGTCTCAATTTATTGAAGCCAGGTGGGCGTTTAGTTTACTCTACTTGTTCAATGAACCCGATTGAGAACGAAGCTGTTGTTGCCGCTGCTTTGCGCAAATGGGGCGACAAAATCCGCCTCGTTGATGTTTCATCAGAGCTTCCTGGCCTCGAGCGTCGCCCCGGTATTTCTTCATGGACGGTGTATGGCAAGGATATGCAAATTAGGGAGCCTGGTGCAGATGATGTGGCTGAGACTGTCTTCCCCCCTTCCAAGGAAGAAGCCGAAAAGTTCCACTTGGATCGTAGTATCAGGGTTTATCCCCATCTTCAGAACACAGGTGGCTTCTTCATCGTCGTCTTCGAAAAGATTGAAAAATTCACCAGTGAAATGAAGCGCAACAATGCTGACGAGGCTGAGGTTGCTAGCAAAAAGCAAAAAACTGATGATGGTGCTCTGAAAGATACCACCGCCCCCAAGAAGAAGAAACTGCCCTATACCAACGAAGAACCGTTTATGTTCTTAGCCCCTGATAACAAAGAGCTCGCAACATGCTGGCCGTTTTATCAATTTCTGGATGAGTTCCCCAAGAACTGTTGCCTTGTGCGTAACTCAACTGGTGAAGCCGTGAACTCGATTTACTTCGTCGCTCCTATCGTTCGTCGAATTTTAGAATCGCCTGAATTGAAGCTCAAAATGGTTAACGCTGGTATTAAAATGTTCACTAAACAACGCAATGAGGGTGGTGCTTGCGGCTGGCGGTTGCAAAACGAAGCTCTTCACACAGTTAAAAACATGATTGGTGATGACCGGAAGGTAACTTGTCTGCTTCCTATGCTCAAGTATTTGTTTACGGAGGCTTTCCCTAAGCTTGATGTTATTGAAGAATTGGGAATTGACAATGACTTTGTTAAGGCTGCGAAATCTCTTGACCAAGGATGTGCTTTCTTGACTGTCAACCGTGGTGAAGATCACGAAAATTTGTTTTTGCCATTGTGGAGAGGGAAATCGAACGTGAATTTGATGGTGAATAAACAGGACACGCAAGAGTTGTTGTACCGCGTGTTTGATATTGAGACCAACGCAACTGAACATGGTAAAGAGCACGCTTACCAACAGCGGGTTGAAGCTGCAAAAGCTTCCAGCGAAGAGCCTCAAGCATAAACCCATTTCAAAGCAAAGTTTTGTTTCATAGATTCCGGTAATCAATTCTAGGCTGAACAAGCAAGGTAATGGCAAACTGTAATGGTAAAATAGACATAATAGTATATCACACGCACCATTGGTTGCTGCAACTTCATTGCAGTTAAATCCATTAATCATTTGTAAGATGCCGCCATTATCGGTGTTGGACAACTAATATGTGAGCTCGAAAATTTCACGTTTTTACAAAAAATACGATATTTCGAACTTCATTATACGATGTGTAGAATTCTGCCATCATTTACATTGGGGATGCTATGGAGATGCAATACATACAACCTTATGTTCAATTTTTTACAAGCAAAATGCCTATCTACGGTCTTCAACGAGTCAAGAGTTGCGCAACGTTATGTATAAGGAAATTCAAATCAAATCACACTACCTTGAAACTTGAAATTATCAGTCCCATCCGATGGGAAATGTATTTGAAATACATGGTATATCACCTCTGAACGATGAAAGTTACGCATGAGTCCTCATAGATTTATTTTGGGGCCCCTTTTGATTTTCATTTCTTCATATACATGTTGTACTCCATCTCAGGCATCCATATAACCTCTGTAGACCGAGTAAATGTTATTAATAAGTAGGGTTCTAAAGGATATCGCTCTTCAGCGTTGGAAATTATCAAAATAGTACTCTATATGTGATCCTTCAACTTGAGCCCCACAGGCAAATGGAAGAGCTTAATTCCAGATTGCTTGAAAAGCTGTTCCCACTTTGGAACTTGGTAATTCAACGATTTGCCATAAATGTAAAACATTCTGGCCCACTCCTCAACCATAACGGTATCAAAAGATTTCATATTTACTTTCGATCGAATGGAATGCCGACAAAGAGACTCACAGTTAAGTACGAGGCGGGACACTAGGCGTAGAACAAGGCGGATGTAAACTACCTCATCAATCGCTTATTCATAAAACCAATCTTCGTGGCAACACTTGCGAGCTTCAAGTTTTTCAATTTAAGCTGAGCCGGTGTTAGGCAACGCGAAGTTCGCTAGGCAACTCAAAGAGGGTTATGCTTAAGTTGAGGTTACTTTAGCAAGCAACAATGATGACTTTCGTCACAATACCTAGTACCCCAAGGAATAGCTCTATGGCCGACTTAACCCGTTGGTATTCCATCGTTGGAGCTCTTTTGCAGTATACAGCATGGATATTGAGTTGATGCCCACCGCCTTGGCTAAAGAAAACTTCAAGGTTGACGCTAGAACCAAACAGACGCTTCATATCACCAAATCCACTCGCTAATCGTCCAATGAAATTCAAAACGAATGCATTTCCACATCCTCCATCGGAAGTAACCTCCCGTTCGTGATATATTGTATGCTATTGTGACCATGGGAAGTCTTCCACTGTCTACCATACAGCACATATACGTAAAGCAAGTGCCTATGAGTTTGAGAAATTCATACGGGAGAACATCCGCGGACCTACTAGAAGATTACGTCCACAAGATGCATGGTATGTTTGAAGTTATAAATTTAAACAGATTGACATGCTTGAAAAGCACAGAGAACGCTTGAGAATGCTTGAAAAGCACCGAGGACGCTTGAAAAGCACAGAGGCTACGAGCAAACAAGTGAGAGAGTCAATTAAACCTCAATCCAAAGAGTTCATCCTTCAAAATAAGCTCAAAAGCGAACTGATCAATTATTCGTGTTTACTAATAAAACAAGACACTATATGCAGTACGTAAGATTTATATGCAGTACAAATGCTTTTTTGAAATAAGTTTTGACTTTACATGCAGTACTTCCCTCCAAAGTGGTCAAATTCGTAACAATTACGAACGAGGCAACTACAAGGATTTACACCTCTAACCATCAATTTGTGCCTGGATTCTGACAAAACTCGAGTTGCCTATTTTGCCCAGGCTTCAATATATATTTTCACTGATTTGTCTTCAATAGGAAAGAAAATTCTACCCAATTTACTATTCTTTCCGTTTTCGTGTGCGAATGTCGAATACTGCACATAAACTATTTTTGCTTGATTCAGAAGTATCGCTCAATTGATTATGTTCAGTATGCAGGGCACATAATTAAATCAAAATAACATCAATTTTACGCATCACGGGGCACACAACTATTGTAAAAAGGGAACAACGAGGCTACACAGGGCTCACAACCAATGATAAAATGAGCATCAACACAACACAGGGCTCACAACCTTATTCAATATTCCAGTGACAATATTGGCACGAAAAGGCTTGTCGTTGTATATTTACCATGCAATGGCTTAAAAATGGTACATGCAACGAATGAATTTTGCTTGTCTGTAGACGACATAGATCTTGGTTTGCCAGTAGAACTTTCGATTTACTCGAATCTTCGTATATAGTGTACCAACAGCTCGTGTTCCCTGATCCGTACTTTGTAACAACGTTGATCCAGCAAGATCTCAAAGTTGTCGTACTCAAGACCTGCTAGAACTTGTCACTCCTCATGCATATTCAGATGGATCTTCGGATGGTAAATCGCTTCTTAACCACATGACAGTGTATTCTCGTTCATTTTTCTTTACTACGTTAATCCTAAGCTAAACTCTCAGCCTGTATTGACAGAAAAAATGCCCATTGATAAACCAATACATTTAAGTCCAGGCACTAACCTAGGGACAATTCAATTGGCTCCCGTCGGCACAGGCTTAAGCCTTCGGTACCAGTCCCCAAGGGATCAGCATCCTCTATTTGAAGCATGAAGTAGTCAGAAAGCAGTTGATACCTGTAATGCAACATTAAGAAGCTGGATATACTCATCCCCACCGTTATTAAGCCTTGAATCCGCTTCAAATAATGTTGCAGCAATCTTATTTTTAGCAACACCATCAATTCTGTCATCGAAAATCATATTATCATGAATCTGATCCAATATTTGCTGTGCGCTCCAGCCTTGCAATACTAATGCCTGAACACCAGAACCTACAGCTTTGGCATCCCCAGACTTGATGGAGGCGACCAATTCGTCGATCAAAGCTGGAGGTAAAATTCCAGCAATTTCTCTGACAAGCTGAGCTGTCAATGTACCATTATTGCCCATCAGAATCAACTTCGTACCAGATTGCAAATATGTGATGGCCTTTCTTAAGTCACCACCCGAAATTTTTAAAAGTTCGGATAACACATCAGGACCAGATAAAGGCACGTTCTCCTCGTCGGCAATGAATTTCAAGCGACTGATGGCGTTGTCATCAGCAAGCAGACGAAATCGAAACTTTGCGCATCTTGAAGCCAAAGGGTCAATGATTCTTGTAACGTAATTGCAAATAAGGCAAAATCTTGTGACGTTGGCATACTTCTCAATTGTTCGCCGCAATGCCAGCTGAGCCTCATTCGTCATGGAGTCAGCTTCATCCAATATGATGATTTTAAATGGAGGACAAGGATACTTTTCCAAGTCTTCCTTCGTTGGGTTGGAAACCGCAAGCCGAGCAAAATTTTTGATCTTCTGACGAACAATCAGAATCCCTCGTTCATCAGATGCATTTAACTCCAAGACTCTCAGCTTGTAGAGACTCGGTCCGTATAACTGCTTGGCAAGTGCAAGGATAGTTGACGTTTTACCTGTGCCCGGGGGTCCGTAAAATAACATGTGTGGAAGGTTGCCCAGCTGAATCGTCTTCTTCAAAACATCCACAGCATGATCTTGGGAAGAGACGGCATCAAGATTTTTAGGACGGTACTTCTCGACCCATGGAGTATGTTGCGCCTTTTCCTCTGAGTAGGTAGTCATGATGAGTTAACTTTGAAGCCCAAGGTTTACGCGTCGCGTGTTTGCGCACGACTACACGCGCGCAATCCACGGTTCCGCTGAAAATACTAGGGAATCCAGATGATAATTGTAACTTATATTGCTGAAGGTAAGGGATTAACAAAGTTACCCCAAATTAAACATGATTAATCGGAATTAGAATGAGATATATAATTTGCAGAACTTCCAGCTCTACACCTTTCATAGTCGTCTTTTAGGGTTTCTCTCATCACCATCAAGGTGACGAGTTGAACAAGTCCGCGAATCACTGTACCCCAACGACGCTCAATTCAAGCGTCCAAACTCTCCGGATGTGGACTTTCACGGATGCAACATCTAATCCTGGAATTACACCTTTCACATTGACTTTTTGCACTTCATCCAGCCACCAGCACTTGCGGGCAGGCTTCCTCCAGAATAACAAAAGTTTCGTGTGATTAGCCTCGGGTTTGCGCAGTCTCAGAAGAGACCGAGAAGCGGCGCGAGAAGCACTCAGAGCCAACTGTGAGAGCCTCAGTCGAGAACGAGATCGATCCTGGCTAACATTTGACTCGACAGGGGTTAACTGACCGCTTGATTCAGGCGGGTTCGTACGTAAGCGTACCAACAGTAACAGTGAAATCACGCATTTGTTAGGTTCCATACTACGGATGCCCCATTCTCCGCCTCTGTCGAACCCCAGTGAGCACAACATGTCGAACAAATGTTGTTCAGCGGGGCCCAAATGTTGTTCAACTGAAGGAGGTAAAGTCAGATCGTATCCAAGACCCAGAAATATAAGCTGATTGTGCAACAAGTGACTGCTTACCTCCAATTTAAGATGGCGCATGTGGTCATGGTTCATTCCAGGTTTCGGAGGGATGACGTAGTAATCCAAATCTTCGCGTAAAACAATTATAGCAGGCTTATGCTGAAGTACATTTTCATGTCGATTGGATGCGTACAGGGTGTCTGGCAGTTGAGGATACTCATCAAGTTCATGTTGCGCTTGAGAAAACACATCAATGATGTATTGAAAACAATCTGGATCAAAATTGACGTAAACGGTGTCATCTTCGGTCAAATTTGCAATCACCTGACCATTGATATCAAGGAAGACACCATTAGGAAACAAGCAAAGAAGAATCAGTTCTGGTAATCCCATAAGCTCGTCGCGCGTAATCGTGAATTGTCGGCCGCGTATATCAAGGTGTATGTTTGAATTAAAGTCGGCACTGTCATCATAGTCTCCACCGATTGCTGAATACTGTTCGGGCGCCACCTGAGTAATAATATCCTCACTCATAGTGGTCGGTAAACAGATTGTGGACGTGCGACATAGCTGTCGTCCTCAACCTGAAGACCTGCATATAGTTCCGCTTGTTTAAACGAGCAAGATGTGAATTGAAGTGAATCAACTTGATGGACGACATATTTGACGATGATGGTGCCGTTGATGCCACCGCAGATATTACAAGGGGCCAATATACCCAGGGATACAGAGAAGGTCTCAATCTGAATCGTAATGTGAATCTTCAAAAAGGTTTCGATATCGCGTACCCTAAGGGTGCCAGCATTGCCATAGAAATTGGCCAAATTCTAGCAAGAGCGAAAAGACTAGATGCCGATATTTATCTGCAAGCTAAAAGGGAACTAGCGATCAGTGAGTTTTTGGATATTAAGCACTTTGACGCTGAATATGAACTCAATGATGACGGGAAAGCGATTTTGTCCAAATGGAACTCGCTTGTAGCATAATCAGATGCCGAGCTATGGGAGTAGTTGATATTATAAATGTATATAGCGCAAAGAAGACCCTTATTGATTAAAAATAGAACTATACTATATATCGAAGCACAGCTAGTCCAAATACAACGATGCAGCCGCTACGAGGTCTCTATGAACCATCTCACCTGCTTTTTCCATCTTCTGCTGCAACTCATTGTTCCCGATGGTTTTAGCAGCATCCACGATTTGACGAATCAATTCCTCCAACCGCTTGAATGTTCTGATCAACGAACCTTCATACACATCAGTCATCTTGCAAAGCTGCGCAAACTTGGCTCCCTTGCACCACGCATACGTCACTTCCATCAATTCTGGACGGAATGTATCAACATAATCTTGCTCCACGATATCAATTTTCGCTTCACGATACACCTTTGCCACCTTTGCCGCCATTTCGGTTAAATTCTTGAACGGTTCTGCTAACTCAGGAGTGAGCTTAGGAACTTCGTTGGCCTTTTCTTGAAACACAAAACAAGACAACAAGGCTGCACATTGTTCGGAAGTCAAGTCGGTGAAAGTACCGTTGAAAATGAGCTCAGTTAAGACCAACTCATCACCCAGGGAAATTTCACAGGCAACCCGACCCTTAAGCTCGATGATGTCGTCGGCAGTAGTAAATTCAAGACGACGTAAGACCCGGCGGCGATTTTTGAGATCCTCTAATTGAATAACTGCCTGTGTTTCGCTGATTTTTTTGGAAATCGTCAGTATCTCATTCTCCAACGCAACTTTTCTTTCGTAAGTGGGGTAATTGGCAGCGAGTTTTGCGGTTCCAGCCAACGGATTGTTGTTCATCTTCTCCTTGAGAATTTGACATTTGCGAAGAAGAGTTGAAAACTCAGGATCTTCGATCTTAATACTTGATACTGGATCTAAATCTGGGACACCGGCTTTCATTTGTTGAAGGGCGTTTTTCAAAGTTTTCACAAGGAGCTTCTTCGTCGATGACAGCGTCATATCCTTTGGAGCCCTCAATTTGGCCGATGAAACCTGCCAAATGGAGCTTAAGGTTACCGGAATAAACTCACCCCGCAGCTGCTCTGAACCAGCAGCTGGACGGATACCTTCAGGAAGTTGAGGGTTGTTAGGTTTAATCAAATTGACGGGCGAATCTTTGAACATCGTAGTGACAAAAACATTTACCACGTATGAATCATGCGGGGAGTAGGCAGGCGCGCCCCGGACAGGTTTACCACGTTTGGAGAAGCCCAGGACTACACCCCAACCATAGTCATGGTACGAATTAGCGGTCTTCTGGGGTATTTTGACTCTTACAAGTCTACCTGGCACCATGAAGGGTAAAATGTGACCAGGATGCGTCACAATTTCCCGCACTTCATTCTCATACTTTTGGAGTTGATGCTTCAAATCATAGTAGTCCTTGATTTGCGATTCATCCTCAACAACAATTTCCGAAATCTCATTTTGCAACGATTGTTTCTGCAGTTCCAACTGGGGAACCAGAGCCGCATTTTGGAATTGATAGAAAGAGTTTTCCAACATGAACTCAGGCGAAATGCCTTCAACGCGCATAAGATTTAAAATCATGTTGTAGCCCAAATGAAAGGCAGAGTCAAGGCGGTCGGCCTGACCTTTGACCATGCCTTTGGCCACCTGTGGTTCCATCTTTTCGTCAATCATCATGATTACAATACCCCGATCATCAAGGCCACGTCTCCCAGCGCGCCCTGACATTTGAATGTATTCACCACCAGAAACCCAACGGAAACCAACACCGTCCCACTTACGGACCGAAGTGAACACCACAGTTTTCGCAGGCATATTCAAACCAATGGAGAACGTTTCAGTGGCAAAAAGCACTTTAAGCAAACCCTCTTGGAACAAGATTTCGATAATCTCCTTGAGAATTGGAAGAAGACCCAGATGATGGATACCGATACCTCTTCTCAACAAAGGAAGAATGCTTTTGATTTGCGGCAACTGCTTGTCATCTTCGGGCAAAAGATCAATGGCGCGATTGAAAATTTCCGTCAATGTTTGACGCTCTTCATCATTATTGAAATCGAGCTTGGACATTTTTAAAGCCAATGATTCGCACTCGCGCTTCGAGAAACTAAACACAATCACCGGGTTGTAGCGTTTTTGGTAAATCATCTTTACGATTTTGTAAATGTCGCCTTTGCCATCCAGTAATCGCCCTCCTTTATGAGTTTGGCCCAATTTTCCCCGCAGATTCGCAGAGGCCGGGTCATCACCAGCATTATCACTGATCAGCGCCATAGCCTTTTGGAAGTTCTCCTCTCTGAAAGAGCCCTTCTCGTCAACCACCAAGTGAATACCGTCAGCGTTGGCGGGGAACAAGTAATGCTGTAACGGAGTTGGTCTGAAGTCGGTATAAACAACATGACAGGGTTGATTATGAATCTTCACAATCCATTCAGCAAACTCCATGGCATTGGGAATAGTAGCCGACAAAAATACATAGTGCACCTTGTCCGGCAAAAGAATAATAGTCTCTTCCCAAACCACCCCTCTCAGTTTATCACGCATATAATGAACTTCGTCAAAAATTACCCAGGCGACTTCTCTCATAACCTCTGACCCGCGGTACAACATCAGCCGCAAAATTTCGGTCGTCATCACAAGACATCCTGCTTCCGGGTTAATTGTAACGTCACCGGTCATAAGACCTACATCCCCAAATTCGGCACGTAACTCACGATACTTTTGATTTGAAAGGGCTTTAATAGGTGAAGTGTAAATCACACGTTGCTTTTCCCTTAATGACTGAGCAATGGCATACTCAGCAACCACAGTTTTACCGGCCGAAGTGTGTGCAGACACTAATACCGATTCGTTCCGGTCAATGCACAGAATGGATGTATCCTGGAAGGGATCCAATGTAAATGGGTATTTCCGGGCATCATTTTTGCGACGGTGTTCAGAAATGGGGATGTAAGGATAATCAGGGGGGATAGCAACCTGGTGACGTACTTGATGCAGTAACTTAAGCTTACCGTCGTTATTTTTAACGGTCGCTTCACTAGCATCAGTGTCTTTCACCCCTTCGTGAGCGGAAGGTTTTTCGAGCAAACCCAAAGACTGATTGACCTCATAAGAAGATGTTAATTCCGTCGCATCGGTCGCCACGGGTTTTATGTCCTTCTTTTGGGGAACTTTCACCGATGGTCGCTTCTTGTCTTGCGAAGCTTCGTCGTTTTCAGAAGCAACTTTGGCCTTCTTCGTTGCAGGTTGTGGCAGAGATTCGTGGGGACGCTTGTTGGATTGGGTAGTTGCAGCGTTCGGGGCTTCCGGCACCTCGGTGGAGGGCGCTTCGCTGAACACTCCAAATAAGTCGTCGTCCATACTTTGCGATGAGATTGTCTGCGCGCGAACAAAGAGATTCAGTGTCACCACTCAACGGGAAGTTCCACAGCAAAAAACAATTTATGTAAAGAATTAATTTTATGGCGATAAGCTCTATTGGTCTCTCGCCAGTGTTCTAGCGACATGGATTGGAGACCTCTTTTGTGGAAGGATCTATCGAGGCAGAAAATGTTCTACAGTATTCGTTTAACGGATTCATGATACTGTGGTAAGAGATGCGAACTCGGTCTATCGCGTAAGCCGCATGAACGGCACCCCGCTCATTGGCGGACTAGCGAAGCCCGGACGGCGTTGTAGGAGCGGGTGGTGTCGACTTATGCATATAAGTGGGTTGAATCCGCCACATCTAGACTTCATCTGGTTTTATACCTAGTCTGACTGTGGCTGTATTCGGGACACCTTTCATAGATAGGGTTACGTAATCATCACTATACACGACTATCGACTACCTTCTTCCCTCAGATACTACTTTTATTCACGTAAATAATTTTGGATGAACCAACCGTTTACAACAAGTTCTTAGCCTTGAAATCACGTCTGATGGAAGAGATGAATTCCATGAACTTGGCAGGGTTGGTGTCGATGCCACGAGTGTAGACAAACTTGGAACCCAAGTAAGTGGCGAAGATGGCCTTGCAGTAAGCTTCCGGCACCCGCTTCAAGATGTTTTCGAGGCCAATTTCCTTGATCAACAAGGGAGGCAACGCGTCATGCAAGACGGCGTTTCTGAAGTTGACATCGTCGTTCCACAATTCATTCGAGTTCGCCAATTCGTCAGCCAACTTGTTGATAGCGTACGACAACTTGTCCGAGAGCTCAGTAAGAGGCAACTTGGTGGAGTCTCTCAAAGCCCACAAAGCTTCGAATTCAGCTTGAGCATTTGCGACAATCTTAGTTTGCACTTCCTTGACGTAGTCTTGGTAGAATTGAGGCTTCTTGTGCGTCTTGGAGTCAACACACATGTGGTTCAAGAACAGGTCATCATCAAACGCCAACGAAGCCAACACTTCGAGCGAGGACGAGGTCACACCACCCTTGTTGGTAGAAGCATCTTTGAAGATGATGATGCCAGCCTTTTCAAGCTCCAACTTAGCAGCTTGAGTAACGAACAAGTTGGCACCTTCAACAAAGTAGGGAACAATCGACTTACCAGTGTTGGGGTCGATGAGCTCGTGCACGTTTTCAGTGTCAATGGCAGCAGGACGACCACCACAAGGGACGAACAAGTCAACACCGTGGACGCCAAATTGTTCCTTGAGCTTCAAGTGGAAGGTGTTTCTGAACGCAACACCCGAAGTGATCACTTGACCCGAAGGCAATTTCACATCAACATCATCGACCAAAACAATGTAACCGTCCTTGGACAACTTGGAGCGATCGTAGTGCTCAATCATCTTACGCTCCTTAGCCAAACGCAAAAGTTCTTCCTTGTCAAGACCATTCGGGTCGGCAATGACACCGGAACCGTCAACAAGACCGACGTAGTTTTCCTTGCGCGACAACAAAATTTCGTTGGAACCCAAGTCGCCATCAGGACCACCGGTTTGGAACTTGCGAATCTTAGCATCATCGATGTCGAGCTTTTCGTAGATCTTGTTCACGTAGGCACGTACCGACAAGGTGGTCATCCCGTACTCATCGTGAGGAATACCACCCAATTGGGGAGACTTGCCCGTCAAGAACGACTTCCACCAAGGAGCACCGCGGGCACGAGCATGCAAAGTAGCCCAGTCAGTGTAGGGAGCAGTACCTTCATCAGGGCCAAGGAACAAGATTTCCGGCTTGTCATAAAGGTCAACCCAAGCTTCCTTAGACCCGGGAATATCTTGTTTGATGAGCAAGTCGATCAACGAGTCGATGTACTTTTCGAAGCAAGCCTTGGGACGCTCTTGAGCAGCACCGGTGTCCAACAAGATCACACCCTTCGAACCACCCTCGGGGATATCCTTGTTCTTGCGTTGTTGGGTGTTGGCAAGGTTGTAGTTTTCGTCAAACAAGTTCATAGCGTTGGTCTTGTAGGCATCTTCACTTCTCGACCGGACGATACGGATACCACCACGGGCAATGTCACGGAACCGGATGTGGAACCCTCTGAAGTCCAGACCAACGACGAAGAACATACCGTAGGGCTTTTCAGGGTACTCCGACGCAGGCAAGAAGTCGGGTTGCAAACGGAAAGAGATGGCAACCTTGGTGGAGATGAAGAAGTTAGTCTTGAGGATCGACTTGTTGAAGGTCCACAAAGCACGCAACACCACGGCATGGTGTTCGTTTTGCGAGCATTCACGCGCCAAAACGTCTTCGAACTCCTTTTCATCAGCGAAGGGTTGGATTTGCGACAATCTCTGGTAGGACAAAGTCTTTTCCTTCGAGCTCTTGATGTAGTGGACATCGGCAAAGTTGCGGTACAACTTTTGCACAATGGAACGACGAGTGTCAAAGACTTCTTGGATGAAGTTTTGCGAGTAAGTTTCCGCTCTCAATCTCTTCTTCAACGCGTTCAACACTTCGGCGTTTTCAAGCGATTTCGACGCGTCCAACAACGAGGTCAACTTCTGGTATTCAGGGCCCAACCGGTTCAAGAAGTGAGTGGTGAAAATAACCCCGCATTGAGCGTAAATGCTTTCTTGCAAGGACAACTCACCGGAGACGAATCTGTCTTGGAAAAGGTTCGAAGGAATGCAGTACAACAAAGAAGCTTCCTTGATCACCTGGAAGATCGACAAGTCAACGGCGGCCGAAGTGTTGCGGTTCAGAGCCACGTACATCGAGATGATGGTGATACCTTCCTCGCCATCAACGGTGGGGCGGAATTGCTCGACGTACTTGCGAGTAACGGTCAACTTGTAGTAGTTGGCGAGGTCAGAAAGGGCGGAGATGTAACGCGAGCTGGTCTTTTGCTTGTAACCGATGATGACACGGTATTCGTCGGAGTCCTCAAGAGCAAAGTGGGAGATGACAGGACCAGTGGTAGTCTTCACCTTCAGGATGATTTCGTTGTACAACTCCTTGGTCTTGGGCGAGGCAGTCTTGGCAAAAGTGGCGTCGGCGCCAGTGGTTTCGTCAAAGTTGCACTTGTAGACAAAGGCACACAGCATCTGTTGGTTCTTGATTTCGGGGTTCTTTTCGTGAACGCCACGCAAAATGGGGTCGGCTTGGTAGTTCAAAGGAGCGGTGAAGAATTCCGCCCGGTAACTGACACCCAGGGCCGACGACGGGTCCAAGTACTTGTCATCGATGCGTTCTTCGAAACGACGCTTGCCGGCGTCGCTGACACCGGGGGCCGAGGTGTCAAAGTAGACACCAAGGTCGTCGCCTTCGGCGCGGTAACGGATCAACGCGTCGTCCAACGACAGGGTGGCCGAGAACGATTGCACCTTAGCCGAGTACAATGAAAGGATATGCAGAGCAATCTCTTCCGGCTTTTCCTTGGCGAAGAACACGTCGTCAATGCCCAAGCATTCGTAGAACCAGCGAGCTTCCAGCTCAATCAAGGGTTCAGGGATGAACCCCAGCTGGTCCAAGACGTCGAGCACTTGGTCAAATTGCTCCTTTTTGCCCGTGAAGGGGGCATCGACGTACCCCAGGGTCGTCTTCAGCGGAGCTAACAGTAAGGTTTCCACACCGAGCGACATTTGTGAAGTGTGCAAAAAAGGGATGAGGTGGTAAAATGGGGGGGGAGGAGGGTTTGATTGATAAACGAAGAAAGAGGATATTGTGGGGGGTGTTAGGCATTATTTATACTCAATGCAGCGGGCAGCGGCAGTGTTGCCCGGGGCCCTAGGACCAGCGTGGGCGAGAAAAAAAAAAATAATCTTCTCCTATGCGGAGGGCCAGCGAGACACATGGAGGGGTGATGTTGGGGGAAGTTAAAATGCGGGGGACAGGCGTTTGTGGTGGAAAAATACGGTGACACTGCTAAATATATCGCTCAATAGTGACGGCTATTACTGAAATAGGTGTAAACCAGTTCAGTTAGTAGGGGTTTGGGTGGTGGCCAGCCACAATTCGAGACCTTATCTCCTCGGTGGTTTAACGGTTCCGATGTGTGGCGGAAATGGATCGCGCTCGGAGTTCTGCATATGCCTCCCCACACAAACTTTCCCCCTCCTTCGGGTTGGGAGCGTTGTGACGACACTTACACTTTCTTTGCTGATCAACAACAGAGGCAATTTATGGCACACCGGTCAACTGGAAGTAAACAGAATACGGTTAGTATTGGCGAGAGGACAAAGCCGTGCGTGGTCTCAGTGGCAATATTGGTTTATCTTTGGTAGTTTTAAACGTTTTCTACGGTTTCTTTTGGTGCTATGGCGCACGCTGTCAAATATGGCCGCATCGTCGGGGGTGCACTCCCGAATAGTGGTTTTCGCGATGCTCACCATAACTCGGCCCACAGACGCCCAGAGAAACCCGGAGTTAAACGAAACCGTTAGTTGAAGCCGGCACTACCTTATGCTGTTCTTTAGGAAATCTACGGGCTTACTATACCTACGCTGTCTCCAAAATCGTTTTAGCGGCAACGAGAATGCCGTCGCTAACCGCTACCATTTTCGGAGGGGTTGCAGGAAGCGATCGCCGCCTCCATCACGCACATCGCTGTGGCAACTCCATTTGGACAAAGTCTTATGATTGAAACAGGCATGACCGTTGGTGTTTATGGCAGAGAGTGATCAATAAAGAAATCTGCCCTACTGATGACATCAATGACTATGGCCCAAAACTGAACATTCAGTTTTTAAAGCTTTCATCAATCATTGATGTTTAGCGGTCCACGTCCCGGTGGTCCAGCGGGGTGACGAAATGCCGCAGCCCCGGAAACCACACGGCAAAGGGCACCCGGCTAAAGGCGGAATACCCATAGCGGGAAGTGTTGGCGCTTAAGCCACTGCCACCGGGCTGAGCGAGTGAGCGAAAAAAAGTCGAGTGATCGAGAATGACGTCCTGCCCCAACAAAGAATGAAATTCCGTATAGTCATTCCACGCACCCCACCGGTCACAGGAGGAAAGCTGAGGCGACGGCCAAAACCCTAGCACTTTCGGTGTTGGTTTAGGAGGCGCTAAGCGATGTGTTATGCGTGCCCCAAACGGCAGTTTTAAAAAAAGGAACAAAAAACGCCACACATACGGCGTCGCACTTTTAACACGGCAAAACAAAATTAGCAACATGGGGTAAAAACTCGAACTGTCGTTAGCGACAGGTGGATGGGGCAAATGGGATCCGCTAAGAAAAAAAGTTAAACACACTGTAAATGATCCCTCTGATGGTGATAAGGTTTGTAGGCTTGAATATCAGTAGCGATTTATTCAAATCGGAGATAGTGTGGGATAAAATTTTGGTATCCTTTTGGTGCCTTCAATTCTCCATCACAACGCAATAACCAGTATCAACTAAGCCATTGCCTAAGTTTAAGGCGAGACCGAATCTGACAATAGCTGGCTGGCATCCATGGTGTAAGGGACAAAGCAGCAAAACTTCCTGAACACTTGTGGGATGCTGCCGATTAAGTATTGAAGCTCCTGATCGTAGGCTAGATTATCTGTGGCCAATCAAAACTGAGTATGCGTGATAAAGGATCCAGGGTTCATAATAAACACTCAGTGCGCAATCGGTTAGACCCGATCCAAAGGGGTGGTTACCGGTACAACGAGAGTCATTAAGAGATCACAAACGAAAAGCCAACTGATGTCAATTCAAACGGTCATTGATTGCTTTCAATTTGTGTGCAATTAACTAGTAATGAAGTATTACCCAGAAATTGTACATTTGATTGCGAACTCGAACGATAGAGATAAATCGTACCAACCGTTGGCGACTCCCTAAAAGTAGATACACGCCCAGTTTCTTCAACGGATAAATATCATGCATTTTAGAGATTTACGGCTGAAGCGTGGTCTGTCTTACAATTCATCAGGGACAATTCTATTAGTGAAAACGCTCGACCTTTACCGCTTCTTTGATCTACCGCAACCATAGAAGCAGACACGGACCACTGTAGGTTCAGGGGGGTAGGAGATATACGTTCTCCGTACTGGTGAGACCGCGTTGCCTTGGGAAATCTGTGGCGGAAAATCCGGTATGAACCAATTAACCCCATTGCTTTTGCGATACGTGACTAGATGCAGAAACTATGATCCCTTGATAAACGTAGCACTTTGATTCACCCCACCTTTAACCACCTCTCCGAGCACCCAATACGTTCTGGATCAACGTGGTGTGTGTCTTGCTTATCAAATACTGTCCCGTCGGATGAAGCCTGACTCCACAAACTCAAAACTACTGCATGTCCCCTGCAAATTCTATCGCCAGGGTGTGTGCCAAGCCGGTTCCCAGTGTCCATTCAGCCATAATCTTCAGGGTGTCCTCGCCGCCGACAAGCTTCCGTGCAAATACTTTCAAAAAGGCAATTGTAAGTTTGGTCTAAAGTGTGCCTTAGCTCACTTTCTCCCTGACGGTACCCGCATCAATCCTCAACGGACCCGGCGTGGCCCCCTGGCTCACCGCGCTAATCCTGGAAATGCAGTGGTCTATCCAGCAAATTCGGGATTACTGGTGTCGCCGATTTCCGCTGTAGTCTATCCCTCCGCCGTTACGGCGGGGGGGTATCTGATTCTGATGCCGCCTGAAAATGCGCCCTTGGCCATTAGCCCCGAGGTGATCGGATACGACACCTCGCCCCGATGGGGGTTGGAGCCGGCTCCAATCCTGTTCACCACCACCAATAATCCCCAGCAAACGCTGGCTATTTTAGATGATGAAGATAACAAAACGCTTCTGGACTTCGAGGATTACATACCTGGTCTGCTCTCAGACTTGATTTTGACCCCTCAGGAAAAGAAGCGGCGGGTACTGAGGTCCCAGCTGGGGACGCTAGGCGACCACCACCGTGAAGACTTATTCATCATGGACTAAAAAAAAGAAAACGGAGATATCAAAATTTCAAAAGGTACACGGGATGAAAGCACGTGATTTGGGAATTGTTTTGTTTTGTTTTTATTGACCTTTGTCAAATTGGTTTAGGTTTTGGTTTTTTATTGTTTTTTTTGGTTTATATTTTTCAGTAGGCGTAAGTATATCAATATACTCTGAGTGTGGTGTGAGCGTAACGAATATTTACTGGGGTTTTCGCGCGAAAAATTGTCCGGTAGTGAACAAGAGGATGATGAGTATTCGTCTAGGGCTCAGGGTCATTGGCAGCAGCGTTGGCGCCTCTCACGCTTGGGTGCCGACGAGAGGGTTTGCTCTCACCCGGGTGTTGAATGCCAAGAAAAAGAAGGAGCCTCTGGGGGATCTTTCCATGGTGCCGATCGGCTCCATTGGCGTGATGGCTGATTTCTACGTGGCTCCAAAGGTGTTCAAGGCGCCTATCCTGAAATGGGGGAGACTTCTCGCCCGCAGAGTCATCCAGTTTGCCGTAAACACGTACCTGATTGCCAAATATAAGCGGGAAACTAAGCTCAAGCTTGAATTCAACCAGTGGAAGGAGACGGCGATGGAGCAGTTTGTGCGTACCAACAAGGTGTTCGCTGCTGCTTGCAACAAGCGGGCATCGGAGCGGAAGTCGTACATTGAGAGACAACTCAATGACTGTACTGGTACTGAGGTTATCAACCAATTGGCGGTACGTGCGGCCACCTTCCCCGCGGGGACGAAGATCTCGTGGGATCTCGTGTCCGTCGACACCAACCCTAAGGTGATCTCATTTAACGCTTTGCCCGACCAAAACAATTTGACTGCCTTCATTCAATTCATTGTCCAAGTCACCACCACCCAGAAAGTCACCATCACCGCGGCTAATGCCGACCCCAAGGAGACGGTGAGACAAGTGAAGGACAACCTTGTATTTACCTTGGATCCGTTCGCCGAAGAACAACGCTTAGTGGGCCTGTTGTTCGAGCTGGACTACGACCGTAAGGTGCAACCCGACGGGTCCCTCATCACCCCCAAGACGATGCTTGCTTTCACCAAAAAGTGTGCCGACATCTACCGTCCCAATCCCCAAGAGATTGCGGCGTCTAAGTAATCTGTATATAGTCTAATATCCCATCATATTCTTTGGAACTCGAGTATACGCCGCATGCATGTACTGTGACTTTGTTATCGCACACTTTGCATTTAACTCCCCAGATCTCGGAAATTCCCGAAGTAAAAATATATATCCACGAATCTCGCTGCTGACGACCGAAAAAACTCCGAAAACTTACTAAAGTGATATCATGGTGCTCAAAACATTCGACGTGGCTAACATCCCTCGGGTCCGGGCTGTCCCATTAACTCCAGAGCTGTTTGCCCCTTATGGCGGGGTGATCAGTGCTGACCACCAGATCAAGCACGTCAAGTCTCTGGGAGCCAACTATGGTACCGCAGTCAAGATCCACAAAGTGGCGCCCATCACTAATAACTACCCTGCTTCTGCTCCGGCTACTGCCAACTGGAACATCTACCGCTGCAAAGCTCCCAAACACCTCATCACTCATTCAGGCGCTAAATCAACTTATAAACTGACAGTGTTGGAACGTCATCCTTATACTACGCAAACGTTTGTTCCCATGGGCGAAAACCTCAACAAAGTGGCGTATTTGGTGATTGTGGCTGCTACTGATGCCAATGACCCTCAGAAATTGCCCGAGCCGTCACAGATCAAAGCTTTCATCTGTAAAGGCAATCAAGCTGTCACTTATGGTGTGGGTACCTGGCACGCTCCCATGGTAGTTATTGATGAAGACATAGACCACTTGGACTTTGCCGTCATGATGCACGAAAACGGCGTCGCCGACGACGACTGCCAAGAATGCTACTTTGAGCCTGGTTACGAAATTGAGTACACTGTGAATGCTCTGAAATTGTGAAATAGGGAGAATGGGAGAACTAAACTATCTATTTATTTTAAAGGAAATTCAACAAGTCGTTTACCACCCCCTTAGCGTAAGTCTGCTTCTGCTCTTCGGTCATGCCGTCCATCAGCATCTTCGCCTGATCAAGCTTACCAATCACCTCTGAAAGATCGAGTTTGGTGTTCATCGGCTGCGGTTTGCGGGTAAGTGGCTCCGACATTTCTTCGGCCCGAGCCTGTCGGGCTTCCTCGTAGGTTGCACATCGTGATGGCGACTTAGGAATACTTTCCAGTGATTGCCACTCGTGAGTATCGAGAATCTCTCGCAAACGGTCTTTGCCTAACCGTTCTCTAAACTCATTAGTGCCTTCTTCATCGTAATTGACAAACTCCATTGCTCGCAATGCTACCGCATCCTCAATCTCTCCAACGGCGTCAGGGGAGGCCAGATCTATACCTACCACCACAATGAACCCCGACCAAGTGTCATCCATTTCTTCCATACTCTCCCGGAAATCTTCAAGCATAGAAAGACATTTCTCCAAGTAGGTCTCACTCACTTCGCTTAAATTGAAACAGAAAATCACCCCGTCAATGGCTTCTCGAAGTTCGGCATACTCCGATGACGAAAAGTCCTGGTACCATTTATCCATCGCTTTCAACTGCTCGGCCTCGGTAGCATTGTCTCGATTATCGGGGAACTCATCGATAAGGAAACGGATATTAGCAGAAAAGTACTTGTTGGTAAGGTTAGCGGGCACGATGATGCCACTATGCGATGCTTCATTGATTTCAAATTCAGCGTCATTGCTGAGATATTTCACCACTCTGATTTTCCCTGAATGAGGAGCCCCAAGGACCAAAACATAGTTCGGTGTCATCTTGAAACAAAGCGGTGTTTGATGATCAATGGCCAGTAATCAAAGATATTTCAAATATTCCATAAACCTTCTGGATTAGGCCACCACAATAAGATTTCGGTGTTTGTGCTTTGCGTTGACGGCTCCAATCTTGTCGGTGCGAAAACGTAAATCTCAGCCCCCCACCGAACCATGCCCACGGCAGACGACGCGTTGACGCTGAGTCTTACCCACCAATTGGAGCAGTTGTTGTTGAGGGACGATGACCTTTACCAACTGAATTTGGACTCGGAGGAGTACCTTGAAGATTTGGCGCCCATCTTACGGGAACTGATCAAAAACAACGCCTTGGGTGGGTTGATTCAGAAATTGAACGAGATCGTCCGATCAAAAGAAACCGAGTTGAATGCTCAGCTGTTGGAGTCTACCGATGAAATCAATTCATGCATCGATACCATCGACGCCATCCACGACCGACTGGTAAAACTTGGACAGAACTTGGGCAACGTGAGTCAAAACTTGAACAAATCCGTCCACGACCTCGTCGCCCGCAAAAACAACTTGATTAAATGCAAGCAGATCACTGCCAAAATCAACGAAACGCTGCTTGTGCTTACGTTGTGCATACAAGTCTTGGAAAACACTAATAAAATCCATGAGATGATCAAGCAAAACAAATACTTCTCGGCAATGAAGTTGATCGATGAGTTGACAAATATCCATTTGCCTCAAGTGGAGAAATTCTCGTTCGCTCTCAAAATCTATGATTCCATTCCTCACCTTACCAAAATGATTAAAGACGAGTCATTCGATAATATCGTTAATTGGTTGCTGCTTAACTTGGAAAGAAAGATTCCTGTGATCGGTGAAGCGATCTACGAAAACCTCGAAGAGTTGCAAAGAAACTGGGATCAAGTCAAAGAGCTGAACCCGGCGTTTCTTCCTTACAAATTGAACTCCCCCATTGAGGTGCTGATACGAGATCCATCACTTAACTTTGACATCTTCACCGATGAGCAATTACAAATTTCCTTGGCCACTTTGTACGATGGCATCCTCGTCTACCAGACCCTCAATGAAAGCGAGTTACTTCTGGCTTTGTACCAGAAGGAGTGGATGAAGAAATACAATCGTGTCATTCACCCCATCACCTCCGCCACAGCCGAACTGTTAGCGGAGTTCCCCGATCTTATGGCCTTGGATGAATATTTGGTCAAGATCGCTGCATTCTTTGTCATGGACAAACAAATCAATATTGCAACGAGATTTGCGTTGCGATCAGCTGCAAACTCCAATGATTTGTGGAATTCCTACGTGACCAAGCTTAAACCCGTGTTGTTGCACCATTTAAACAACCATGTATTTGACACTATCGATGACTTGTCGCGGTTTAAAGATGCGGTGGGTGACTTTTTGCACGTAATGGAACTTCACGGATTCAAGGTGACTGAACTCTATGAAGTGTTGATGATTGTGTTTCATGAACACTTTGCGCCTGCGGTTATTCAAGAGTTCCGCGCCGATTTCATTTCCAGTATTCAGTCCGATCGTTACATGCCCATTCTGGTTGATGAAGAAGATGATTACGATAAGATTATGAAAATTTGCTGGTACCAAGACGATGCTTCATTTGCTCCGCAAAACGTTAAAGCATTCCCAGTGGTTTTACCGTTCTCCGAGGATTATCTTCGATACTGCGCCGGTATTCGTGGTCTTCTTGAAGATGTACTCAGTTTTCTCAACCAGCACTATTCCTATGAACTTAATGAAATCAAGAATATCGTTTTGAATGATATTTTCGAAAGGGTATTAGGGGATGTCAAGGGAGTGGGTATTGCCTGGGATATCAAGGATTTCATCTCCAAGAATGCTTCTAACAAAGAAGTGGTGGCTCAATCTTACACTAATCTTGAGTACTATTTGTATTCGTTGTACGAGCTTGGTCGATTGATTGATCGCAAGCTTCGAGCAAACATTGGGATTGGTTTGCACAACATTGATGCCAGTGACACGTTCACGTTGCGGGCAGTAGAAGAGTTTTCGCTGGTTCGTAAATTCTCTGAATCCACCATTTTCACAATGGTTGATGACAAGATCCGCGCGTTGCTCGATACGGTTGAATACGACAACTGGCTACCCCAAGAAAAGAACGAAGAGGCAAACTTTTTCATCAAGGATTTCGCCATGTTTTTGGACAACTTGTTCTCATCGATTTTTTCAAACTTGCCTGTCTCCATCAGAACGTTGGGGTTATTTAGAACCTACGACTTTGTCGCTGAACACTTTTTGGAGGTGTTGAAAGGAGCCGAGGTTTACAATCGCATTGCCATTGAGAATTTTAATCTTGATGTACAGTACATTGAGAAGCACATGACGGCTCTTTATGCTGCCCATCAGGAGGTTGCTGAGGATTCGACCACCAACGTGGCACTCGAGTCTACGTTTACTGAGCTCCGGCAGTGTATTGATTTGTTACTCCTCGAAGACTACTCGGAATTCTCATCCAATCCTTCGTTCAGAATGCGCCACTTCGACCGGGTTCGCTTCGAAGATGGTCAAAGCTTAATTGCCAAAATGCAGAGGGACGATGAACCGGAGGAATACGTCACTGAACTGAGTGCCAGTAGCATCAATGCGCTCGACCATTCTAGAGCGAAGATCAAGAAGTTTGGTAATCGTCTCAAGATGAAGCTTGATAACGAATAGTAATTTTTACGTTTTTTTTTCAAGGTTAATCTAGATCGTAGTAAATCGTGGTGATCACTCAAGCGAAATTCGCAATCTACGAAAAACTCTCGCAGCCGCGTTCAGCCTTTCAACCGAGGGATGATCCAGGAACAAATCAACCGCCTCCTGGAGGTGGTGGGGTTGGACTCGTGCAACCTCAAGATTCTCATCTGCGCATTGCTTCTGTTCCCGTTTCTGTTTATTTTCAAGCGGTTGCCCGACAAGAATTATACCTTGAAGAACGTCTACAACATTGCGGTGTCAGTGTTCTACCTCTTTGGTATCTGTGATCTTGGTCTGGGGATTAACACGTTGTTATTTTCGTCGGTGGGATGCTACTTCATAACTCGGTATGTCAGATCCCCGGCAATGCCATGGATTAACTTCCTCTTTTTGATGGGCCACCTTGCCGTCCACCATTTCCACAACCAATTCTTCAATGTCTACGATCCCACGGTAATTGACATCACTGGGGCCCAAATGGTGTTAGTGATGAAGCTTTCGGCGTTCGGCTGGAACGTTTACGACGGCCGGGTGATAAATGCTGATTTGTGGCCGTACGCGAAGGAGCGGGTGGTCGCCGACCACCCGAACTTATTGTCGTACTTTGGCTATGTGTTTTACTACGCCTCGTTGCTCACTGGTCCCGCTTTTGACTATGCTGATTACGATAAGTACATCAAGGGCACACTCTTCAGTGACGTGCCTCCTGAGAAGCGTCCTCGCGGCAAGCGGGTGATTCCTCGCAGTGGTAAGCAAGCGTTTGCCAAAACCATGCGTGGGTTTTTTTGGGCATTCTTATTTGTCAATGTTGATAAATGGGTGCTGATTCCTTACATGGAGTCGAAGGCATTCCTTCATGACCACTATCTCATCTACCGGATGTTCTACATGTGGATTTTGGGATTCCTGTACCGTCTCAAGTACTATGCCATCTGGCTGATCGCTGAAGGGGCGTGTATCCTTGGCGGTATCGGCTACAATGGTTATGACGAAGCTACTGGCAAGTTCAAGTGGGACCGTGTCCAAAACATCGATGAAGTTGCCTTTGAAACAGGACAAAACGTCCACGTGTGTTTGGAGGCGTGGAACATGAACACCAACAAATGGTTGAAGAACTACGTCTACTTGCGGGTGCCTAAACGGGGCCAGCGTCCCGGTTTCAAACTGACGCTTTTGACGTTCGCAACTCTGGCATTCTGGCACGGAACTCGTCCCGGGTACTACCTTACATTTATCACAGGAGCTCTCATGCAATCTGTGGGTAAGATCTTCAGACGGCAGTTGAGACCCATCTTCCTCACTGCTGATGGCGCTGCTCTCCCTTCAAAGAGATTTTATGACATTGTCTGTTGGTTTGTTACCCAATTATCGTTTGGTTATGCTGTGCAGCCGTTCATGTTGTTAGAGCTCGGACTTTCGCTTAAGGTGTGGGCCGTGTGCTACTTCTGGCTTCATTTAGGGATGTTTGCTACTTTCTTCATCTTCAGAGGACCGTTTGCTAAAGCAGTTATGCGCTGGTTGAGCAAGTATCGGGCCGATGGCGGTCAACCCAAGAAGAAGTCTTCTACATCGTCAAAGGCCGAACTGCTGAAATTGACAGATGGCGAAGTCGGGCAGGTGACCTCGGCGCTTAAATCAAAGCAAGACGTGGCGAAAGAAGGGGCGTTTGATTACCACACATTGGGGCTCCCTTCATTCGAGTTGTTGGAAGATTCAGAGCAACAACAGCTTCAACAAGAGGTGGCGGAAATCAAGGATGCCTGGACATCCTTCAAAAACCGCAACGGCATCCATCATGAAGATTTCGACGGATTGAAGAACGCGTTCAACAACTTTGTCACCGAAGTTAATGAGATCATTACCACTTACTCTCAAGAAAACGGTGCTGCTGCTGCGAAAAAGAATACTTAATTACGATAGGCTCGACTTCCAAATGAACATTTTATCCCTTTGCTAATAATAACCGTCGCAGTCATGTTTGCGAGAGATCACTAAAAAGACAATCCCACATCCAAACTGCCACAAAAACGCTTGATGTCAGGTATATATGTAGGAATGCCACGATTTCGGTTATAAGCTTGGGTGCAGGACGCGTGTTTCTAGGAGGCGGTGCGCTTTGCCTAAAAAAAAAACCAGCTTGCTACCCGGCGTCTAATATCCACGATGATTTTCGGCAAAGCTGGCTTGGTGTATTTGGCCTCGCAGTTGGCTCTCGTGGCCGCTGACGTTTCTCCTTCGCTTCCTAAGGACGGGGCTCTGTTCTCTGCCAGCGGCGGGTCCGCCTCGGTTGACATTTCCTGGATTGATGATGGGTCGTCGGACTTTGCTCCCAAGGATATCAAATCCCAATCGATTTTACTTTGTACTGGTCCTAACCTGCAAATCGACTGTTACAAGTCGCCGTTGACTGTCTCGACTGACTTGACCGACAGTGACGGTAACGGGAAGTACACCGCCTCTATTCCTGCCACCAAAGGGCCCAACGGTAACTACTACTTCCAAATCTACACTTTATTCAAAGATGGCAGTAACACAATCCACTACACCCGAAGATTCAAACTTTCAGGGATGTCGGGTGCTCCTGATCCTTCGTTTGCTGCCGATGCTTATTCCGCCTCCGGGGCACCTCCCCAAGCACAATTATCGGGTAAGACTCAAGGTAAGACGTCTGCCATCGACTCTGCATCATTTACCGTACCTTACGCCGAGCAGAGTGGTGAAACGAAATACGCCCCCATGCAATTGCAACCCGGATCAACCGTCACTGCCACCACTTGGACGCGGAAGTATGAGCTGCTGGCCGTTACATACTTCACTACTAAGGGCCCCAAGCCGGTTGTCATGACTACTCTTACTCCCGGGTGGTCGTACACTCCCGAGTCGGCCACCAACTGGGCTCTGGTGGCTCCATTCCCCACTGCTTACTACCCGGCCCTGGAAAGAGCCGCCAAAGCAACCTTGGCTCCCACTAATAAAAAGAGATGGTTGTGACTTTTAAAGTTTGGATTTAATATGGTTTGGTTTTATAGGAATAGAATGTTACATGGAAAACTCTCAAGTTAATGGCCAATCTTGATCAATTCAAAAACATCGCACGAAGACGGAAAAATTGGAAAAAAAGAAACGTTGTAAGCCCTACGCGGGGGTCGAACCCGCAACCTTGGGATTAAAAGTCCCACGCTCTAGCCATTGAGCTAGCAAGGCTTGTTGTGGCTGTGTCGTGTAAAATGCTGACCTTGAGTATCGGACTTGTGAAGAGCTAACTCCGGAAGTCAATGGAACCTGAGAGAAGGTTGACGAGAGTCAAGGAGTGTTCGAGATCAAGCATGCAAGGAGTCATGAGCATGACGGGAGCATGCGTGGAAGGTTCCACAGTGGCGCTATGATCGCAATACTGGCGGTATTGCTAAGGTATAAATAACGCTGAGTTTATAGAGTTTTAGACAAGTGACTTTTAATCAAGACAATTGATATTTGATCTTCACTACTAGTCGTGATCCAGTGACCGTCATAATTTTATACCACATTTGGTAGCGGTGAACCTACAATGACTAGAAGATCGAGAAGAGTTTATGAGCCCAATGAAAGTGCTGTTTCGGACTTGTCTGATCAGCGCGAAGCGCATTCCAGCGCGCACGAAGAGAATCTGGAGGACAAACATGAAGGGTTAGCAAAGAGAGCTGACGACTCACCCGTGAGCGGTGGAAAGAAGAAACCACGCTTGAGTTTGTCCCCTGATGTTGAAGATGATGTCGAGGAGTTGTCCGACTCCCGAAAAGAGCGCCTTTTGAAGAACGTTATGGATTGCCTTGTCAAGGACTGGCACCCCCTTGATCCAGAACAGAACCCGCTGGACATTACTGACTTTGAAGAGTTACTTGGTCAATTTGAACATGCTTGGATGTTCCGCAGGTCTATGACTCTGGCGTTTAAGAAATTACTGATTGGTCGAGGTGTAACTCTTTCGAAAGAAAAAGCTGCAATCTTTGCTCTGGCTATAGAGCAAGCACTTGAACTTGATGACAGTGATGGGTGGAACGACAGCGTTTACGTTCAACGGTTATACGATTGTTGTTCCTTGGAAGATTTCCAGCAGGCTTTGTGGGGTTGTGGTTTGATTAATCCAGGAGCGTTGATGGCGAAGATTTACGCCTGGTGCCACCCAGAGAAACTACCAGAAATGGTGGCGAAGGAGGTCTCCATGGAAAGCTTTTGGAGAGACCTATTTGAATTACCTTTCTGCGGTGGTCAATGTGACCCAATTTTACTTGCGTTGGCGAAAGGCTGTACATGGGAAGTGTGTCTCAGGTATGGTACTCATGTGATGAGGGACCTAATGAGAACAGTTCCAGACTGGTGGAAGAGGCGGACTCCTTCTAGGTCTTTGAAGTTTTACAAAGATTTGTTTGCCGAAACTAACATGCCTCGCGAGTCGGAGAACTATGTACAGAGAAGTTTGCAAGTGTGAAACTTAAAGGTCCGGTGGACTTTCGAGCTTTGCAATTGGTGCAAGCCATGCTTCAAAATTTCAGAGCAAGTGGAAGAGCCAATCGAGCGTGAAGGTTGCTGAAGGTCACAATCCGTCCATAGATGTGGCTGCTTAATAAATGACATTGTGGAAGGGTGCTTACTCTTTGGCTCCTTGGCGTGTTGGTCAAGGGGGGAAGAGTATATGTATGGTTGTCCAACCCGCCAATCTTGAGGACACGTACGTGAGAATATGCATCGTGCTATGTCATTTGTGAATCTGAGTGTGATGCAACCTGAAAATGTTGGCAAGTGTTTACGGTGGAGGTACGAGGCAGTTGGCCCAAGCTGTGTCGCTCCAAGTAAACGAAGTATGTGAGATCTGGTGGAATGTGTCTATCAGATCGGGGCGTTTAGAGGAGAGTTCCTCTAGTGTGTGTTGTGGCTAGAGCCACAATGTGTGAGACATGTGTGATTGTCTCTGTGAAGACGTGTATGATCGTCTGTGAAGTGAGACGTGTGTGTTCGTCTTTGGGACCTGATCAGTCCTTGCCTTTAGTGGCTAAACGTGGAGGAGGCTCCACTGAGCTCCATAATGTGTATGGAGTGGAAATGGTGATAGGTGCTCACAGCCCTTGCTGAGGAAGCTAAATGGTGATAGGTGCTCACAGCCCTTGCTGAGGAAGCTAAATGGTGAGGGTTTTCCGCCCGTCTTCATAGTTGATTTGCGACCAACTATGGAAGCGAAAGTGATAGGTAGACTTTCCTTACTCGCTGAAGTCGATTCGCAACCGACTTAGCGTAGTAGAAAAGTGGGAACTGCGTTCCCATGGGGTTGTTCTTTCCCTGCTCATAGTATGGCCAACTATGGAGCTAAAAGAGAGGTAAGCTTTCCTATTCCTTTAGGTAGCCTGGGGTTACGCTAAATGGAATGAAAAAGCGGTCCTTGGAGGAAGGATGTCGGGGACTGGGTCCTATCGTGAGAAGTTATTGGGATTGGAATCCTGATATCGAGTGAGTAACTAGGTTGGAGCCTAGTTGAGGTACATGACTAACCATGAGCGGTTTCCCATTTTACAGATTAGAGCGTTGCTCTAGGGGGGAAATGTCGTGTAAAATGCTGACCTTGAGTATCGGACTTGTGAAGAGCTAACTCCGGAAGTCAATGGAACCTGAGAGAAGGTTGACGAGAGTCAAGGAGTGTTCGAGATCAAGCATGCAAGGAGTCATGAGCATGACGGGAGCATGCGTGGAAGGTTCCACAGTGGCGCTATGATCGCAATACTGGCGGTATTGCTAAGGTATAAATAACGCTGAGTTTATAGAGTTTTAGACAAGTGACTTTTAATCAAGACAATTGATATTTGATCTTCACTACTAGTCGTGATCCAGTGACCGTCATAATTTTATACCACAGTGGCACTTCTGTGTAAAAGATCATATCATTGTACTTGGCGGGCTTGTGACTTTGCATTTTGTGCTAATATCGCGTATTCGTGCAATCTTTGTGTGCAGACTGTTTTTAGTGTTGTCCTTACCTTAGTCATCCTCCATTACACTCAAGCGTATCTTCCTGAGGCTCGCATGTACCTGCCAAGCACGGAGATTAAGCTGAAGCCTAATACAAACAACTTACTGTCTGCAATCGATGCCCAACCCCCACCAACTATAACCGACTATTAACCCCTGTATTGAAACCTATACTTTTCGTTTTCTAATTGTGAACGACAGCTGCTTTGAAGCTGATTCACTATTAAAAAATAAGAAAAAAGATTGGTCTCCTTAGACGTAGTATTCTGTAGGGTAATAGTTCATCACCGTAATTCCGAGAATTTATAATGGCAATGTAGGATTTTTCTGAATTCATTTGCGCTGATCCTTTTCAGATTGGTTACAATCATCAGCACCGGCTTAATATACACCCCAAGTGCAGCTATGTAATGAAATCGGCAAATTACAATCAAAGCATAGAAATTCGAAATTCCTGGGAACCGTTGAGCTTTCATTGTACACCTTTTCAAAATAACAACTAAAATGCAATGTCAAAAGGCAATTTTGTTACATCAACGAATGGGCTTGAGTGACATTTTGCGAAATTTTGTTGTGGCTAGTTAGAGTAGAAAAGATACTTGATGACCAGCATCTACCCCAACCCCGAATAAAACCATCGGGGGTATATCTACAAGCTGGCCGACAAGCTGATGCCTACGCCGTAGAGCGGTAAATCAGTTTTGATAACGTGGGTGCGATTAAATCGATAACTATCGGAAAATACAGTAACAGACTGACCAGAATCTTCATTGATCGCTGTGCTGAATACATGATAAATGTTCAATACTCTCCCCAATGAATGATGAGTTCAGGAAGTCATGCAAATTACCGGAGGTTGTTAAGAGTCATACAAGAAAAATTTTTGGCAACCTATTCAAACTTTGCTCACAGGCATGAATATTCTTATGGGCCCTGCACAGTAGAAACTATGACTCCAGGGCCATTCAATCATACTCAGCACATTTGTATATGGCTAACGAACAGTTTAATGCATCAATTGGTAGCTGGCATTTTGTGGCCGAAGGGTTGATAGGTTCTTTTCGGTTAACAATGAATGTTGTAGATCTGTACTTAGGAATTGAGTGGTCCTGCAATTTATATCAAAGGTATCGTCGTTCGCACCTAGTATAGATCTAAATTCAAAAGTTCGAGACTACGGTAATTTCTTCAACTTTATCCAAAAGAGGGCAAGAAATCTGGAAAGTAAGCATTTTGGTTTGTTATCGACAAGATTAAATTTCTAAATCATTTGATCATTGAGGATTTGATGATTTTGATCTTGAGATTGTGCAAAATTTAATTCTGAGAGGGTAGCTAACATTGTCAAGGATGTGTGAATGTCAAACAATGAAAACCCTTTGAGCGTAATTGTATACCACATTTGAGAAGAACTAAGATCACTTCAAACTGAAATATCAGATAGTCTCTGATAACTTAAATAATAGTGGAACTACAGCATGATATGCAGATGCTATAAATGTGTCATTAGTCATAATCTATTAGTAGCTGCTTTCCAGCAGCATTTCGATATCGCGGTCAATTCCCAAGTTATCCCAATAATTATACAGCAAGTCCTTAAACTCCTGTATTTTAGCCTTCTCGTCTTTACGTTGACGCCTGAGGCGACGACGACGTATATCTATGAGCTCTAGGTTTGTTTCCTGAGCAATGATATTCACCAATTCATCACGGGTGAGTTGCCCATTAGCCACGAGACGAATGATTTTATCATATCGCTTAATTCGAGGAAGACGAGTACCATTTTTCTCATTGAATTTCTGGATGAATCGATTAAAAAGACGTACCATCCACATTTGCCAACGATATATGAGCAACACTCGCGGGTTAAACCACTTGATCAATTGATAGCTCTTCTCGATTTCTTCTGTGTACTCTTTATTAATGCGGTTTTGAATGTAATTGTCAAAAGCAGACGAAGCGAGGTAGTCAGGAATATCGTATTCATGGTCATCGGATTCATCGATTGATAGCAGATCAAATAAGTCTTCGAGTCTCATCCTCTTGGTGCCTCGCCGAGGGGATGCCTCCGATCTGTGGGTCGAGCTCGAGAAGCCATTGACATCGCGGCGGTATCTCTCATTATCATCATCATCGCTGTCATCTCGACCTCGTTTGGCCATTTGGCATTCCCAAGATAGTAACGTATAGTCAACTCTTTCTTATATATACGGATAGGACGGTTCAATCGCAAGGTTACGCGTAGGTTACGAGCACCGACAATAGAAAATGATCGAATGCTCTAGAAGATGGGGAACATTTATGGACTTGCATAGAATGAAAAAAAATTCACCAGTGGAGAGTGTTACCTCTCATGACTTCCCAGACAGGACTCGAACCTGCAATCTTCTGATTCGTAGTCAGACGCTTTGCCATTAAGCCACTAGGAATGGTGGCGAGCTCGGTTGAGGGTGTTACCCCTCGTGACTTCCCAGACAGGACTCGAACCTGCAATCTTCTGATTCGTAGTCAGACGCTTTGCCATTAAGCCACTAGGAATGAGCTGGCGAATTTTGATACCGGTTCCAGGAGTATTTGTCAGGATTGAGTAAATTGGGCTCTCAGCGGCTGGTTTTAGCTCTTTTTAAGGTTCTATTTTGATCATTATAAGAATCTGTAGAAGCCTCATTGTTTACACCACTGCAACAGGTGAAAGATCAAAGTTAGAGAGACTCAAATTTCGACTTACTGCAGATCTTAGTCCACATATTCTTTAAACTACTTAAACCTCTAGGAAATCACTCGATTATACATGAGCCAACAACTGATGGTTCCAGAGGACAATATGTCAAAAACTTTTACCAATCCTAGTGTCAACATCAAAAAATAAAGCTTCACTCTCGAGTCCAGTTACGAATGTATTCTGAAATGATATATGATTCTACTATGTACATATGCTGTCTATTCCTGGTCTTTCTTGTGCCCGCCAAAGATCTTACCCAAAAAGTTGCGGAGCGTCAGCGGGTGGCAGTCCTTTTCCTTAAGGTCGGCGATATCCTTTTCGATATCGTCGACGTCGAGCTTAGACTCGTGGCCCGGCGTGCGCTTAGCGTTCTTGTCGCCGTACGAATCGGCGAGAGCTTCGAGCAACGCCGTCTGTAACGGGGTTTCCGGCACAAGTGCCTTGACGTTAAGCACCACCTCCAAGTCACCCCGGTTGTTCACGTTGCGATTGATGGGGACACCCTTTTCTGGAATGGTCAACTTACGGCCGTTTTGAACCCCTGGGCGCACCTTAAGTTTGACGTTCTGGCCGTCGATGGTCGGCACCACAATCTCCCCGCCTAACGCTGCCGTCGTCATCAAAATGTCTTCCTTGATCACCAAGTTGTTGCCGTGACGAGTGAACTTGGGGTCGGGCTTCACCAGCACCCGCACGATCAAGTCACCGTGGCGGGTCTGGTTATAGGCGTCCTTAGTGACAAAGGGAGCGTCACCGGCACCGGGAACCCGAAGTCTCAGTCCATCGGCGACCCCGGGAGGGAACTCCACCGTGGTCAGCTTGGGCACTTCTTCAACCCCGCGACCGTGACAGGTGCCACATTGGTCCAGCGACGGGATCACCACCCCCAGACCACCGCAAGTGCCACACGTCAGCGCCATGTGGAAGCCGCCGATGATGTGGGTCAGCTGCCCGGAACCGTGACAAGTGGGACACGTCTTCTTCTGCTTACCTGCTTTTAAACCCAGCCCCAGACAGGTGTGGCAAGTGTCGACGGCGTTATAGTTGATGGTAGTCTTAGCCCCAAAGATAGCGTCTTTAAACGAAATCGCCTTGAGCACCTCGATGTTATCCCCCACATGTTCGGTGACAAACCCCAGGCCGCCAGCACGACGGCCACGTTGGCCGCCGCCGGTAAATGCTTCCTTAAACAAGTCTTCAAAGTCGAACCCCATCCCCGCAAACGGGTTGCCGCCGGCACCTCGGCCGAAGGGGTTGCCGCCTTGGAAGGGGTTACCGCCGCCAGTAAACGGGTTGTTGGGGTTGGCGTTGCCCAGGTTGTCAAAGGCGTTGGGGCCAAACTGGTCGTACTGGGCCCGCTTATCCTTATCGCTCAAAAGCTCATACAGTTCCTGGATCTTGTGGAACTTCTTCTCGGCGTCGGGTTCCTTATTGACGTCGGGGTGGTACTTCTTGACGAGTTGGTAGTAGGCCTTTTTCACTTCCTTTTGGTCCGCCAGCTTATCGATCCCGAGAGTTTTGTAAGGGTCGAAGTCGAGGAGACGGGAGGCCAGCGCGTGGAAGTGGCGGGCGGGGGCCCACGTTCTTGCTGCTTGATGCAATAACACTCTAGGTAGCGGCATCATCTTTCGCGGGGGGGCGAGACGAAGGCGGGTGATTTATACGGATGGGCTTCGAAGCAGTGTTGCGCGAAAAAGAAGCTGGTGGAAGCTTGGGGCGAGTGACACCAGCCAATGGAAAATAAACGAGTGGGAGGTTCCAAATGTGATTGGCGATGATTGATTAACCGGTCAAGGCTGGCCTCTGTTTGTTTTTTAAAGTTTTTCGTTTAGGGAGACTGGGGGAGGATATTGGTAGACCTCCCTTGTAGGCGGCTACTTCGGCTTTAGTGAAGCAAGTGATGCTAATGACCGAAACCGCGGAAGGGAGTGGGGTAATTACCTGTAAATGTTGATGATATACGCCATAGTATCCTCTTATTACCTGTATTTCGTAATTTAAGCCAATTTTAGGTGGGGGTCTGCCTCATAGTGAACGGTGGCTCGGTTATGGCCGGCAGTATCGATGATGCATACCATGTAAATCAGACGTCAAATGTTCAAGGCAATAATGGCTCATCAATTACGCCCCCTAAGAAATCCAACTTTTTAGCAAGATCAATCAAAAATTAGGAAGAAACCCTATAAGTGTTCGTCAAAGGTTATATTTTAAGATCGCTTGAATTCAAATAGGCACTTGCCACGATGCTCCCCGCGCTCACAACCGGGGATCTATCAAAGCCACCCGCACGCTATCGCGCGACATCGACCATCGACCGCGCACCAACCTTACCCATACACATAATACCCAAAATATGGCTCGCCACAAGGAATCTGCTAGCGAACTGGAACTGGCACGAGGCTCACTGGGCGTCACTACTGCCATCAAAGGCGGGGCTCGGGCGAAAACCCAGGCGGCGCTCGCCGCCCAGCAGCAATACTTGACCAAGCACATCAACTCCAACGGGCCCCACGACCAGCCGAAAGTGGCGCCGCTCGACTTTGACCACCTCAGCGACGACCAGCTCGCCACCTATAACGAGCGCTACCAGTTGGGATTGCCGCCGGCGGTGCTGGTCAGCGAGGACGTGCTTCTGCTGGAGATCGGGAAGAAGACCCAGTACAAGCGGCACCCGCTGAGGTGGCTGGGGGGCATCTCCAAGCCCGAGCTTGCAGCGCATTGCAAAAACCATTTCAACCAGCTCCCGGTGAAGGAGAACGAGATCATCACCAGCTTCTTGTATAAGGTGAAGCACCAGGACCAGGACTTTAAGTTGACGTTTAAGTGACTTAATGAAGTCACCGAAAAAAACACATATACACGAATTTACGAATCTACTTAATGCGTTTTGTAGCAGTAGTTGTTCCATAATTGAAACAATCCAATTTCTAAAATTTATTGTTAGCGGTCGTTTCGCACTGAAGCCGCACTGAGCCGCAACCCACGACACACCTCTCGACGACATGAAGGCGGTGGTTTCCCTGGGCAACGCCTACTTCTGCACGGTGCTCCTGGCGTTTGGCATTGTCATCTTGCTGGTGATCGGCTACCTCTTCAAGATCGGCCACGAGCTGATGATGGGGCTGATCAACGACCCCGAGGACGGGGCGGCGGTCGCCAAAACCGTGTTCACGGCGGTGTTGGTGTACTTGGCGTTCTTCGTCTTCTGTGGGTGCCAGGTGCTTGTCCACAAGCGTAACGCCCACATCCATCTTTGATTGCCAACGGATAACGCTACTTCGTCCATTGAGTGGACCGTATACTTACACTAACTAATATACAATAAAAACGGTATACGTAAATAAAACACACACGATCACGTTGGCGATGGCGGGAACATGAGTGTTTCCGCCAACACTTCAGGGGTGGTGGTGTCGGCGAAGGTATGTGGTGTCCAGGGGATGGGTTCACCAGGAGCACCGTACACGGCTAGTCATAACTTGGCGACGCTGTCGCGGCCCTCAGCCCACCAGTTGCCGCCGACCCAGTCGCAGATGTCGAAGACAAGGTCTCTTAATTCGGTCATTTCCTGCTTAGTGGCGCCGACGTTAATTGCCCCTCTTAAGTGGCCCTTAAGCTGAGGGTTAACGTCCTGAGGGATCAAGTTGGCACACACGCACATCAGCGTTTCCTTAGCCAGCAACACACCGGTGTACAGCAACAACGGAGCGTACACGTGGTGGTAGGCGTAGTACCACAAATCAGGGTAGGCGTTGTACATCTGGTTGCGGATGCGGCGGTTCACTTTTGGAGAATACACCAGGTTCCAGAAGTCCAGCCCCCGTTTCAAGTCGCGGTGGACCTGTTCGGCATTGACCAGCAGGACCAGGATCGGCCCGTCGATGGTCTCGACGCTGTAGGTCTCTTTCATCGCCGTGCCTTCAATGTCCTCGCCGACGATGTCATTCAGCGCCAAGTGGCCAGGGAGCACAATCGGTGGTCTCTCCGGTTTGGGCACGGGACGTAACGACGTCGGCGTCACCAGTTTAAGGAGCATAAGCGCGTTGATACACTTGGGGAGCCCCAGCAACGCCAGCGACTTCATCACCACCTCGCGGAACTTGGCGGCGATGAGCTGCTGCAACGCCGAGATGTCGTCGCCCAGCTTGTACTTAAACGCAAGCGGGAGCTTATCGTGCAACGTATACGGGATCAACACGTCGGGCAAGTTGACTCCCACCGCCAGCATCTCGGCGAACTTCTGCGCCAGCGAAATCAGATCTTGAGCCAATTGGATCAACTGGGGGTGGGTCTGCAACCCCTTGACGTTGGGGTTGAACTCCAAAAGCTGCTGGCGGAGGGCGAAATGGAACACTTTGGGGATTTCCGCCGGCTGGTTCGTCACCGTCAACGCCATGCACGCGAGGAGGTACCACGTCAGGTGGAGGGCGGGGTAGTTGTACGCGAGCTTCACAAGCCGTTCAGCAGTCAACACAGACATGGCAGGTCACAGAGAGTGTGGTGGGTGGTGCTGGCGTTATATGCTATTCTGGTTATCCTCGGAACGAAAAGTGTGGGGGAGCGCGCCCCCTGGCGGGCCCCCTCTTCTAGACCGAGGACCCACCCGCTAAGCGATAAATTGGGGCAGATGGATGGGGTATTTTACTGAAAAATTATAATCAGAAACATGTAGTGTAAACTATTAGGCCTGTAGTCTATGAGTAGAGCACCGGATGATGGCTAAGAGTCCTAATAGACCGCCATTATATCTACCATGTGATCGCCATAGAATATCAATTACTTCAAAGCCAGTAGAACTCAAGCCAAAAATGATGAAGAAAAAGATTGCCAATATTGATAGAGAAAGTGTTTTGAATTGGACCATAAAATTGATCCTATCGATCAATACTAGTGTAGACAATGATACAACTTGATTTGGGGCATTGTAGTTTATTGTCATATGCTCATGGGTTAGATTTAGGTCATTAATGTCGTGCTGCGGCTACTTGCGCTTGTAAAACTTCTTCATGATCGAGCTGCTCTCGCGCAACTCCTTGTTCTTGCTCTTGTTGTACTCGATGTAGGCCATGTCTTCACCTCCCGACAACCCGGCCAACGAACCGGCCAGACGGTTAGCTTTCGAGTTGGCGGTACCGGCGTTATTTTCAAGTCTCATCCGCTTCTCCTTAGAGATGAAGTTAGTGTCGATATCGTCACCCACTTCCACTTCGGCTTCTTCGTTCTTTAACAATACTTCTTTCAAAAGCTCACGACGTTCACGGGCGGTGGAGAACGCCAAGTCAGGGAGCTGTTCCATCCCCAGTAAATGGGTAATCACCTTAAACGCGTACCCTTGGTCGACGAGGAACGCTTGCCGTTTCGTCGAGTAGTACATCTCTTGAGTGTCCTTAGACACCAACGAGTAGAAGAACGCATTAAACCCTTCATCGTTTCTCCGTTTGGCCCGCAAAATCCGCCCCAACCGCTGGGCCTCTTGCCGCCGCAGCCCGTAGTGCAGCGAGATCTGGATAAGACAAGTGGCTTCAGGTAAATCAATCAGGGTATCACCGACTTTGGAAAGGAAAATGGTATTGATTTGGTCGTTATGTTGGAAGTTTTGCAAAATGGTCATTCTTTCTTGTTGCGGGGTGGAACCGTAGATAAACGGCTTGTTAAGCTTCAACGCGTACTGCTTAAGGGCGTAGACATTGTCACTGAACACGATAATCTTGTCACCCCGTTTTTCATGGTAGTGGACGAGGAACTGACACGCCTGGAACTTGGTGGGGTTCATGATGTACAAAAGCATCCGTTTACGCGGCAGTTCCCGAAGGTATTCCTGGTAGAACTCCAGCGTCATCGGACACCACACTTCGGCACACTGGACATTGGCGATGTGACCCTTTTGCGCCAAATCCATCCAGTTAGCCTCATACAATTTAGGACCAATCAAGAAGTTTAAATCGTTAATCTTATCGTCTTCACGCACCAAAGTAGCGGTTAATCCAAGCTTAGCGTGGGCGGCGATCGTTGTCACCACCCGCCGGAACATCGCTGCCGGCACCACATGCACTTCGTCCAAAATGATGAACCCCCATTCTCTCAGTTGTAAGAAGTCCATCACTTTTTGCGAGTCGTGGGACCGGTTCCGCGTGTTGGCCACCATCGAGTACGTCAGCACCACCAACCCCAGCTCCAGAGTAAACATTTCCTTATTGTCCAGGGTGAATACGGCGACATTCTCCGGTTGGATAGTACACCACTGGAGAAACTGTTGTCGCCACTGCATCACTGATACCGACAGTGTACACAACACAATCACCGATTTACGAATGGTGCACGCGGCAGTGATCCCCACCAACGTCTTACCGGCACCACAGGGCAACACGATGATCCCCAGCCGGGCACGACCATTACCGAACATTTTCGATAACAGCTTCTCCTGGTAAGGTCTGATTTGTGTCAGCGGCTTCAAGTCGATTTCCAAATCGGTATTACGCTGATCGTTACGGAAATCGTACTCTTCCAACACCGGGTACTCGATCTCTTGACACCGCCTTTTCACGATTTCCACCGAGTCGTTGAGGATCTCAAACAGGTGGACGGTATCGAGATCGTCATTATCCGCAAACACGTCAGTTTCCACCTCGGGAGCGGGAGCCTCGCCATCGTCGGTGGCGGGTTTCGCCGCTTGTTCGGTAGTGGCTACCCGCAACGGGCCAATGACCGGGTCTTTAAGCAACATCTGGAGGATATCCGCTTGCGTACTCTCGACGTAGTAGCGGTTATTTTTAAGCACCAACTTCACTTTACCGTAGGACACAGTGGCTTGACGGATAAACTGGACAATCAGTTCCGCTACGGGAACTTTCAGCAACCGGTTAAGCACCAGAATGATATCTTCAGTTTCTAGCCCCACCGAGACGGCGGCGTACAACGAGTATACTGAGATCTTAAACTCGTGGATGTGCAGGGGACGACTGATGGGCTCGGCGATGGTGATGAGGAAATCCTGGGCCTGTTCGGCAAGCGGGGAGAACAGCTCCAAAATGATACGTCCGTCGTTGGGACTGATCCATAACGGTCTCAGAAAGTGGTCGGGCTTGAGCCTGAGGTAGGAGAAGTCCGTTTTGCCAAAGATATTGGACACGGCGTCGGGGACATAATCCTTGGGCACCTCGTTGGTGAGCTCAATGAGATCATCATCGGAGTACTGGGTATCGTCAAGCTCGTTCTTGAGCACGTCCACCAGCTTTTGGGCTCGCCGACGGTCCATGATAGCAAGGGCCTTAGATGAGGTTGGGTGCTATCTACAAGGCAAAGGGAGAGTGCGATTAATAAGCCGCACCATCTGGTAAATTGAGTGCAGGAAAAACGTCATCCATGTGTGACTTATAAAATCAGATAAATTGAATTACTAATCATTCTTTTATAGTGGTTAGCATTCACAGAATTGGAGCTTTCAGTACTTATTCTCTTCAATGCTACTTGTAGAGGTGGATCATTGTTTAACTATAAAGATGATGCGAATGTCAATTATAAGACGTGTACCTTGACAAAAACCCGCAGAAAAGTCGTTCGTGAACCGAAACCATTGAACGCAGATTGAAATTATAGATCAACAAAACCTGATTGCTAAACTGTGTAGCGTTAGCTTGCGGCTCAACTTCTCTCCCACGATTAGCCACCTAAAGCAAAAATTAAGACATATTGAGTATCAAATCTATAATCGCAACACGGGAAGACTACCACTTAGACGAGAAACTACTAATGTTGAAGTTGATGATGTCGTATGTCTCATTTTTGTTATACATGACCAGGGTATACCATGCTTAGGCAATGCAGAATTTTTTTGATCAAGTGTCGAACTTAAGCAACCCGTTGGCCAAGTTCTCGTTGGCGTAGTCGATCAAGTTGCGCAGCCGCAGCTGGATGATGCTCAGCAAGTTGATGATCTGCGACTTGTACTTGAGGATCATCTCCAAGCGCGTAGTGTTTTTCTTTTCCACCACTTTATTCTTCTTGTCGACGATCTCCTCAAAGATCTTCAGAAGCTCTTCCACCAGGGTGGTCAAGTAGTTTTGGTTATCCTCGAAAATGTGGCCGAAGTTGGTCTCGCCCAAGTAAAATGCGAACACGTAGGTCCACTTAAGCGTCTTCCGCCCTTTGGTAAGCAGGATGATGGCGTCGGTGAGGAACTGGATATCGTTCCAGCTGAGGTGGCCGTTGGGAGTTTGTTCGGCCATGTCCTCCATGCAAAGCCGAGCAATCTTCTCCACTTGGGCGACGGTCTTGCGGTCGCCTAACATCAGCAGCTCGTGGATCTGGAACCGCTTGTAGTAATGCAAATAGCGGTTCAACAGCTCGCGCTTGCGCTTGCGGTTTTCGTCCTGCTGGGGCTCGTCCTCGCGGAACTTATTGCAGTTGTAGTTGTTTTTGTGGGTCAGCCAGTCGCCGTGACAGATCCAGCAGAACTCCTTGCGGCAGGTCAGACACACCATGTGGTTGCAGCCGCCATTCTTTTCGATGGGCCCGTCGCAGCCAGGACAGTTGTGGGTGTTGGCTTCGATCCAGTTGGCGGTCTCCAGGTCATCGGCACACTTTTTGATCCACTTTTGGGTGATCCAACAGGGACAGGGTAAATGGTTTTCGTAGTGGCAGCGGAAGCAGAACTCGTGGCCGTCAACACATTTCACTACCGGTACTGTAGTTACCGCGGGGTCGCTTTTATCCGGCAGCACTTCGCCTTCGACAATTTCAACAAAATTGTTACAGTCCACCAGCGGACAAGCGACAAACCGCTTAGTATTTTTTGCCACTGCTACTTTAGCATGAGCAAGCAACAACCGGTTTTCGTTTAACGGGGTATCGACAAGTTTTACCCCGCCGTTACGTGATTCGTCATGGACACTAAGGATCTTCTCCCCCACCCGGTGAGGGATAGTTAAAGTACAATCGGAGTCCATACACCGTACGAGGGAACCGTGGTGAAGCTCATTGGCAAGGTAGGTGGCGTAGCACAGAATGCAGTACTCGTGGCCACACTTCATGGAGAACGTAAACGTTCTGGGGTAGTCTTCACAGCAAATCCAACAGGTATAGTCGTTTTGAGCCTGTAGCTGGTAGTAGTCGTCACTATAGGGAAGAGGAAGCCCACACTGGTCGTAAAGTCTCGGTTTATCGTCGAGACACGAGATCACCACTTCGTCGGGTTGCCACCGTTTAGCCTCTAGAAGCACCAATGACTCGGTCTCCAGCAAGTTGAGGTGGCCGACGCTGAGCTGGCCAAGCTTGGAAAGCATCATCTTGTCGACATACTCGCGGGCCAGCCACGGTTTGTAGTAGATGGCGTCGTAGGCCAGTTTTGCCACCAGCTCGTCGGCGAAGTGGCGGGTGGTCGAGGCGACGTCGTCGACGTCGACAATGTCGTCGTCGTCCTCAAAGGAGAAGTCGTCAAACTCTAGCTCCGACTCGTCGCTCATGGGATGTGGGGAAGCGCCCGAGTCGAGGTTCCGGGTTCTGATGGGGTAACGGTAAGCGCGAGCGCGAGCGTGATAAGATAAGCCCGCCACCAACCTCGCCGTAGCACAAAAGCTAACCGACGAACGGCTGAATACAAGATAAGTGGCAATTGAGATGATTATTTAATAAATTGTTCTTGACTTGATTCGTTTGCGTGTCAATGACTCGAGTCGAGGAGAGTCACCTCGGAATTCTGTCCTGCCTTCAACCCATGATGGACAGGAGTGGAGAGCTAAGATATCCAAAGCAAATTGTATACCATGGAAGCTTGTAGATATTTATAATGCTCGGCTTCAAATCGTAGTATGAGGGACGCCTGTAGCTTATAACGTGCAAAAGAAGTCAATGACTAAAACTGAAAGGTTACCACAGTTGTAGACCTAAAGTTTACAGATTATGTATAATGTCTATAAATGCATATGAATAGGGTTTAGAGTCCGCGGTGACGACGGGGGACCACTACCGTTTCCGCAACCGGTGTCAGCAGCGTCTCTTCATTAGTAACTTCAAACTCGTTGGCAACACTCTCGGTGGTAATTTCAAATCTCCGTTTGTGCAGATCGCTCACATCATAGTAGACGCCACCGTAATCGACAAGCCACAACGGGTCCACCACGGTGACACAGGAAATGTACTCCTTCAGCGTCATCATGAGCAGGTGGTATATCACGTAGGGACACAGCAAGTTGGCCCCCACTAGAACTGACGTCGGGTGCAAAAACAACTTCATATACCGGTGGCGAAGCAGCAGAAACTCCGGCAGCCCGCTATTGGGGTTTACTCGTTCCACCACTGCTGCCAGGGCAAAGAAACCGGCACAGAGGCATTTGCGGACGGTATCCTCCAGTGCCAGCACTAAAGGAAGCTTTAGCTGCTCGAGTACCCCAACTAGCTGTTGGCGGATGTCACGAGCCTTCATCATCAGTTTATCGTTGATGAAATTGGTGGCTGACCATTTGGCTGAGCGTGATTGACGTGTCCACTGATTATAGACGTTAAGCAACGTCAAGTGGTCCGATTCAGGGATGATGAACTTATCCCGGGCCAGATCGGCTTCCTTAGCCCGTTCCTTAGGGCGGAGAAAGATTTGCGAGGGGCCAAGGGCAAGCATGGCCACAATCAGCACCATCTGGGCACTACAGCCAAATTGGGGTAAACTGGATAATATGAGGGCTCGCGACAACGTAGGGTCCAAGGGGAACTTAGTCATGATGGTGCCGAGTTCAGTGAGGCGTCCTTGACTGCTTAAAGCTCCCAAAGCCCATAGATCGTAAAGAGAGCCGTAGAGTAAATCTGGTGGTGGTGGGTCTAAAAAGGGGAATTTAGCAATATCTTCCACCCCCAACAGTTTAAGCAAAAGCATCACGTTCGACAAATTAGTTCTCTGGATTTCCGGGATGGGTTGGCGAAACATCATTTCTTCCAGCGCTGCCCGTTCCGTATAAAGGCGGTACCCTACCCCGGGACCAGTTCTCCCGGCACGACCACTACGCTGGTTAGCGTTAGCCAAGGACACCGGTACCACTCGTAACACGTCCATCCCCAATTTGGCACTGTACACGTTCATTTTCACTAAACCCAGGTCGATGACGTAGCGGATGCCGTCGATGGTAAGCGAGGTTTCGGCGATATTGGTCGCCACCACCACTTTCCGGTGAGGCGACGGAGTAAAGATCCGTTTCTGTTGTTCCGGTGGGAGCAGCGCGTAGATGGGGAGGATATCTAGCGGTGGGGGGTCATCGATTTTCGCTAGGCGCTCGTGGAGGACATCGCACACTGCCTCAATATCTTCTTGCCCCGTCATAAATACTAAGATATCGCCGTCGTTATCGCGGGTAGAGAGGTGGATGGTGAGCACTTGTTTCACTGCTTGTTCAACGTAGTCAGTGGCCAGCAGTTTGGCGTAGAGAGTCTCCACTGGGAAAGTTCGACCGGGGATGAAGAACTGAGGCGCCTGGCCAAAATAGTCACTGAAACGGGTGGCATTCATCGTTGCTGATGTCACCACAAGCTTTAAATCAAGGCGTTGAGTGAGGAGCCGTTTAAAAAGGCCGAGGAGGACATCGGTATTCAAAGACCGCTCGTGGGCTTCGTCCATGATGATGACATCGTATTCCAGAAGTAAGGGATCCCCCAAAAACTCCCGTACAAGGATACCATCAGTCATAAACTTAAGCTTGGTTTGTGGGGTGGTACGGTCGTCAAACCGCACCAGGTAACCCACGGTACTCCCCAAATCACAGCCACCTTCATCGGCTACTCTTTTCGCCACCAGCATCGCCGCTACCCGTCTGGGTTGGGTACAGGCGATTTTCCCACTGATGCCGTGTTCGTATAAGTATTGTGCCAATTGAGTGGTTTTACCCGAACCGGTCTCCCCGATGACCACCGTCACCTGGTTTTCCAAGATCGTTTGTACCAATTGAGACTTTACCTGGTACACGGGAAGGCGACGACGAGTAGCAGCAATATCCTCTTTGGGTAATTCAGCTTTGACTTCAGTTTTAGTCGGTTCAGCTTTAGTTTCATTGTCCTCTGATTGGCCGACGAGTTGTTCCATTTTCTTCTTTCGTTCGATAAGCTGGCGGCGATCGTCAACAAGACGACTCCCCTCTCTAGCCTCGACGGCAAGCTCAGACTTATCGTTTTTCACGGGATCTACCATTGGTCCCATCTTCTCTAAATGGACGGAAAGGTAGTGGCTATTTTGTTGGAGAAACGGCGGCGTATGGAAATGACTGACCACTTGGAGCCTCAGGGTATCCTGGTTATTAGGCCCCAGAACGATGGAATGAGGGATAAACCCAGGCGATGATGACAGTGGTTTGGCTGTATTTGATGCTGAGGATGGAGTAGTAGTAGTGGTGGTGGTGGCAATATGGCCTTTGATGGCATCATGACCTTCATCTCCCGCCAATGTTTCACTGCGGCGTTTAGCCTCCAGTTTATCGATTTTCTTGAACCCTTTAAACTTTTTCGGTTTCGGTTTTGGTAGAATATCGATGTCATCGTCATTATCGATGGTTACCACGGCTCGTTTTGCCGCTGGCTTCGCCTTAGCACCACTGGCAGATATGGTGTCGTACACTTCCTGGGCGTCAGAGATGCCGATAATGGAGCATTTGGTGGCAAACTCAGCGAGCGAGCCACTGGCATGGTAGAACCCGACAATGGTTTCCACTAACCGAGGGTTGGCGGGACGTTGGAGCTGGCGTCCCACCGCAGCGGCGATCGCATCCATGGCTACTCGTGCGGCTTAACTGAAAGAGAAGATCTAGACAAAAAATATATTGCAACGTGACATTAAACACTACACACTACTGGCTGGGGGCAGCGGCAAGAGCGGCGACGACGTCGGCGAGCTCCTCCAACACCGCTGCCGCCTGCTGGGCTTCTTCTTCCAGCACCGGCTGGTCGGTACTGAAGTCGTCGGGGGTCACTCCGGTAAACAACGGGATACGAGCACCAGCGTCGCTGGCGGTGGCAAAGTACTCGTCCTGGAGCTGGGCGAGCGCGGCCTCGTCGGCGGCGTCCCAGGCCACGGGGGAGGCCAACGCTAAGGGGATAAGCAACAACCACTTCATCATCATTATCACTACAACATTTTTCCCAGTTAAATTTGACGTGCTATATAAACCATGGGGTGGGTTTGTGGTGGTCGCCTCAATTTGGCACTGGCCATTACCGAATCGGGGTTGACAGGTGCACTGCGTTCCGCGCCTCCCATATACCAAAATTGTGGCTACACTACCGCACTTCGCACGCTTCGCATGCTGGCGTCATCGGGTTGCTAGGAGAGATCATCATAAGCCCTGTTAGCAGAACTCCCCCACCCCCCCTTAAGACCTGCATGCAGTCCGCTCCTCGCTAGTCACTCTCACCCCTTTTTCTCGGCCCGGCCAATCCTACCACAACCCTCAAATCACTCGAAAACTATGACAGAAAATTGTTTAAATAGATTAGAGTTGTTCCGTCGCTGGCTGTCTTCCGATGTCCTCTGATGGCTGGCTTTTGTTCCCCGCCGTTGCCAGTCGGTGTAACCTCCAGCTCGTACCTTATCAAGCTTTGCTCGCTCGGCACAAAAGAAAAGTCCCCCCCCCCTCGCCGTGATCGCTCTCGGCTTATATAATGGGGAAAGCCACCGAAGCGGCAGGCGACCCGGAGTATATCCAGCTACGAGAGCTCACCAGCGACATGCGCGGGCTTTCCTCTTCAGACGATACCGTTGACGATACCGTTGACGACCCCCCCGGCAGCCTCGGCGGCGCTGACATCGAGGCCCACTCACGCCCCGTATCGAGATGGCAGCGGTTTGTCGACGGACCGGAGTACCCGTCGAACGACCCTGCCCCTTGTCCCACCTGGCTTCTATGGGCGGATCAGCCGAGACGGTGGTTTGATGCCAGAACCAAAAGATGGCAGAAAGTCGCTCTCTTTGTGCTGTACATGTTCCTCTGGATCGGAGCGCTTTACGGGCTAGTGATGCCGTATTTGGTGACCCCCCCCATCGTCGATGGCGACCAGCTACCGGTGATCGTCACCGGATGTCAGGAATCTGGTCTCTGGGCCGGGAAAAACCAGTTGTGTGGGTTAAACTCTACCCGGTGTCCCGGTGTCTCCGATCTCAATGAAGACTTTATCATCCGGTGTCCGGCGTTGTGTAATCTCCACAAACAGTTTTCGCTTATGCCCATTGGCGACCAACGAATCAAATACCGTCCCTATATCGTTGGCGGCGGTTCCGATATCACCGTCAATCTCGAGGACGACGACCTCCAATTAACCAACCCCTACCGCGCCGACCTGAACCCGTGTGTGGCGGCGGCTCACGCTGGCCTTACCCTGCTGCTTCGTGGGGGCGTGGTTAAAGTACTGTACCGTCTGGGCCCCCAAATGGCGTTTGCTAGTGCTGCTGGTAAAGAAGGTACTGGTGATTCGATCGCGTTTGACCTGTACTTCCCCTACTCGTTTTACTTTAAACTGTTGGACCAAACGAAAGTGTCGCCGGCGAAAGACCCCCGTTTCACCGTGGTCGCGTTAAATATCATCTTTGGTATTCCCGTGACTTATTTGGCGCTGGCGGCAGCGACGTTCTGGACGGTGACCACGGTGGCGTTCTGGGATATCGTATTCTCCGAAGACCCCATCGCCCCGATTAACCCCGACGTCCCCGAGAACTTCTCGTTTATGGTATCCAAAGGCTGTGAACGGTTCTTGCCCACGTGCTTCATCCTCTTTGTGTTGTACAAGTATTCGGTGGGGATCACTCTCGGCAAACCTGCGGGGGGACCCGACCCTCTGCCCATTCTTCGTGTACTATTATGGTACCCGTTATTCTGGATTGGTGCTTTGAATAACATCACGTTTGACCGGTTACCCCTCGACCGGTTCTCGTGGGAGGCATTCAGAGCCCAACCCGGGGGTGTGCTTAGTGCCAGTATCCTCATTGGCGTCATCTTGGTCGGGGCAGTGTTTCAAGCGTACCTGATCTGGCACACGGGTAAGTTCTGGCAGTATTTGCGGTTGTACTTGGTGATGCTTGCGGGGCTTGTGGTCATCATCCTCATCCCTGGCCTCAAATTCCATTTGCACCACTATATCCTTGCCATGATCCTTTTACCTGGGTGTGGCACTCGTAACGTCACGGGGCTTATGTTCTCAGGTTTGCTTCTCGGGCTTTTCATTCTGGGGGCGCTGAGATGGGGGCTCGACCTGATCTTGGAGACAGCCGTCCAGTGGGCCCGTCTGGACCCCATCGGCCAGATTATCCCCCCCATGATCTCCAACTTCAACGCGCTGACGGGCGAGCTTTCGTGGGTGGGGGAGGCGATGGCATTCACCGAACAGCTCAGCGGCCTCCACAACTTCACGCTGGTGTCGCTCCTCATTAACGACGTCGAGATGTACCAAGGCAACGGCACTCTGGTCAACTTGACGCGGCTCTTGCCCCAGGCGATCCGCATGGCCACCGACATCCCCGTGTACTTGCGGATGGCGCGGTTGAACCCCGTCGCCAACGAGTACCTGGACTACAGCAACGCCGCCGTGTTGCAGTGGCCCAGCGGCAACTTGACCCTCCCCGCCCCGGGGCTCACATAGACGCCACTCCTCAGTGGTACAGCAGATGATAGATTGTTGACCATAGCCTCATCATGGCTTAGCGTGAGGCTTAAAAACACAGGTTTTTTTATTATATTTTATTTTGGGTGGTCTTTTTTTTATACTAGGGTATATAAACATGACATTAGACGTATCACGACGCATAGACATGTCTGTCGATGACTTCTTCCCACGTAATGTTCGAATAACATAAGTGCATGTAGCCGCCATCATTGCGGGGAGGTCTCATGATTGTGGAGCAGAGAACTCTCACAAAATCAGCATTCACCCGCATGTCACTCAATTCCACCCCGTTCAAAATAATCGACTTTAGGTGGCGCTCCAATACGAGCAGCTCCCGTTTATCCAGAAGGTGCAAAATGGCGAGCCGCGGGAGGTCGGTGGTGTCGAAGGGGAACGGGTTATACCCACAGTATTCTAAATCGACCAAGCTGGGAGCTGATATCGCCAGCACCCGGAAGACATCAACGAAATCGAGCCGGGTGAGCCGGGGACAGTTTACCCGTACGCTGGGGACCTGTTGCACTTTGAGCTCGCGAAGATTGGGCGAGGCCACGGTGACGTCGTCATCACCCTCGGAGCCTCCGTACCAGTCTCCCTTGCCGAGAAATGAGAATTTCTTGAGCTGTGGGGGAATGTTTCTCACCGGTTGATACGAGGCGATGTGCAATTCGACCAACGACGGCGGCACCGCGAAGTCCCCGGTGATCTCGTCGTGGGAGAGCGTGCTCCACACTTTTAAACTGACGAAGGGCGTGATGTCTCTGACGACGTATTGAGGGGCCATGAACGAGGTTAATCGGGCCATTTGCGCCTCGGTGAATAGCGACGTGATCTCGTACTCCTCCCTTTCCGAATAATTTGCTCTAAGAGACACTTTTTCGAGTTTAGGACAATGGATGTTTTTAAAGGAGAAGGCGCCGTCAGCGACACTAGCAAACTCGACCATATCGTCGAGGCTTTCAGATATAGGCTTGGCGTCTCCAGAATACGTTTGCAACTGCGACCAGGGGACATTTAGCGGCTTGGAGGCCCTGAGGTGGATCAAGTTGGGGAATTTCGACACATCGATCTCGGTGTAACTGTCAAATACAAGCTTTTTGATATTGAGCGGGATGTGTCTCACTCCACTAATGTTGCCACTAGCTTCAAACGATTCAAGCTTGTCCCCCGTGATAAAGAAATCGGCACAGTCCTTAAACACTGCTCGCGTTGCCGACCCACAGTGGTATTCAAAATCCTTCAACCACTCAAACTCAAACGTGTCGATATGAGACGCCCAGTCGTGCACCTGGATCGGCTGTCCTCCCTCTTTAAACACCACGTGGACCAGAGGATACTTCCGCTGCTTAAACCACTCGGGGATGGGCCCACAATCTTTCGTGGGTAAAATCACTTTAAGCCGACACGGAGGGAGCTGTTTAAGAAAGTCAAAGTCGATGATCAGCCGTATTTCAAAGGGATCTGGGGCGGGAGTCACCACCACTCTTACATCGTTAAGATAAGCAAGCACCACTTGGCCTCGAGGCGCCAACGCCAAGTAGGCACGACACACGTCAGGAGTATCGGCAAACGAGCACACGAGCCGCTGGATCTCATCGGGGAGATCAAGAAAACCCGCCATATTTCCAAATTGGTTCAGGGGGTACGAACAAATACAGTAATTTAGCCTGGTGACGCGTACTACCGTACACAAAACTGTATGTCTCAAACCTATCAAAAATGGAGTACAATTGGTGAAATTAAGACCATATCGACCAATTGTGATTGGTTGAAGGTGGTTTCGACTTTAAAATGAACGTTAAAACTTGAAAAATTTGTATCGAACTACCACCATGTCGAAAAGTACTTTTGTAATTTATTGCCCAGAAAACACACACACACTGTTTGATAATGACGTCGTCACTCTCAATTTTGGGTAGGGTAACCACCTCGATACCACCAACCTTGAGTTTTAAACATTCATCGGAAGTAAATCGAGAAATATTTCAAGCATTGAGCTAGCGTGAACTTGGTCCGACGAGACAGACGTTTACAACCTTCTTTCCACCTATAGTGGCTCGAAGAGTAGGCAAACGAGTACACTAGAGATCAATCAACACGTCATTTTTAAGATATAGATGGCATTTTTTCGATGTACTAGTCTAATCAAATTGCTTAGACAAGGTGTCGCCCTGCCACCAGCGGAAACCGAGCCCGTACCCCCAGTCCTCGTTGTGGTGTCTCACCGGGTTCGCTTCGCCGGCCTTGTATAACGATGCCAATTCCTCCTTAGTGAGTTTAGGGATCTGAGTGTTATCCCTAATTCTATCGAGATTCGACAGCCGAGGAAGCGTCACTCTCCCCTGTAAAATATGGTAGGCATTGGCCACCTGGTTTTCCGTACACTGGTACTTGGCGGCAAGCTGTTTAATCTCTTTAAGCTCAAGTACCGGAGCTCCCTCGGCCCCGACAGGAGAGTAGGCCTCAATGAGAATGCCGTGTTCCTGACAGAAATCGACAAGGTCCTGTTGGGGCAATTGAGGGTGGTACTCGATCTGGTTGACCACGGGGACCACCTTCGCTTCTTTTAAAAGTTGTCTGAGCTTAGGGATCGAGTAATTGGATACCCCAATCTGCTTCACTTTATCGGTTTCTTTATAGATCCGTTCAAGTTCATGGTACACTCCAATGTACTTTGTACCGTTAACCGGATCGTCAAGTAATTTAGGGGTGCCGTCGTCGTTTCTCGGCATCGATGGCTGGCCGTTTTCGTCACCATCGACCAAAATCGGCCAGTGGTGGAGGAATAAGTCGACATAGTCCAATTGCAAGTCCTTAAGCGACGTGTCCAACAGTTTCTCCGGCGAGTGCCAGTACAGCGGCCACACCTTGGTGGTGATAAACAAGTCCTCACGCTTATACCCTTCGTTAAACAACTCCTGTAAGGCTTGGCCAATATACTTTTCCGTGCCGTAATACCAGGCGGTATCGATATGGCGGTAGCCGGCTCTTACCGCGGCAAGCACTTGGTCCTTAACGGTGGAAGGGTCGTCAGGGGGGACGGTGCCGAGTCCGAGGGCCGGGATCTCGTTGCCGGTGTTGAGTTTAAACGAGACTTTAGTCGCCAGTTCCAACGTCATTTGGTTTGTGATTTGCTTTGATTGATAATGATAGAAGTAGTACCGTAATTGTGGCAATTTATATAGGGCGTATTGGGGTCATTTTCGAGAGCAAAATTGCTAGTCTACAGCTAGATCTTGCAGACAGGGGGTAGCAATGCTATGCCAGATTACCTTTGGCGGCAAGCTTAGCTAAGCAAATCGTTACGCCATCGCACATCATTGCCCCACCACCACGGCGACGTCTATCAAAACGGGTGATTCCTATGTTGTCTATGCTTATCTAAATAACCCGAGATTCGGCGTCGATCAAGTCGACGAGGAACTCCACCTCCAAGCGTTGGCGCCCCGACTGGAGCCAGTCGTCGGCCAACTTGCGCGGCCACCCCTTCAAGTGGGCCACTTCTTCGACGGCGTCGTCCAAGCGGTTGTGCGTCAACGCGTCCTCGACGCGCCCAATTACCAGCTCGATGTCGTTGCCGTTGGGGTTAGTACCCTTGACGGGGAGCAACAACTTCGAGAACACCTGCGACGCCAAGTGGCCCAACAAGCCGGCGTTGGGAGGCAACAACGACGCCAGTCTCAACTCAGGCGCCAACTGGTCGAAGCGGGCCAACAACTGGGCGTTGTTCAACAACGAGTGGGTCGACTCGGTGGCGATCAACGGGCCCAAGTTGCGCAACGCTTCTTCCAATAAGGGGTCGTTGGCCTCGTTGGAAAGGGCAATGAGTTCGTTGACCACGGGGCGCAACAACTTAGGGGGTAAAGTTTCGGGGTAGTCAAACAACAACGTCTTAAGCTCGACGACGGTGCGGTGGAGCTGTTGTCGCTTTTGGTTAGCCACCACTTGCTTCTCCAAACCCTCGGCGAACTTTTCGAGGTCGCCAAGACGCAGATTAAGCTTTTCGAGGTTGGCGAGACGGCCGTCGCGCTCAGAGTCGATCTTTTCAGTGACCAATTGTTCGAACTCCTTAGTCTGGTTGATGCGGACCATGGTGACGGCGTTGACGGCGGCCTGCTCGATGGTTTGCTTAGTGGCTTCCACTTCACGCTGCAATTGTTGGTTCAACTTCTTTTCAAGTTGACCCTTTTCAAGGTTGTACTGCAGCAATAACGTCTCGGTGAGGTCGAGTTCCTTCTTGGTGGCTTGCAGCAATAACTCAGTTTGCAAGAGCTTGAGCTTATCCTGGACCGAGTGGTCAAAGTCGCCGGTCAACAGCAGCAATTTCGTCAGGAGCTGTTTCACTTGGTCGCCGATCACCTTAACCAATTTGGGGTCGACGGTAGTGGCGTCGATCAGGCCGATAAGCTGGTTAAGGGCCGCCACCATCAGCCGCACCTGAGGGTCCAGCACCAGCAGCTGGTCCACCAACGGTAACCGTTTGACGTCGCGAGTAACCGCTTCCACTTCGACGTTCTGCAATTGTTCGGCAGGAGTACGGTGGTGGGTGGCCAGGTCGATCTTTTGCTTAGCTTTGTGAGCAATTTCTCCCAGCTTATGGGCCAATTCCAGCGACTTTTGTTGGAGCTTATCGCGGATATCGGCGACATCCAGCGACAGCGGCAACTTGAAGTTGGCCAAGCTGTCCTTAAGCTCTTCGGCGTACTGTTTGAGGTCGTCGGCACTCGTAGTCTCGATGAAATCGATCAATTGGTCGTGGTAGGGCAAGTCGTTGTCGATGACAAAGTCCATCACCTTATCGTTTTTGGTGGCGGCGTAGAGGGTGAGGCCGTAGGCACCCCCGGCCAACAATGCCGTCTTAAACAAGAACCCCCAGAGGGAGAACTTCTTAGGTTTGGCCTCGGTTCTGGGGGGAGGCGGCGGCGATACCTTTTTCGGTAACGGGGCGGGGGCGTCGCCCTTGTAGACGGGGGGAGGCGGCGGCGGCGTCACCCGCTTCCCTTCACCGACACTGACGCTGGCGGCTCTTTTGGCCATGACGAGGGCCGCAGGACTGCGGCGGCTGGCACTGGCAATCCGCAACATGGTTGTGAACGACCGCTGGTTGGTTGTGATGAAAAAAGCGCGCGGTCCAATGAAAATTTGGTACACTGCAAACACAGTGGTTTGGCAGGGGACGATGAAAGACACCTATGAAAACGGGATAATTTAGCAATTGGAGGTGGCGAGGAGAGTGTTTTAAGGTTGAGTTAAATTTTATGTGGTGGTTCGCGTGATTTTTATTTGTAGTTTGATGAAGCGAGTGTTGAGCATAACAGGTGATTTGTGTGATCTATCTTCGCCAATTGACTGTTTGTTACGATTGATCTTAGTAGTTTGGGTGAAATATTCGCTTTGCCTCTCATGGTTACTTTGGAAACGATTGTAATGAGTAGCTTTTCGGCTGTATACTCGCAAGACACGTTACCAAGTATATCGATAAACATCAACGAAGTGAATTAACTTAATTTGAACGCTTTGTCAACATTTTTCTCTAATCGTACCTTTACCAGAAAACTCATAGTTATAGGTATTGGTTCTTGCAACAACACTTCTACTGGAACTACTTGATAGTAAATGGTTCTAATAACAACAGTTCTACTCTTGCAGATTAAGTTCAGGTCAACAAATGATTTTTGCAACGACTATACCACTAGACCAAAACGATTCAAATCTGTTCTAGCAACAATGACTTCACTAAGTCATCTTTGGTTCTAGCAATACAGCGTGGGTTTGGCTCTAACCATCAACGGTCCCACTTCTCTAAAATTTACCTCTAACAAAAGTCTAGTCTGTAAATACCATTACAATCACTCCTTCTTGTTATCACAATCGTGGTCTCTGCTGCCGCGCCACTTTATCGTGGCGCTTATCGTGGCGCGCCAACTTCCTAAGTCTACCACCATGATCTCGCCCCAGCAATTGGTGCCGCCGAACCCGCTGACCACCCGAGCTCAGCTGGTGCATCTTTCCTACGATAGGCACCACCAGCGGCTTGCCTATGCCGCCAACAATTCCGTGATCATCCGCCCCGTCGACCCCACCGACGCCACTACCGTCCCCACCCAATTCACCGGCCATGGCGCCAACGCCACCACCGTGGCCGAATTTGCTCCCCTGGGTAACTATATCGCCTCGGGGGATGTCACCGGGATGGTGAAGATCTGGGATTGTGCCGTTTTGAGCGGTCCCGCCGCCGCTGACCGGGACCCGTTTGCTCAGCCTACGGTGAAGCTGGAGTTCCCGATTATCGCTGGCCCCATCCGCTCCATCGCCTGGGACGCCGACCTGGCGCGTGTGATTGCTGTTGGTGAAGGTAAGGATAAGTTTGGCCGCTGTTTTACTTGGGATTCCGGTAACTCGGTCGGGGAGATTATGGGCCACTCCGGTGCCGTCCAGGCTGTGTCTATTAGACCTCAACGTCCTTATCGTGCAGTAGCTGGCGGTGACGATAAAGCGGTGGTGTTCTACCAAGGGCCACCTTTCAAATTTGATAAGACGTTAAGGGGTAACCATCTGAATACCGTGAGAGACGTCAAGTTCTCGCCTCAAGGTACCTATTTTGTTTCCGTGGGTCTGGACCGAGCCATTGTCGTGTACGATGGCAAGACTGGTGATGTGTTATCGACTAAAGCACAAGCCCACCAGGGGGGGATCTACGCGGTGCTGTGGCTCTCGGACGATGAGTTTATCACTGCCAGTGCTGATGGCACTCTCAGACAATGGAAGGCCTCGGCCCTTGATTCCGAACCGTTTACCTACGTGGTATCGCTGAAGCCTACTGTTGACGAACAGCAACTTGGTGTTGTTGTCGCCGGAGACTGGATCGTGTCGGTGGGTTTCAACGGGGTGCTTCTGTACTTCACTGTGGGTGATGCTGAAGTGAAACACTCGGTTAAAGGCCACCAAAAGCCCCTCACCACAGTGGCAGTGCCCACTGCTGAAGCCGTGGTCAGTGGTCTGAATGATGGTACCGTATTCCAATGGCAACGCAAGCAGGGAGTGATCCAGCCGTTCCCTCAACCAGGCCCTCGTCATGCCAATTATGTCGTCGATTTAATTGCCACTAAGGAAGGGGTGCAGCTGGTGGGTTGGGATGATAAGTTGATCAATGGTGACCACCAAGCTACCCTTCCCGAACAACCGAAGCAAGCGGTGTACGATGCTGCTCACGACTTGGTCTACGTGGTGGGGGAGCTGCTGATTACTACCTACCTGGGATCGTCGTCTGAACATAAGGATAAGATTGCTTTGAACTATACGGCGCTGGGGTTGGCGTTGGTGCCTAACTCGCAAACCATACTTGTGCTTGACGCCACCAACAACCAAGTGGTAGTCTACGAAGGGTCACAGGAGAAGCAGAGGTGGGAAAAGCTCCGGGCTGCTCCCGTGGTGGTGCGTGTCTCTCCTGATGGCCAGTACGCAGCCGTGGCCGATTCTTTCGGCAAGTATGTGGTTTACAACGTTAAGGATGGCCTGGTAGTGACGCTGAGATGGGCGTTCCACACTGCGCGTGTCTACGACGCCCAGTGGCTGCCGGACCTGAAGTACGTGGTATCTGTCGGTTTGGATTGTCAAGTGATTGTGTTTTCCATTGGTCGTCCGGCAAAGCTGGCCAAGTACCCGTTAGCTCACCAGACGGGTGTACTGGGAGTGGCGTGGACCGATTACGACCAAGGACGCTTCGTCACGGTGGGGATGGACGGCGTGATTAAACAATGGCAAGTCGACTTGAAGCAATTTGACTAAATAGACTATAGAATAAAAGGAAACTGATGAGAAAGAAAGCAGGCTTCTGCCTAATTAACTTTAGGGTTTGACTCAATATTCAACTTGAGTAGATGATGAGAAAAAGACTATAAAGTAGGGTAAAGAATTTTAGATTTATGGTTCAACGTTAAGCTCTGAAACAGCTTTGACTCAGATTTAAGTTGAGCAAGTTTTGACGAGTCAACCGTCATTCGTATTCGCAAAAACATTCTATTATGAAGAGGCAAAAATGACAGGAAGGGAGTAGCAAAAGCAATCGTAGAATCAAAACATCATAATTGGGAGTATTAAAGGGAACGACATGATTATAATCTTGTAAATGGGTAGACTAGAATGACGTGGTAGTACTCCTTGGGCTATGCAACCGAGGGAACCGGTGGGGAGTGCAAATAGTGGAAAATGTCGATTTTCCGCGTGAAAGGCGAATTAAGGTACAAAAACAAGCTTAAGCTTATCGGCAACGCCTGCTTCTGCTTCCACGTCAGCCTCGTGCTCCAGGAAAAAAAAGACTCGTGTCTCGGAAAAACTCTCTACCTCTTTTGGATATGGACCACACCTTACTTTCTCAGAAATTACGCTCTCAGACTCATTTACAGCGTGGCTAGTCGCGTTGATTAATAACAACAAATTAGGTGGCATATCTCGACACTCAGAAAAGCTACTGGCTTCTAACCAACACCTACGGAATCCTACACTCTCGCTTATCCTACCATCAAATTCTCAAGCTCATCCAACCCATTTTGGAGGCATTTCCATCACTGTTTGCTACTGCCCCCACCTGTTACCGGTGCGCGCGAACTTTCACACCACCACCCATTCCATCACCATCCCGGGCCCGACGACGCTAACGGTGCCTGTTGATGACGCCAGAGCCCTTGCTCTTCCGACTCTGATGACCACGCTACAGGCCTCCGATGACCACGACCCCGGCAACCCCAGCCAAACTGGGGGGCTCCCGACATACACCGTCGACGACGTGAAAACTCACGACACCCCCAACGACCTCTGGATGATCATCTATAACAAAGTCTATGACGTCACCAAGTTCGCCAACGACCACCCCGGCGGAGTCGAGGTCCTCTACGACTGTGGCGGCGTCGACGCCACCGAACCGTTCGACGACGTCGCCCACTCCGACGACGCCGTCGAGATGCTCCGCCCCTACCTTGTCGGCGAAGTCGTCCGCAGCCAGCACGTCCAGTACCGCCACCCGCGTCCCGTGGCGCCGCCCATCATCAAGAAGGCGCCGGTGGTGGCGGTGAGTGCCCGCGACAAAGTGCTCACTGAGCGGATCGTGTTGCTGGCGCTCGCGATGGTGGCGCTCACCCTGTTTGCCGTCTACGTCGGCATCCAGGTGGTCAAGTGGAATTTCTGACCTTCCACCTTGTATCTCCACGTTTTAAGGACCCCCCCC